GAGGTGCAGTGAGCTGTCATATTTTGCGACATGATACATTCGATAGTTGGAGGCTGGCTGGATGGATGTCCCTTGTAGGGCAGGCTAGGGTTGGTTGGCAGGGAAAGAAAAATCGAGCTGAAACGGGACACGCCCTGTTTACCCTATTATTGACATTGTTCATGTAGGTCAGCCCTTTGGGTCCCGATTCCTGTCTGTGCGGGAAAATTCTGTAGATTTAATGTTATTTTTTTGGTTGAGGTTTTGAAAGGCCCATCGGGTACGCGGATGATGACGGTCCAGCACCAGACTGTTGGACTCTTTGAGCATAAGATGAGACTGATGAGAATTACTTGCAGGATCTTGTAGTAGAGTTCCAGTAAACAAGTACTATGCAGTAGATAGTTTACGGAGCACACGCTTTTGTAAGCCTGTACTCCGTAGTTGGTTAGCGATGGTTCTATGGAGACGCTTATCGATCAAGACGCAAGTGGGCTATGATGCCATGATCCATCTCCTCCGTCATACTCCTCACTCTAGCCTCGTTTCTTTTTCCCCTCCTCTGCTGCTGCAGCTTTTTGGTAGTTTGTGCCTTGAATCTCCTCTTTCATTGGCTGTCGCTCCAGCCTTTTAGTTGCTGTTCCAACCATGTCTTTCCGGTCCAGCCGTTAGGTTGGGTGATTGATGAAAAAAAAGGCCTGACTGGGTCGATGCCTGCCTGCTTACCAGTCCCAGTCAGTCCCAGTACTTATTGGGCTTATGCAGCCTACGTATGCCATGTTGCTGGCTCTCTTCTTTCCTTCTTTCTTCTCTCTCTTCGCGGTTTGAGAACTGTATCTACTGTCACCTGTTTTCTGCGATATACTTGGCGACGCATCATACATCATCATCATTATCGTCTGCAGAGTACATATATATTGGTCGCCGCAACAACATCTTGATCAAGGGATATTTAAATCTAATCCGAGAAGATCCGGAAAGCCATCTTACAGTGTAAGTAGTCCGCAGTCTGGTCCTTGGTTACTTCCCCGAATCCCCAGAAGAGCCTGCTTGGGCTCCGCGGTTCCAACTTCCCTCTTCTTTCGCCACTCGTCTGACCTCCCCGCAGGACTCAGGAAACCTGCTTCAGTTCATCGGTTAAAGCGAGTATCAGTCCGAGAAATAGTTCCTTATTCCCAGTCAGCCGAGTGGGTTATCTTGCGCTTGCATTCCAGCGTCAGGCGTGCATTCTTCGGCTTTGGCAGCGAACACCTGCGCCGGGACCCATCCTGCGTTCATAGGCGCATTTGCACCTCACAGCTGAAGGCCTGCTGTTTCCGGCGGTTCCGATTTCAACCAGCCTAGCATTTGCATATATAGCGCTCAGCCGCCTCTCTCGTCATCGACTATTCCAATCGTGATTCCCGCCATCGCCGTCGTCGCCGGCGGGAGCTGCTCCAACAAACGAAATGGCTCCCTCGCTCTGGGAAAGAACAAAGGGGACTTCCAAAAAGGGCTTCGATAAGGCATGGCATGCGTTGGACAAGCTGGGGGATCCCGTTAATCGACTGTCGAACCGTGTCGGCGCCGAGGCCTTCTGGCCCATGACCATCGATAAGGAAAGCGACAAGGCGGCTCGGATCCTGCGGAGCTTCTGCAAAGATGGCTTCTATGCCGACGCAGAGTCGGATCGACAGAGCGCTGATAGTCATATCAACAAGGAAACCGGCAAAATCGATAAACCCAAAGGCAAGCAGCGGGTAATAAAGAAGATTCCTACCGAGGTCATACAGAAGGCCAAGGGCTTAGCGATCTTCACAACCATGCGAACTGGTCTATGGCTCAGTGGCTCCGGTGGTAGTGGTGTCCTTCTAGCTCGGATTCCCGAAACAGGTGAATGGAGTCCGCCTTCCGGTATCATGCTACACACTGCAGGTATTGGGTTTTTGGCCGGCATCGACATCTACGACTGCGTGGTCGTCATCAACACCTACGAAGCTCTGGAGGCATTCAAGAAGGTTCGCTGTACATTGGGTGGCGAGGTTAGTGCTTCGGCTGGCCCGGTTGGAATGGGAGGAGTGCTCGATTCGGAAGTCCACAAGAGGCAAGCTCCGATCTGGACCTATATGAAGAGCCGAGGGCTGTATGCTGGTGTCCAAGTGGACGGCACTATAATCATTGAGCGTACCGACGAGAACGAACGATTCTATGGTGAACGCATTTCCGTCACCGACATTTTGGCCGGTAAAGCCAAACATCCGCCTGCGTCTATTGAACCCCTACTGCAAACAATAAAGGCCGCCCAAGGCGATACAGATGTGAAGGAGGATCTCATCCCGCCTCCGGGCGAGACCCCTGGAGACGTGGATCTAGAGCAGCCCGCAATGTTCGGCGTTCCAGATCCAGAGGATCCTGATCCATTTGGGGTCAAGGCACTGGAAGCCGAAGGTCTCTTCATCCGCGAAGCCGGTTCCAAAACCCGACCAAGCCATGAAGCTTTTGAGTTTAAGCCAAACCCAGGAAGTCCCATTTACGCGTCTTTCCGGCGAAGTACAGAAAGTTCGCGACGCAACAGTTGGCGAACCAGTGTTCAAAGTTACGTGAGTGTAGACAGAGGCACTCAAACATTTGACGAACCCTTGTCTGCTCCGACCTCTATTAGTCGTGCATCCTCACGGAGCAATCGCGACTTTTCTGAGCCAAAGGCGTCTCCGTCTGAACACGACGAGGCTCGCTGGGACTCTGTTATTCCCGAGCACCATGAGACGAGCTTCCGCAGTCAGGACGATGGCGTGCTGGACAAATTTATCAACGATGAAGATCTAAAGGTGCACGAAGTCAGTAGTGCCAGGATTTCGAGACGTGACAGCGCTTCCAGTTCCAATCCTCCCCTGACCGTGGATGTTCCCGCAGCGCCTATTGAGGTCAAACGCCAGTCCCCTACTTTTACCCGTGCTCGTCTCGTTACCATACCTAAAAGGCAACCTCCTTCTCTCCCACCTCGGAACCCTCAGCGAGCGTCGACAGCGTCAGCGTCCACGCCAGTTTCTCCGAACCCTTATGCATCCTCAGATGACAACCGCTCTGTCAGCTCCATCTCGACCCGAGCATCTGTCAGTGGACTTGCTGCTTTGACGGACAACACCAAGAAAGACCTCAATGCCATCACATCGCCAACCGAGTCAAACAAAGCATTGTCGATCAAAGATGACGATTTCCACTCCGTTTCTAGCGTGCAGTCATCGGATCCAGTAGCGGGAAACGGCCTCAGCACAGATGAGGCATCCAGCCCGAAGACTCGACCGGTCACAATGGGCCTTCCCTCCGCTGCTACCGAGTCTGAAGCCAAGACAGCCTCGCAAGATGGAGTTGCAACAACTACAACACGTTAAACATACAAGCCTACCGTCAGCCCTAATTCCTGTTCCGACATTCTTCGATACCCTGTCTTCTGCTCTTCTACTTTAATTCCAGCTTTGTTGTATATATACGCTTCAGCTTGGCATTACTATACCTCTGTGCTGAAGCTTTGTGGCGGCAACTCTCAACTTCTTCAGCGATGTCTTTTTATTGTCAGCATTATTTGCATTGTTTTACAGCGTTGGGGCGTTGGCGGATGCTGGGAAATAGCATGGGCAAACTTCTTGGTCGGCGAATCTGCTTGAACTGGTTAGATTGTATGATAGCGCATTCTTGTCTGAGTTATATATCTATTAAGTTGTATGATTCAGCTACTTCCTACTTCCTACTTCGCATGATCTGGTAGTATTGGCCGACTACCTAAGGTTTGGCTGTTTCGGAACCGACCCCAAGGTAGACTAGACTCAAGAGTCGACCAGTCGAGGCCCGAGAGCGATAAATGGCAATCAATTTCTTGATCATCAAAAGTAATCACAGTTACACGGAAACTCGAGATAGCCAGCGCCAAGCGTCCTTGGAGAAGCTTAGGGCCAGTCGTCGCTGCTCCACGGTTACATTGATCGACAGCCTCTCCGGCTCCCGCTGCTTATTGACTCCCTATTGCGTCCGCTCAATCGATTGCCTCGCGGGGAAGGTGCAGAGATAAAACCATGGATATCCCCGTCAACGAATCTGCCCTATCGACTCTGATTTCAAATTGGGCTGCGCGGGTGCTGCCGAGTCTCTCAATGCCCTCGCTGACATCGGCTGTTGCGCTCTCCGCGGGCCTGGTCAACCTGGTTGCCGGCCAATATTTCCCTCCTGTTACCACCGACGGCGCCAAGGTCATTCACTCCAAGCACCAAGAGGGTGTCAGGATTTCTTACAAAGAGGTATGGCCCATGGTCACCATTCGCAACTCGAGGTCTAACCGCTGGTAGCCTGGAATCTGCGAGACAACTCCGGGTGTAAAATCCTATTCGGGTTATGTCCATCTACCCGCAGGCACACTAAATGACCTCGGCTTGGATCAAGATTATCCCATTAATTCCTTCTTCTGGTTCTTCGAGTCCCGTAATGATCCCGTCAACGCGCCGTTGTCGATATGGATGAACGGCGGCCCGGGAAGTTCGTCCATGATCGGCCTCATGCAGGAGAATGGACCATGCCGTGTCAACATGGACTCCAACTCTACGGAGCTGAACCCCTGGTCATGGAACAATTACGTCAATATGCTCTACATCGACCAGCCGAATCAGGTTGGTTTCAGCTACGATGTGCCCACTAACGGAACATATGATCAGTTGACGGGAGTTCGTGACGTCTCGGGGTGGACGACCGTCCCGGAACAGAACAACACGTTCTATGTGGGCACGTTTCCCAGTCTGAACGCCTCATCCACGGCCAACACTACTCAGAACGCAGCCCGCGCTCTTTGGGCCTTTGCGCAGACCTGGTTTACGGAGTTTCCGGCTTACAAACCCCATGATGACCGGGTCAGTATCTGGACCGAGTCTTATGGAGGCCGCTATGGCCCCTCGTTCACTGCCTTTTTCCAGGAGCAGAACGAGAAGATTGCTAATGGCTCGCTTACCTCGGCGGGGGAATCTCACTATATCCATCTCGATACACTCGGAATCATCAATGGATGTATTGATCTGCTTGTGCAGTCTCCGTCGTACCCCGAGATAGCATACAACAACACGTACGGCATCGAAGCAATCAACGAAACTATCTATGATTTCGCGATGAATGCCTGGAGCAAGCCGGGCGGCTGCAGGGATCAGATCATCAGATGCCGCGAACTTGCTGCTGAGGGCGATCCTTACATGTATGGCAACAACAGGACGGTAAATGCTGCCTGTTCAGCAGCGGACAGCTACTGCGGTAACAACGTGGAAGGCCCGTACCCTCTGTTCTCAGGTCGAGGATACTACGACATTGCTCATTTCGACCCTGACCCTTTCCCTCCACCATACTACTTGGGCTATTTGAGTCAGCACTGGGTGCAAGAAGCCCTTGGTGTCCCTATTAACTTTACAGAGTCGGTTGACAGCGTTTACGCTGGGTTTAGTTACACCGGCGACTACCCACGATCCGATGTTCGTGGCTATCTGGAGGACATAGCATATGTGCTCGACTCGGGCATCAAGGTGGCCCTCGTTTACGGCGATCGGGACTATGCCTGTCCCTGGAACGGCGGCGAGCAGGTGAGTCTGCAGGTTGAGTACAGCGATGCAGACAAGTTCCGCGCTGCTGGGTACGCACCACTACGGACCAATTCCTCGTACGTCGGCGGTCTTGTACGCCAGCATGGAAACTTCTCCTTCACCCGGGTCTACCAGGCCGGTCACGAAGTACCTGCGTATCAGCCCGAGACTGCGTACGAAATCTTTCATCGAGCCATGTTCAACCGTGACATCGCGACCGGAAAGATCTCGACAGCTCAAAATGGCACATATTCCACCACGGGCCCCTCTTCGACATGGAATGTCACCAACACCGTCCCGGATAGCCCGGCGCCGACTTGCTACATCCTCTCTCTGGGGTCGTATTGCACCGATGAGCAGATCGCGAGCGTGGCGAACGGGACTGCGCTGATCAAGGATTATATCGTGGTGGACGAGAGTGCTCCTTAGCCATGTCTAGGTTCAGGACGTGGTTCTTCGCGTATGTATACCGAGCTGTCTGTGGATTATGCATGTAGATAAATGTCGGTGACCAATGGTACACCAATTGAAATGAAACAGGACTGGATGACCTGGAGTGCAGTGGATCTTGGCTAGCCAGGCCTATCCGTAACAGGCAATCTGAGGTTGTAGCGCGGCCACTTTCAGGCACCCTTGGCCATTGTCGACTCCCAATCTCGCCCAATATATTATTGCCAGTGCACAACCTTCGTCAAGACACCTCTGCTTCTGTTTATTGCAACTTGATATATTCTCAAACCAATCAGTGTCACCCCACGAGCTCAGTGGTGGAAGATTCTGGAATCTTCGATTGGTTGGCTACCGTCAACGTCACACGTCACGTCTGGGGCTCTTTCAGATCGTCCTGCCGTCACTCAAGGCACCATCTGACACTGCCTGATCCTATATATCAACATTCCTCGTCCTGCTGGCGTGCGTTTGCTCGAACGTGCCCTAACTTTGGCAGTTTACTGCGCAATTCGACCTGACTTATACCACCGACAGCTCCCCGCACTGCACCTTGCCGAACCTTCTACGTCATTCGAGTTCCCCTCAAAGAGTCTTTATTATCTACACCCTTCTTTGACAGCACACATTCGCGCCATTTCTAACCTGGAGAATTAATTGGGTCCTCTTCTTGCTTACCAACAACCCAAACCCAATTCGAACACACACATACACACCAATACCATGGTTGCAGAAACAAAACTATACGATGCGCTCGGGATCAAGCCCGATGCTGCGCAGGACGACATCAAAAAGGCCTACCGCAAGGCTGCATTGAAATACCATCCGGATAAGAACAAGGATGATGCCAAAGCTGCGGATAAGTTTAAAGGTACGTTTATTTATTCCCCGCACCTTGGTCTATGCTTGCCGGTCATTGCTAATACTCGCTATCCACAGAGGTTTCCCAAGCCTACGAAGTCCTCTCCGACCCAGAAAAACGCAAAGTCTACGACCAATTCGGCCTCGAATACCTCCTCCGCGGCGGTCCCCCACCAACATCCGGCGGCGGCGGCGGCGCCAACCCCTTCGAAGGGGGAGGCGGAATGCCCGGTGGATTCTCCTTCGGCGGCATGCCCAGCGGCGGCACACGCACATTCCACTTCTCGACGCGACCTGGCGGCGGCGGTAGCAGCGGCTTCCAGTTCAGTTCCGCCGATGATATCTTCCGGAACTTCGCCAAGGGCGCTGGTGGCGGAATGGGCTTCGGGGAAGACGAAGACCTCTTTTCCATGCTCGGCGGCGGTCTAGGTGGTGGGCGCAGCGGGGGTCCGCGGTTCCGCAGCACCCGTGGGACGAGCGGTGGTGCTGGGACCGGCTTCCCACGACAGTCTTCACAGCGGGCGCCGACGCCTGAGCCGACCGTTATCGAGAAGCAGTTGCCGTTGACGCTGGAGGAGATCATGAGCGGGTGCACGAAAAAGGTTACCGTCAAGAGCAAGACGTTTGATGCGAGTGGGAAGCGCACCGTGCAGGATGTTACGCTCGAAGCGAATATTAAGCCTGGGTTGCGGACGGGCTCGAAAATCAAGTACCGCGGTGTTGGAGACCAGGAGGAAGGTGGGCGGCAGGACGTGCATCTCATTGTGACGGAGGTAAGATAGCTCCTCGATCCCTGGCCTACGATGGAATATAGTACTAACTCCTCTACAGAAAGAGCACCCCAATTTCAAGCGCCACGGCGACAACCTCATCACGACTGTCGACCTCTCCCTCAAGGAAGCCCTAACAGGCTGGAACCGCATCGTACGCACCATCGACGGCAAATCAATCAAGGTTGCGAAGCCCGGGCCCACGCCGCCCGGCTACGAGGAGAGATTCCCTGGTCTCGGCATGACGATCTCGAAAAAGCCCAGCGAACGTGGCGATCTTCTTGTGCGCGTTAATGTCGAATTCCCGAAGACGCTGTCGAGCAATGCCAAGGAGGTGCTGAAGGATGTTCTTCCTTGAGCTCAATCTCTGCTCAGTCCTTGCTGCTCTTTATTATTTCACTTTGGGTACATCACATATACCTCTTTTTCAGCATTGTTGGCTTGGCGTTTGGGTGAATGGCGAATCTCTTGAACAGTGGGTTGCTGAGGGCTGTTCTTCTGTTACCTTATTTCTTTTGAGCCCATGATGAATGACAATGATCATAATGTGAGCCCTTCAGCACTACATATTTAGCCCTGTTCTGTCCTCAGTTGTTATAAAAGAACGGTCAGATAATGTATCTTCATTCTTATCTTTCTAAGAGTTCTTGTATATCCCTTACGTATCTTGATAAATGTCACCCGTAATTCATGTCAAATAGCTCTAGTATATGCTAAACGCTTAAAAATGATAACCATAACTCCAAAAATCTCAGCCAAGCCAAGCAAGGGTATCCGTATCCACCCATATAGATATAAATACACCGGCGTAGGAGACAGATACTCACTTTCCTACCATCAGTAAGTATCCTCATCCCCACCCCCACCACCCCCATCCCCAAACCCATCATCGCCATACTCATCATCCCCGCCATCAAAGTACTGCTCGGCATTATAATCCCCGCCCATATCATCGTCGTCATCCTCAAAGTCATCGTCCACAAGCTCCTCCTCCCCGGCCTCGTCCTCGTCCTCATCAAGTATATTCCCGCCCTCGCCCTCATCTTCACCATCCTCCCCATTCTCCCGCCGCCGCTTGGAAGCTTCCTCATCCTCATCCTCTTCTTCGAACCCGCGCTTCGCACTGGCCTGTAGACTCTGCGGTAGGTACCCGTCCATGAACCCATCGGGCTTGTAATTCGGCTGGATTGTCGTCCAGAGTTCGCGGGGAAAGAATTTCATTACTACAGACAAGAACATTAGAATCGGGCTGCGAAGCGAGAGTGAAATTGAAAGTAAGGTGGTCCGCTCACCATACGGCCGCCCCTGCACCTTCGGCACAAGCCGCTTCTTCTTCTGGTATTTGCCCGAGTAGCTCTGCATGCCGTTGAAGGGGTCGAAGTTCGTCTTGGAGTTGCCGGTGTACCCTGCTGCGCCGGCGGAGACGCCGAGAATCGAGTAGTAGGGGCCGTCGTGAAAGCGCTCGCGGAGGGTACGGTAGAGGTCGACTTGGGTTTGTTCGCGGGTGCTGAGCGGGCGGGGGCGAGGGATTGTGTATTTCTAATTGGCAAAAGTGTCAGGACACCTTCCGAAGGACGGGATGGAGTAGAAGCGTGCATATATGTATCGAGAGAGCAAGGCGCATGCGATTTGATTATGTTTCGCGGAGGTGGGATAGATTAACGTACAGGAAATAAGGGAGTAGGTGCTGTGTCTGCCTCTCCGTTGGCGTCCGTGCCATCCCATGTAAATTCTGAGCCGGGCAGCTTTCTGCCCTTCTTTGCGCCGAATCGCGACATTGTCTATGTATAATATGATTGAAATGGAAAAAAGAATGCTGCTCGGAGATGGACTCGGCTTTGCGAGAAAAAGTTCCGGCGGAGCTTGACTCACACCGCCTTGGCGGGGCGGGGAATGCAAATGGAGAATTAGGGCTGGGTGTACCATTCTAGAATGCTGGCGAACCATGTCTCAAATACAATAGGAGTGCGGGCTTGCGGCTGTCTCAACTCTCTGCATGTTCACAGATTTACTGTCTCAACTTGGGTAATGGTCTGGGCCCCAGGACCGAGAGGTCCGTCATCTACCCTCTTCTTCAACGTGCGTACAATGTCCTCAAGGTCCGAGCCCCGCTCCTCTATCCTTAGAATAGACCTATACAAGGCGACCAATACCTCGTATCTCGCTGTCGCAACCTTCCATACAGCACTTTGAGGATCAGCTGCTCCACCTGCCACAAACTCCGAGTACGAGCGGGGTGGCTTGAATAGAAAAGGCAGTAGGCTGGTTAGGGCTGGAGGAGAAATGGCTACCCATGCACCTGACGGAGGAAGGACACCTTGCGTTGCCGGAGACAAGCGACCAAGCTCCTCCTCTGACGGAAGCGGGTACCGAGATATACCTTGAGCGGTTGAGGTGATCTCGGCTGATAATGGCTGCCAGTTAGCGGTGACGATAGCTTGCATGAACGATATAGCTGCAATAGAAATGTCCTTCATCGCTAGGACATCAGCTGCGGCGACGACATCATCCCACAATGTCGGGCGGTGATTTTGATACATAAGGTACAAGACGCGGGCCGCCGCCGCTTCCTTGTTCCAGTCGGTTGCGGTCTGTCCGGACGTATTGAGATCCATGGAGTCAGATACAGCATGTTTTGGAGGCCCGTGAAAAATCTTTCCTAGTGCATTGAAAACCTCATGGTTTGGAGGATTTGTAGGCAAGGCGAAAACGGGATCTACGCCTCGTCTGCTAGCGTCTAACAGTAGCACCCTTGGGAGAGACGAAAGGACGTTCAGTTGACCACTTGGAACAGGGCCATGTGCCCACTGCGAGGAAGAAATCAAGAGAGAAGCTTCGATTCGTGAAAGAATGCGAGCCAACAAGGTCTGGGGGCTTTGCAAAAGATGGTTAGGGTAGAGCTCGGCGTATTGAGCGACATATGCCATGACCGGACCACAGAGGAAGCTCAGGTCCGCCGGGTCCAGTTTCGATTCGTCCACATAACACTCGAGTAAAGTATCGTGAATTTTATGCGAAATGAGAAAGTCAAGAGCCGGTGAAGAGAACGTAGATGCTGACTGTACGACGGTCCGAGACGTCAGGTTGGGAGCTTCGAGTTCTAGTAGATCGCGGAAGAAGTTCAGCTGCGTCATGTGCATCAAAACATCACTCTTGTCAACCATCTCGCAAGCCGCAAAGTGCAACAGGCTCTTGCTTTTATATTTGGCCTCGACCTCCGGTATGTGTGAGCTTGAGACAAAGTCCCAGCGGTGCTGGCCTGCTTTCACGAGGAAGCTCATTAGTCTGCCCTGAGCCACAGTCTTTTCGCGGCTCGACAGGCCGCTGGGCCCATTATCGGCAAGGCTGCAAAAAGAGAATAGGCGTCCATAAACATCCCTGTCATTGAATACTCTTCTCCACATAAGACCCTGCCCGCCAGAAGCATCCCCGGCATGTTCCCCGTTCTCCAACGTACTCGTTTGGTCAATCTCTAGCAGCGCCCAGAGCGTATCGAATGCCGCCAGAGCGACAGCAGTCGAGGAAGTCGAAAGCCAGAGCTCGACCAAAGATGTGACTAGTTCCGGATCGCCAGCAACTATTGCAGCATCGCTTGGGTGATATCCCGCTTTGCGCAGCAACGTCAAGGCTAGCTCATTGATGGGTGGTGACGGGGCGCGGAAACCAGCGATGAAGTTGATAGGAGGGTCGATAGCGCAGAGGTCAGAGAATGTAAAGAAGGCAGCGGATTTGATGCCGAGAGTAGTGATAGGGGTGGGGTCTTCCTGAAGGACAGGCAGGAGCTGCGATATCTGTGTCAACAGTGCTGCGGGGACATTACGATCGGTACTTTGTGTAAGCTCCAGCTTCAGCTTATCGAGGATCGTCTGATCCAAACGTGTAGACGGGTCAATATGGACCTGTCGCAGATGGGCCACCACTTCATCATACGTAGATGGGACTGCCATTTTCGCTAGTGATGAGTGTGGAGTGATGGTGATGAGGGTGAGAAGAGACCGTCGGAAATGCATGGCGGGGAAAGCTCCGATCATGCAAACAAAACAAACCACCGGCCTCCCCTCGACCTGGGGAATCGAGGTTATCGACCGCATTGACCAAGCTCAGCCATACGATAAGAATTGACTGGCCAACTCCGGTCATAATATTACTTTACAAAGACACACCTACATTGACCCACGATGTCAGACCAGGCAGAATCCATTCTGTCCCAGAAATCGTCAGACTCCGGCCTCCACATCCAGCTACACCCTCTCGTTCTCCTCACAATCTCCGACCACATCACCCGGCATGCTGCTCGGTCACAGCACGGACCTATTATCGGAGCGCTTCTTGGCCAACAAAACGGGCGCCAGATAACACTCGAACATGGCTTTGAGTGCGTTGTGGAAATAGGTCCTAACGGCGAAGCTCAGCTGCCCAATGAATGGTTCGTTGAGCGTGTGAAGCAATGTAAGGATGTACACCCACAGCCACAAGATATACTTGCTGATATGAAGCAGTCAAGGATGTACACAAGTTACCTGCCCTAGACCTTATCGGTTGGTGGTCGACGGCTCCTCCCTCCGGCCCGACAACAGCGCATCTCCCAATTCATCGCCAGATCCTCCAGAACCACAATGAGTCCGCAGTGTTCCTCGCTTTCCACCCTTCTCAGGTCCAGGAGGCGTCCTCAGGTCAAGGGAAACTACCGTTGACGATTTATGAGAGTGTGTATGAGGGAGAGAGCGTTACAGAAAGCGGCAAAGCCATGCAGGTGGATGGCGAGGAGCAGTCGTTGAGCATCAGGTTCAGAGAACTACCATACACTGTTGAGACCGGAGAGGCGGAGATGATTGGTATTGACACAGTAGCTCGCACGGCCAGGAACGCAGCTGCTATTGAGACGTCAATAACCGCTGCATCTTCGTCTCAGACAGAGTCGAAGAAACAAAAGGAAAAACAGTCGACTGCCACCGAACTCCTTTCACCGGAGGAGGAAGAACGTGAGTGCATTCCTTGAACTGTGTTGTATTTCATTGCTAATTGAAAATTTTATCAGTAATTGCCTCCCTTAACACACGCCTGAACGCTATCCGAACCCTAGAGTCCCGCATATCGCTTATCAAGTCCTACGTTTCGAGCATATCGCCATCCGGAGAAAGCCAGACGTCCGCAACAAAACCGGATCCCACGATTCTTAGAGATATCAACTCCCTCTTATCAAATCTCTCTCTCCTTACCCCACATGAACAAAGCGCTTTCGCAGCTGAGACTCTCGCACAAAACAACGACGTCAGCCTTGTAGCCTTGCTAGGTCAACTTAGTCAGAGTATCAACGGAATGAGGGAGATCGGCAAGCGTACAGCCATTGTGAACAATGTAAGGCGGAATCGGAAACAAATGGGTGGGCAAGGTCCCCGGTACGAGGATGATATCCTGTCGAGGGATGGTGTTACGCTCGGATAATGGCTTAGCTTCCTCGACAAAAGACAATTCTAATGATGACTTCAAAGATGATATGTGGAGATTATTGGGCAGACAGCGTTCTCCTTCATCAAAAGTAGGGCAGCTGTAAGTAGACGAGGCGCTTCAATATACGACCTACGGAGGGAGATAACTGTCTTTGCCGCGCGCCTAGGTACCTAACACACCGACTTCTTCGTGACCTCCCAAACACAACAGCCACACTCTCATCCCCCATCCACATGATGGTGCACTTGCTTGATCTCCCCGATGAACTCCTTCTCATGGTCATCCAGTGCCTCGACAACGACAGACCAGAGATCTCACTGAACTTTTGGAACTTGCCGAGATGGTGCAGCCAAGCAACAAAGCGCTGCAAACGTTCCCAGCGCGTTCAACATCTCCACGCGCTCTTGCTCGTCTCGCGCCGTTTCCACAGCTTTGTCGAACCATTCTTTTACCGCGACCTTCGCGTTGAGGAAGGACAAAACGCGGAGCTGTACAATACACTCACACAGAATCCTCGGCTTTTAAGCCACATAAAATCAGCCATTATCAACTCCTCCACGTTCCGCAGGGATGGTTACAACCTACTCTGGAAAAGCCCTATTCAAACTCTCACCCTGGTGAAAATCGACAACCTCCACCCTCTCGAGTATGTTTCTCAGGACGACCGCGCCGGCAATTCCTCCATCCAAAGACTGAATTTGATGCGCTGTTCCGCCGAGATACCGGTCCTCACTGCTATCCTACGCTGGCCCGCTGCCCTGAAGGCTATCCACTACGATGTTACTGATCAGTCGCGGCGACATCTTCCTGGCAGATCGAGCTGGAATACTGGCCTGCGTGTTCCTACTTGGCCATGTCCAAGCTTTGTACAGGCACTCCAATCCCAAAAAGCGACATTGCAAGAGATCACAATGACCAGACAGTTTCCCCCTGAAGCTGAGGAGGGTCCACAGATTGAGCTCTGCGAGTTCGGCTCGCTCTCAATACTTCGTATCACTTACGCCTTCATCTGCAACTGGGGGAACTCCCACGACGCGTGGAAAAGTCTTCCGCCAAACCTAGAAACATTAGAGGTTTTTTATGATGATGAAGATTGGGAGATCGAGTTTTTTGAAGGTTGGGAGCTTCCCGGCTTTACCGACCTTGACTGGGAAGGCGCGCAATGGCTCAGAAATCTACTCGATCGAAAGAAGACGCAATTCTCGAAGTTATCTAGAATCACAATCCGTAATCCGCGGAGTGACCCCGACAACGACCTGGATATCTGGCCTTCTGAAACAGATGAATATATGCGTCCGTGGAAACTCCCAGACCTCATCTCGAAACGATGCAGAGACGCTGGTGTGGAGTTGACGGTTTTGGTTGAGGAGGACCCACCGAGTTCCATCGAGGACTATGATGCCATTGATATTCTCTAAAGAAATGCATACCTCACATAGGGGCACTTTGTTCATTCAGCATTGGCAATACTTCGGCCAAGCTTGTCTTGCCAGGTCACATTTTAAGAGATGCGCCCCTTTAGTACCGATTGACGGGCGATATATCAGAGCGTTATTTGGGATAATGGCCTCAGTTAACCTTCCATTGCAGTCCCACTTTCTGGATAAACCCACATTTGGTGCTAGGAGATACTGATATGCTATGTGGTACCGTGCCATAGCTTGGGAACTGGATGCTTACCTGAAGGATGGATGAGCGCCTACTACTGGTACAATAATACGGTAGTGACCTAGTATTTCGGACCAGATTAGTGGAAGTTGGAACTACTACATACATCACAAGCGTATCTCCAAAGAAAGGTAACAAACAGTATAGGCCGTACGCAAGACGTGGAGATCATCCAGCTAGGGGTATCCAACACCACCATCCAAATCCAGAAAGTAACCCGAGCTATCTATTGAGTCAATCCAGGGGAAGAGGTCTGTGCCGAAGAGCGAGCCCGGCGTCTGGCTCCGTGGTGGCTGTTCCTGACTGAAACTATGAGAAACCACATCCAAGAGCCGCTCAATCTCCTCGAGCAACTGCAAATGGCCCTTGGATGCGCGGTTTCCGCACGAAGCCATGACACCGAGTAGCTCCTTTGCGGCGTTGCATAGTGAGATATCTTCGGGATCCTGTGTCAAATCGTCACCGGCACCTATGCTCACAGTCATGGACTGGGCTGTAGCGGGTATGGATAATGATGCGGATACGGTGCTGACCAGCCTGGACAGCACAAAGATTTTGATGCCGGAGAATAGGTGCAGAGAGTCGTAGAAACCGTACTTGGCTGGGGTGGGTTGGTGGTTAGTACGGGTAAGCTCTAATGGGACGGGCTGAACTTACCTATCAGGTCTTTGCTTGACAGAGTGGTCAGGATCCGCATGTTGCATTTAGCGGCTGCCAGACATTGGCTGCTGAGATTGCTCAAGCCGTCTAGGGATGATGATGAGGATGGGGTTGTATTTGTATCCTTTCCCAGAACTGTTCCAAGAAGCTTGAAGAAAACCGGCCTAATGAGCAAAATATACCCCTGAGATTGGTAGAATGGTTATTGGTAATGCTCGCAGTGTCTTCGAGTGCTTGGTAAAAAGAAGTGCTACTTACTTGATGGTACCTCAAGTACATCGACGCCAGGGATCTTACTGAGGGCCGATCTAGCATATCCTGGGGCACACCCTGCGAGAATTCAAAAGATATATCAGGCGGTAGCTCACGTTTCCAAAGCTCCAGCTCGCGTAATGGGACCTCTACTGCCTTCTCGTAACGGTCAAAGTCATTCTCATACTCGTGTAAATGTCCCAAAGTCTCGAGTATAAGGCTCCTAATCTTGCATAGCTTCAAATGTGCCGCCATAAGCTGTGCATCCCAGAAGTTGTCACGCTCGTTCGGGGCGAGTAGCTCGTCTGATGGAAGATGCTGCTCAGCTTGCATGAAGCCAAACGTTGATCGAAGGCCCCTCTCCGAAGATGTCATTGCTTCCATCAGAGAGGTCGTCCACCAAACTCGCTTTTGATGCTCTGTGGTAGCCGGTGTTTCTGAGATTGCAGGTTTATGGAGCATCAAGGTGCACGCTATTCTCATAGACGTCCCAGCATACATGTACGCTGTTTTGCGCCGGTTTAATGAGTAACAAAAGAATGACTAAGAGGGAATGTTAACAGTCTGCATATCCGGTTAAACTAAGGTATGATACATACGATCAAATTGAGAGCCTCCACTTGCCCAATGTGTGGCTCTTCCGAAGGCATTCTGAAGAGGGATAAGGACTGCTCAAAGAAACCTGCACCTGGAAGATAGGATGATGGACCATCAACGCTTTTGCCTTGTCCCCGCCGTAGTACCCTGCTGCTAGAGTTGCAAATCGATCCTTGGTCTGGGTTCAGATCTATCAAGGGAGGAGGGCCGTAGACATCAAATGACTCCTCGAGTGCGAGTACAGCCAACAACTTACAGAGCCATGTATGGCTTCTGGACTGCGCAGACTGGGGGCACCGGTAGGTTGCTTGCAGGGCGGAATGAAAGTCCCGCCGCAGATACCAGTGGTACTCGTACCCCATGTAGAGTTCGAACTGTTGCACTAATTGGAGAGCATACGGGTATGGCGGGAGCTGGATGGCAACGTTGAGAGCTTGTAGGCTGGACGTCAGTACCTCACTGCCTGGAGCTCGTATCATGTCATGCACCGAGAGATATCAACACATACACGATTTGTCGGAGCTTAGGGAAACATATTCGTAGTTGGGAACTTGATCTAAACCCTCTGGGTAGTAGGATAGCCTCTTGAGACCGGAAACAAATGCCTCGGAAGTGGCGTGTTTGAGTGTCAGCGTGGGTGTGCTGTTTTCGTGACCTCCTTGCGTTGACGGGCGGAGGCTTGTTTCCCTCGAGGTTTGACTGCTTGCATCTCGAGAGTGGGACTCATCCCCAGGGTAGCAACGTATGTGATAAGAACTCTGAGCTTGAAGCTGCCGGAGATACGCCTCAGATACAAGGACATTTCTGTCTCGGACCGGAAAAGTACAAGGATGTCCTGTCGAGAGGCAATTCTGACAAGGTGCTCCTGAGAGCAGGTCCAGTCAGCGATATGAGGTAGCAGATGTAAATGGCAACTCGCAGCACATACCTCCCAAGCATCTCACCTTCTTCTTGTGGCATCTCTGGCAAGCTGCCGGCTTTCGCTTGCCGGATGACATTGGAAGTCCGGCCCTGTATGGGAGCGAGGCAGGTGGAGGAAGGAAGTCTGGAAATGTCCCCAGCCAGAGAGGAAGTCATGGCAATGCACTGTGTGGGGTAGAGAGATAAGCAGCAGTCTAGTGTGCGGGGAAGCTCTTGCGCTCTTGCGTTCAGAATTATTTTCATTCCTCTCTCTAATTACAAACGTCATCTGTGTTCACCAATTCTTCAAGAATCAAAACAGCCTCCTCTATCTTTAGGAGACCCTTTTCCTCTACAACATCTAGAAATGCACGATTCTCTGCCAAAGATGTTCGGACGATGGTTGAAACCTGCTGATAACCGAGAGCTGGCACCAGGGAAGTGGCCAGCGCGCTCGATGCAAGTAGATGTTTCTGTGAGACATCTTTATTCGCCACCAAACCGTCAACGCACCGGCGAGTAAAGATCCCGGTGGCGCCAGCAATCAGGCGGATACTGTCAAGCAGGCGATCGCACACTAGCATTTCAAAATGATTGATCTCGAGCATACCCTGCTGACATCCCATTGCGATAGCCGTGTCGTTACCAGTGATGGCAAAGGCGACTTGACAAACCGCCATCGGAATGACCGGATTGACCTTGCCAGGCATGATGGATGACCCGGCTTGAACGGAAGGCAGAGTGATCTCACCGATCCCGCCATTAGGACCGGAAGACAAGATTATGAGGTCGTTGGCAATCTTCCAAAGTGAGCTTGCAGTATTGCGCAGCTCCGCCGACAGACGGGCGCAGGTATCCATGTTCTGCATGCCGTCGAACGTGTCCCCGGACGGTTCTACTTTTGCGCCGAATATTGCAGAGAGATGCCGGAAGACAGCCGCTTTGTATCCCGGTTGTGACCCGAAGCCTGTTCCAATGGCTGTTCCTCCAAGGGGAACTACCAAGCACTGCTCGCGAAGATTGTTGAGCTGCTCTGTGTGTCGCCGAATGACCGCCTCATAGCCTCCCATCGCCTGCCCGAATGTCATGGGTTGTGCGTCTTGAAGACAGGTCCTTCCAAGACGAAGCAGCGATTTATATTCTTCACGCTTCATGGACAGTCTGTCGGCCAGCTGGCGAAGCATGCGTAAAGCCTCGCCCATTGCACGATAGACGGCCAGCTTCATGGCCGTCGGGAGAACATCATTCGTGGACTGTCCCAGATTGACGTGGTCGTTTGGGTGGATCAAGCTGTAATCAGAAAGAGGTCGGCCTGAAGCCTTCGTGGCAATGTTCGCAATTACTTCGTTGACATTCATGTTGGTCGACGTGCCCCCGGAACCCTCCAGGATGTCGACGACCAAATGTCCGTCGTGCTCGCCTGTTTTAATTTCTTCGCAGGCCGCAACGATTGCATCCGCCTGCTCAGTCGTCAGACTGCCGACCTCGCAGTTTGCACGAGCCGCTGCTTGCTTGACTGTGGCAAAGGCATGGATGAAGTCCGGCCATGTTGTGATCGACCGGCCCGAGAGGGGAAAGTTTTCTAGTGACCGAGCGGTGTTGATGCCGTATAAAACTCCATTTGGCAGCTCCAATTGGCCCAGGCTGTCCTTCTCGATTCGCGTGTTTGCCATGATAATGATCAGTTTCAGACTATCTCAAGGGAAGCAAGACGCAGGATATCAGAGCAGTGCTTAATACCTCCATGGCCAGCATCCGGCCGCTAGCAGCTAGTTGCCGGGGAAAGCATGATAAGTCAAGATATATTCGGACCTAATTAACCTTGTTGATTGGCTTACAGAAACCATCTTTCCGGCCCCTAGCTTTTAGTTGCCGGTCGTGGCTTTATTCCTCTCTTGGCAAGTTGTTTGTACCGTACCCAAGCGGCTTCGGCTTATCGCAATGCCAGTGTTGAGGTTGGAACCCAGCAGTATAAAGGTGAGCAATTGTCAGTACCCAACCAAGGTAAGAACGATGCCTAGCCAGAATACAGACGCTATGGCCGAATTGGAGACCCTGACTTCTGTTTCTAGTCGCCAAGAACAAAAGGATGGCAATGCCAACGCACGGCGACGACTAGGGTACCCCGAAACGCTCTGTTCACTTTCAACAGAGGAAAGAAACAAGCTGGAACGTCAGCTTGTCAGGAAGCTGGATGCACGCCTGATGGCTCCCTTGATTATCATGTACATCATGAACTATTTGGATAGGTATGCTTCCTTCTCCAGGTACAGATACAAGCATGCCGCTAACCCTAAGCTCTAGAAACGCCATTGCTGCTGCTAAGATAGCGGGCATCGTTGATGATCTGAATTTATCTGACTCGGAGTTTCAGACTTGCATCAGCATCCTTTTCGTAGGGTAAGTGTCATTTGGACATTGGAATAAGCGCCTGCTGAGCTTCACAATAGATATATCCTTATGCAAATCCCATCTAACCTTTACCTGACCAAGATTGGGAAGCCTTCAATCTATCTTCCTTTATGCATGGCCATCTGGGTATGCTAGCGCCTCTTGACCCCACCGAAATATGTGAATGTTGATATAGTTCGTTTCAGGGATCGCTCTGTGCCGTAACTGGCGCCGTACACAACTTCAGTGGGCTTGCTGCTACTCGCTTCTTGCTGGGCTTCGTCGAGGCCGCGTATTTTGCGAGCAACTCCTAAAATATGAGAAGCAGGATATTGATAAGCGTCAGCCCGGATGCATGCTATGTCTCACCATTCGGTACACGCGTAAAGAACTTGCATTCCGGACTGCTTTGCTCTACTGCGGTTCATTACTATCAGGCGCATTTTCTGGACTCATAGCAGCAGGCATCACTTCGAATCTAGAAGGGCAAGTCACCTCCGGGGAACTGAAAGCTTGCGTTCAGAGACTAAGTGTTGCAGTGCTCTTGGCCTAGAAGCATGGCGATGGATCTTTATCATCGAGGTAAGTAAGCCCTGGTGAAAGAAGACTGCTTGCTGATGAATTTCCACAGGGAGCAATCACTGTGGCCATCGCAACGACCGTGACCTTCATTCTCCCAGACTTCCCAACTAACACGAAGTGGATGACAGACCAAGAGCGCGCACTAGCATCCTGGCGGCCCATCGCGGACATAGGAGAGGAAGACTGGGTCTCACCAGAAGAGGAAGGTCTGGCAGCCGGTTTCCAGCAGTGTATTCGCGATTACAAGACCTGGTTATTCGCAATTTTAATCTTCGCCGTGGTTTCCAGCGGGACCATCAACTCATATTTCCCCACCATCGTCGAAACCCTCAACTACAGCCGAACAACAACGCTCCTCTTCACCGCACCCCCCTACCTCCTCTCCTGCATAGTTACGCTCTGCGTCTCTTTCAACGCCGACCGAACTGGTGAACGGTACTTTCACTTCACACTCCCTACCTGGATATCGGTCGCTGGCTTCATCATATCAGGCTCAACAACGAATTTCCCCGCCCGCTACATCTCCATGATGATCATGCTCCCGGGCGTCTACACGGCCTTCACAATTGGCCTCACCTGGCTCGCGAATGCACTCCCACGGCCACCTGCAAAGAGAGCAGCTGCACTGGCGCTTTGCAGCGCAGCCTCCAACTGCTCGAGTATCTACGGCGCGTTTCTGTACCCGCAGTCAACGGCGCCCCGGTACATCATGGCGATGGGAATCAATGCTAGCACGGCGGTCATGTCTATCATTGTGGCAAACTTCCTACATTTTGATCTCAAGAGGTTAAATCGAAAGTTAGACGAAGCGGAGCTTGAGGCTGAAGCAGAGCAGGTTGGGGGTATGGGCGCGCAAACGGAAGGGACTGTCCAGAGCAATTTCCGCTACCTCTACTGATACTATTGTATCAACTCACAAAGCTGATTGAGCGTAGCGTGCTTGAGCGAGGCTTTGGCAAGGGAATACTATTATACTTTTCGCTACCAGACGCGAGACTTGTCCATATATGGCTCAACCAGTCTTCTATTGATTTTCTCCGTTATGCAAGTACAAAATGTGACACGAGATTGAGCATGTCTTGGAGGGAGTGCAGTCCTTTGGTTAATACATCAATGATATATCCATCCACTCGTTTTTATTATGAAACACTCACCAATGGCGCTTCCCACGGGATTCATGAACTCAAGGTGGCCTTGAATTTGTAGCCCACGTCAAATAGACTAGCAGTACTGTTTTGCTGGAAACTCTTACTGTTATTTCCCAGTGGGCTAGTGCCATGATTTGTCACGTTTATAATTTTAGAAAATCCTGCGGGATAATATACAAGTCTAGAATATCGTGCCGATTCATGACGTAAGAAAAAGGAAGACGCCCATAACCAAATAAACCATACATGCAGGGTATTGTTCTAAAAAACCATCAATATTGAAACAAGGCGTTGGAAAAAGGGCGTGTAGTCAGATGTAAAGGTGTATGAGACAAAAAATGCAATATAAGACACGCAAGCCAAGAACTTCAGTTCTTAAGGTCGTCCGTGAGATTCGTATCTGGTATGTGAGGGTTGATAGGCGTCCGGTAATGGAATCGGAGGCTGCTCTTGAAGTTCGGTGGAGGATGGGAAGCGGGCATGGTCATGATCACTTGGATATCCAGGATGGTTTGGATGGTAGTAGCCGTCTGAGTCCGAAGGCGACCTAGATGGGACGTAGTGCACCTCCTCGAATGGCGAGATTGGCCGCGAGGAGTGCGATTGTAGATCTGGTTCGGCCAAATACTCGTTATCTGACCTGGAATTGGAATGGTAGTATCGGTTTCGGCCATCTTCATAGTAAGGTGGAGGGGCCGTGCCCATAGCACCAAGATCGCTAGTGGACGGGTTTTGCTGAGCATTGGCTAGAAGGACTTCTCCTTCTTCCTCGGCTTGATGTCCATAGCGGTTTGACACGCCGCCAGTCATCACCGCACCAGCCCCTCCGTAGCTTGTATCGGCAGGTGCCGCGCTGCCTGTTTGACTAAGGCCAATAGCCTCTGTTGAAGTTTGGTAGCTGGGATCCAATGTTCTCGTCTTGCGGCCAACGAACAACCAGCGCATACTGCGGCCGACAGCTTTGAGGAGATCAATGGGATTAAGAGCATCGAGAAGAGCGCCCATTCCCCAGCGACCGCCTTTATAAGTGGGTTTCCCATTACCAAACATGTCGGTGATCTCATCCGTCTGAAGCCCGATGGCGTACGGCTTCCAAGGGAACGACCAGAGATGCAGTACGGCGAAGAGAGCCATTTCAACGCTGATAATGAGTTCCGCAAGCACGACCTTGAGGTCGGGAGCTGCAAGCTTATCTGACGATGTGATGACTCCAGCAGAGTACAGGAATGATATCAAACTCTTGGGGACTATGTTAGCAATGGTGCTTCCGCCATACAAACAGGCCTGGCACTTACCGACTGCCAAAATGACAGGAAAATGACGAGTTTAATCGACGCAACCTTCAAGAAAGGCTTGTGCTCGCTGATTTCATCCTTGATTTGGATGTAAAACTGGATAAGGCAGTACATGGCAATAGTAACGGCGATACACTCAATGCCCAATACCTTTAAGATGTTAGCGATGGATCATGGAGATGCTGCACTAGACCTACCCATATATGGGAGAAAGCCGGGTTGAGTGACGATTCGCAGTACAAGTCGAACTTTTGAGTGACAACCGCCACAATGGTCATCAGCACACGTAGGAAGCAATACTGAAAAACGCCAACCCAGATAACCTAACAGACTGCGTTAGCATCCAAGACTGCAAGCGCCGCCAATGAGCGCGTAACGTGCCCGAGCATCCTTACATTGAACCACGTCAAGCCGCTGCGCGGAAGCCTCCAGATACCATTCTTTCCACCAGAGCATTTCTGGAGCCAATTGACAGGCCAGACCCAGTTCTTCGGTTGTATTCCGCGGAAGTATTCTTTCTGACTGTGCAAATCGGGCGCGATATAGTGGCATAACAGCGCAAAGAAGGCCGAGATCGTGAACGCTTCGTAGCAGTCGCCCAGTACACTGAAGTAAACGGCTTGCTTGTAATAGTATGTGCTGAGCCAGGAAACGAGGGCATATATCGGTATCATGAGCAGAATCCGGATGATACTATAACAATAACGCGGCCATGGTTAGCAACGGAGGAATGACGAGGGGACGATATAGGGTCGGTGCACGTACTGCCGTTGTTCGACTGGTTTGCTGTAATGTGTTGCATGTCGCATGATGAGGTAAAATGATACAAGACCGGCGGCAATCGCGAAGGCGCCGACAACGATGACACAGAGCTCATGGAAGGTGAGTCCATTATCCCACAAGTCGATCTCATGGACTATGATCGACAGGCATACCGGTTAGCGATCGCATTCTGTCAATCAGACGGCGAGCACGGAAAGCGAGCATACTGGTCTCATCCTCCTCCGTTGTATTGCAGACTGGCCATCCCATCCTCGCGGTGACTGAACCCCTCGACAATGAGGTAATTGGGAGTGGGAGAAAAAGTGAACGAAGGAAAAGCGTGTAACTATTTTGGGCCGTCCGCGGAGTCGGACTCTCGGAGTAGTGGCGGTCGATCAACCCCTGGAACCACGCGACGGCTCTGGATCCGCAGCGTGATTGCTTTTTCTCGGTTTTTTTGACGCAGGTCCTGGCAGGAAATGGCGTAAATCGAGATCTGAAGATATGCGGCGATGAGAGAAGTTCAGGCGCCAGAAGGTGCCCTGTAGTCTGTAGTCGCACGTGGAATGGGGCTGGACGGTCTCAGGTCTCAGAGCGCGAACTACTTGCGGTTGATTAGATTCCATCTGCCACACCGGCGCGGAACCCCTTAACCGCTCCCTTAATTAAAAGGGGTTTAGCGCCGTCCGGAAGCAAAAGGCAGTCCAAAAAATTAAGAGAGTGTATCCCTTGTTAAGGGATGCAATCCCTTAATAAAATTAAGTTTAGTACCGCACTAGTACCTGTTTAATATTTAAAATTATATTATAACTTTAAGTTACTTAAGGTTATTTCTTTAAAGTTATTTTATACTAAAATTTGTATATAAAAATACCTTTTTAAAATAAATAATTTTTAAAACTTATTTTAAGATAAGCCCTTGGACTCCTAGTAGTAAGAAACTTAGCTTTTTTAATTTTTAACCTAAATTTTAACACCTTTTACCCTAAATACCGCCTTGTAACCAAAGTTTTATATTAATTTTTTTTAACTAGCCATGTTAATTACCTTTTTAATAACCCAGGTACCTTTAACACCTATAAATTTACTTATATAAAAAGGTACCTAGTTATTACCTTTAATACCCGCACTGGACACGCGGAAAAAAGCTAATAAAAATATAGCTTAAAAAAATTAACTTTTAATTAAGGCCTGTAATGCTAATTTAGCTAAATATATAATAGGTAATAGGCCTTAAAAGTTCTAAAATATAGTAAATATTAGGTTTAAAAAGGACTCCGGCCGGGTCTAGTATAATTAAAAAATAGCTTAAAAAAAAGCTTTTAATCTTGTTAATAATTTTATAAAATAGGTGTGTATAAAGGTAACAGGAAAGAAATATACTAAAAATAGTTATATAAAAAATACCTTAGTAAAATTTATAGCCTATTTTAAATAAGTTAAAAAAAAAAAAAAAGTTTAAAGGCAAGCCGCGGTAGTATAATAAATAAATATTAAATATATAGCTTAACACCGGGAAAACCTAACTAAAAATTAAGTAAAAAAATAGGCTAAAATAGGTTTAAATAAAGCTATATAAAAGTCCTTTAACATGCTAACTAAATTACTAACTAATACTAAAAACATAAAAAATTTAAATCCTAATTTTAAAACCTTAAGTTACCCTCCCCCTGTCTAAGTAAAGGCCACAAGAAAAATATAATAAAACTATTAAATAACTTTTTTTTAAGTAAATTTTATATAAATCCTTAATTAAATAATCCCGCAGCGTGCCAACAAGAGCCCCGCTGGGGAAGATTTTTAAAAACTTAAAATAAGAATAAATTATTTTAATTATTAATTAAAAGAGCTGTAAGGAACTTAGGGTTAAATATTAAGCTTTATAAAGTAGTTAAATAAGTACTTTACAAAGTAATTTACCTAAATATTTTTTTAAACTTATTAATTATATTTAGTAAAATTATTTTAATATTAGGTTTTTTTTACTACCGCGAAGACATGTTATAATATTAATTAAAAAAATAGTTATTTAATACTTGGCTGCAATAAGAATCATCCTAATATATTAATATAGCTTAAATAATAGGTATTTTTAATCTCTTGTGATTAAACCAAAAGCCTGCTTAATAAAAATTTATAATAATAAAAGCCAGATATTAAATGCCTTTTTATTAGCTATTAGTTTTTTATTTACCTTCTTATATAACGCGATAATATTATATTTATTTTTATAAGTACTATTTTTATATATATAAAAAGGTTCTTGGCCTTTATATATATTCCTTAAGGTTTTTTTTATTCCTAATTTATTTTATATAAAAGTATTATTTACCTTACCTTTATACAGGCCTTAAAGCAAGAAAATAAGGTTATTAAGTATTATAAGGCCTTAAAACTTTATCCCATGTTACTTTTTATACCCTAAATAAAAAAACTCCTAATTTTTAAATAGCTAACATACTAGCCTAAAAGTACTATTTATAAAGGCCTAGATACGCGCCTTGGGGTCATGGGCCATGGCCAACTTATAGGCCTTTATATAGGTTAAAGTATGGTGCTAATAAAGGGTTTTTTTAAAAAGCCAAGTAATATAAAAAATAATATTAGTATAAATAAATAAAAGCCAAGGCCTACTTTTTTTAAAAAAGGCCTTTATTATTTTTATTTAATATAAAAATATAAGGCAAGCAAAAATTAAATATATTATAACTTTAAGATACAGCGCGTTGCAGTAATAATATTTAATTTAATTAAAGTAAAAAAAAGGCATAAAGGTGCAAATTTCCTAAGTATTAAAGCTATATTAATTTATTAAGAAATCCTTATATAATTTTATATACCTTTAACTTACTAAAAATAAAAAAGCTAACACTCCCGCGGTATTTAGTTAAGATTAAATTTAAAGTATTAGTAAAGCTCTGGACCTTAGTAAATATAGTTAACACTACTTATTAATTAAGTTTTTTTTATATACACTATTAAGGCGCTTATAAATAGTATTATTTTATTTATTTTTGGCAACAATAAGGTGGTGGTAATATTTATAATAGGTAAATTTATTTTATTTACGTTTATATATAAATTAGTATAAAGGTTAAAATATTAATATTTTGCACCTAGTTTAAAATTAACGGGGCTTGGCAAATTCTACACGTGATATTAAAGGACATCCAAAAGCGGTAAATTAGGCAGTATTAATATTAAGAGGAGAACCAAATTTTTGGTGGCAGACGGAATCTATTCAATGGCGAACCCTTGAAATAGTGAAACGCCAATTCTATTATTAGAATGTTTCAAATCCTAAAGAACTCAACCGTGTTTGTGGCGGAGGACAAAAGATCAACTTATGAAGGTATAAATAAAGGCTTTGACTTGATAGGCAGCAGCAGAAACAAGACCGCTAAGCTTTGAACAAGCTGACCGGCAACCAATGCCTTCAGCTGCCAAGCCACAAATCCTGGGCAGCCTGCACAGCCCTGCAGAGCGCCTGCTGGTAATAATAACTAAAGGCAGGCGTTATCTAAATATACCGTGGTATAGCCCTCCCGAGCTTCAAGTCCTTCCTTATAATACAGTAGTGTGTAACACTCAAATCACCGCCGTAAAACATGCAATGGGTATATTAACAATGAAGTACTGTATACAGAGACCTGCTGGAGATCTTAATGGCCCCTGCCAGTGTCCCTTCGATCAAACATCCCACCACCGCGGCCTCGTCGCCTGATTCCGCCCTGCCCACGACTGGGAAATTCCGGTCCTCTATCAACAAATTGGTCGTCATCTTCGAAAGAGTATTTCCGAGTTTCATCTCCGCCCGGTCGTGGGGTTGGGCCTTTCCGCAACAGGTCATCGAACCTATCTAGGCGCTGGTCTGCAACAGCTCGAGGGACCGGAAGGTAAAAGAGCATAGGCTTTGAAGCAGTTGACTTGAAGAGTTCGTCCAATGGCTTGAAGTTTTGCGCCGGCTGAGAGCTACCGCTCGCTTGAGATGCGCCGTTGGTGGGCCTATCCATAACTTGCGTCTCGGCTCGCGGGCCACGGGGCGGAGAGCGTGTAAACTCCTTCTGTGCTGAGTCTGGAAAGGCCTGGGTCTGAGACTTCTCAGAGCCGACATGCTCTAAGGTCGCTTCAACTCCGTCGCCACGCTCTTCGTACACGACTTGCCAGCGTAGCGGACGCCCACTCTGGAGCTCGGCTTCCTCTTCCATTTTGATCCACTCCCGTAGTTTGGGTACAGGAACAAAATCAACAGAAAGCTTCTTTCGGCTCTTCTCGTTCGGCCATACTGTACCATGGAGACGGTTGCGAGCTCGCATTGCTGTTGGAACATCCTCGAACCTGACAAAGCAATGGGTCTTGATAGAATCCAGATGAAGATCGATGATCAAGTCGGGCCTGAATTCTTTGGAGGTCGATACAACTGAGAGTAAGTGGTTCCTGAGAGCAGCCAGCTGTAAAGGACGCATAAGACCGCTAATATACAGCGCAGCGGTGGCAGCATGGCGGGCTGGCTCAACCGTAACGTCTTCCATATCCGCGTCACTTGGCGGCGGTGACTGTCGAGTTTGTTCCCGACCTGTTGAAGATAATAATCCTTTGAAGCGCATGTCTTGTTTTTGAAAAACGGCCTTCCCCGCCTGATCATCATGTCCACCTCCTTCCCCAATTGAACTTTGCTCATCCAAGACTTTGGCTCTCTTTCTTGCGACCTCCTCATTTGGAGGGACAGGGCTTTGGCTGCGACGCTTCCTTTTCCGAACATCATCAATAAACTCTTCTGCGGGTAGGGGCGTCGATAGCGCCGTGTTGGCCCCAGACGTCTGAGCACCAGGAAGTGCATTTTGCGTGCCATTATCATCTGGTTGCTTTGCACCGTTTAGTGGTACACTGGGTCCTGCCTCAGCTTTACTCCCAGGAGCCTGGTCAATTGGTGTGCTGATAGCTTCAGCATCGGATCCATCGACAACCTCGGTTCTTGCTTCCTTCTCTTCAGCCGCTTGGGTGGCAGTTTCAGCTTTAGGTTGTTTATCTCCAGCCCCATTCCTTGCATCGCTTTCCCGGTGTTCCTCCGCTTCGACGTTGGGCTCCCCTGCTTGCGAAAGTTGTTGGCGTTGGTCGGTCGAACCATTGAGATGTGCTGAGTACGTCTGAGCCGTATTTTCATCTGTCTTTCCATTCATTCCTGCCGATTTCGCCTGACCAGCTGGAGAGGTAGTTGCGGTATCCTGCGGCGGCGCATCCCTTCCCGCCTCCTCAGCTGCGGTAGGAGCACCGGCTGCGGCATCTCGCTGTCGCGCATTATCATCCGCGTCCTTGGTTGCTTTCTCGGTTGCGTTAAGAGCATTGACTGAGACATCTTGCTGTGGCGCTTCATAGCTGCCTGCTTCCTCGGCTTCGGTAGGGGCTTCTGGTTCGGCGGGCTGCGTTTCCTCTTCTTCTGCACCCCCTTCTTGGCCATTGGCATCATCATCCTCTAAGCGCTTGATGAAATCATGTTTGCGCCTCAAATTGGTCTGAGGGATACCACGCTTCTTCAGTTCATCCTTCAACTCGGTAACCTTCAATGTCGAATAATCGGTCATCGCGGTGATACTATAGGGTAAGAAACGTATTCAGGTAGAAATGTGGTTATATATCGTAATAGTGGCCGAAATCGATCATAGCTGGGATGTACCTAGCTGACAGTTGCTTGACAATTGAGTATGCGACGCGAGAGGCGAGGACTCGGAGCTTTTAAGGTCGAGTAAGCTGGGGAAGGACCACCTCGGGCCAGCCACTGTAAAACTCGCGCTTTCCCGTTTGTGGATTAGTCGAAGGCTCTGTGTCTGGGCCGGACAATCATTTCACCAGTGGGATCGAGAAACACTCTCAACAGCGAACAAGCTTTGATCTAACATTGAGCGACGCAAACTCTTTCGTGGATATGCTCAGGACGAAAATTCCTCTCGCCTTGACGGCGATATCAAGCTGAAAGATCAGGCAGACCACGGCGTGGTCTGATTTCGTTGACAGCTAGCATCTCTTTCGGGATATGCTCAGGAAGAAAATGCCTGTCGGCCTTGACAGCGCGATTAAGCGGAAGAATCAGGCATAGCAAGTTCGCCATTATTCCGGAACTTGTTTACAGCTCGATCCTGGACTGGGCTCTGAGGTGCCTCGATCCTTATCTGTATGCGGTAAAGATGGCCTCTTTGCGTACACGCAGCCACTAGGTATGCATCGTCGCTCACTCTGTACGGCTTGCTCTTTTTCAGGACCTCAAGAGCGTACCGTGGACACCATGCATGCCGCTGGTATACTGTAATTTTCAAATCGGCGATATGGAGTTCAACAAAGCTCAATCTGTAACCCGGTCAATTCCACAAGCTATCAGATATGAGCATGGATTCGGATTTGAAACTTCAAGGCAGCGGTGCGGGCACAGGAGAAACAGGGAAGAGAATGCTAATATGTCAAGGTAAAAAATGGCGTCCACGCTTGAGAAATGCTGAAGGTGGTCGCTTTCAAACGTTGATAAGGTGATTCAACAATTAGGCGCCAATTGCGAGCTCTGATAGCCATGGCCTCCATGTTCCCCGCACTCTCTTGTCAATCATCTTCATATATCCTACCATTATTTCGCACATATCATAGGAATATCAGGTGGTTTTCAAATTCAAAACAAAACAGCGAAGGTCCATCATGGTGCAAGCAGCCAGATTGCCTCCAATTCTCCCCGTCGAAAACCCCACAGAGCCGTTCTGGCGCACTGAGCTCCATCAGCTCGATGAACTTCGAACTACACCAAAGCTGCCTCAGCGGAGCGATATTGTGATTATCGGCGCAGGGTACTCCGGAATAAGCCTCGCGTACCACCTTTATAAACAGCTTTCCCACTCTGATCAAGCGGAGCCCGCAATTACCGTTCTGGAAGCAAGGCAGATATGTTCAGGAGCGACTGGACGTAATGGTCTGTTGCCGTCTCTTTCCATGTGTCTGATAGGGACGATCTCTAATAGCACTATAGGTGGTCACTTGCGCCCTGATCTATACGGGAATATCCCGAAGTATATCGAAAGGCACGGCATTGAGGCTGGTGCGGAAGTCGCGAGCTTTGAGATCGCGCACATAAAGGCACTTAAAGAGCTCGTAGCTGAAGAGAATATAGATTGCGACCTGAACTTAACCCGGTGTATGAATGTCTACTTGAATGAAGCCGATGGAGAGAAAGCAAAACAAACCTACGAACTTCTTGTTGCCCAAGGACTTGAGTACACCCCTGACATTCATTACACTCCGCAGAAGTATGCGGAAAAGGTAAGTCTACGCGTCACAGACCACAGTCTTAGCTAGTCCAACTTTTACTGAAATCGCTAGATATCCGGAGTCAAGGGTGCCAAAGCATGTATATCCTACACAGCAGGTACTCTATGGCCTTATAAATTGATATTAGGGTTGCTGTCGAAGATCGCAAGCTCGTCCATGGTCAATGTCCAAACATCTACCCCTGTTACCTCAGTGACTACCCAGGATGGCTTCCATTTTGTTCACACACCGCGAGGGTCCATTACCGCATCAAAGGTCGTGTATGCGACCAATGCGTATACTTCGGGTCTCCTGCCTCAGTACTCTGCGAACATCGTGCCGTGCAGAGGCATTTGCTGTCACATCACAGTTCCAGATGGCAAGGACGCCCCATTCCTTCCCTACACATATCTCATAAGGTCAGCGGAAGGAAATGGCCAAAGCTACATGATCACCCGTCCAGACGGAAGTGTTATAGTCGGCGGTGCTCAACACACCTTCGAACACGACAGAGAACACTGGTATAAAGTGACCGACGACAGCACTCTTATCGAGCCAGCAAAAAACTACTACGACGACTACATGCAACGCACTTTCAGAGGGTGGGACGAAAGCGGCGCATACGTCAAAGAGATCTGGACTGGTAGTAAGTATCCCGAACTGACATCCGGCCTTTGAAGGAATTTGCTGATGACGTGATGGTAGTCATGGGATACGCATATGATTCAGCTCCCCACGTTGGCGAAGTTCCTGACCAGCCTGGAAAATATGTATGCGCAGGGTACGACGGCCATGGTATGCCGGTCATCTTCCTTGCTACCAAGGGACTCGCAGACATGATCCTGCATGGACACACTTTTGAGGATACTGGTCTTCCTCGAGTTTACAAGTCAACGTCTGAGAGACTAAAAAGAGCCGCTGATGGTCCTGAAGGCGGGGATATTTTTGGATAGCAGCTGAAGGTTAGGCTCGCTCAAGATCTACTTTAGATTATCGAAATCATAAACAGCTATATAGTGACTGCGCAATATTGTAGAATTCCTAGCATGCAGGTACAGTCATCGGCAATGCTCCGGTGATCGGGAGGATATACAGTACCGTACCGGTTACTAAAGAATTCCGCGGGATCGTCGATTGCTGATTGGCCTGCCCACCTGGCGGATCTTGACTCATCGCCATTGGCAATAAAAAGCTCCCACCCCTCTCGCAATTCATGTTCGATGAGCACATAGCCACCCGGTTTCACTTCATTTTTTCCCCTTCTCTTTTCTGTCCTTTTGACTACTCAGTATACATTCAATCGCCCAACATTCTGTTTATTGGTACAATCTGTGGTTCACAATGGCCACTTCTACCCCGCCACTTCGTCAGTTTCCCCCACACATCTTTATCACACTTTTTACTTGAACAGCTACTAAATCCCGTAGAGAGGGTCGAATCCCAACCTGAAAACCCGTTCTCTGCCCTGATCGAGGACCAATCCTTCGTTATCATCCCATCGTTCACCTTGGAATCCGGCGTCACCCTCCACAACGTACCCGTTGCATACACCACGCGCGGAAAACTCTCTCCGGATGGCGACAATGCACTTGTTATCTGCCATGCTCTGAGTGGCAGCGCGGATGTGGCTGATTGGTGGGGACCGCTACTTGGTGGCCCTGGACAAGCCTTCGATATCTCGCGATTTTTTGTGGTCTGTCTCAACAGCCTGGGTAGTCCCTACGGAAGTGCAAGTGCGGTGACCTACAAGGAAGGAAATCCGGAGAAAGGCCTTTACGGGCCCGAGTTTCCGCTTACAACAGTCCGTGACGACGTGAGGTGAGTTTGATGTGCTGGCTATACTACAACCAGGGTGGGCTAACTGGATGAAGAATTCACAAGATGGTCCTCGATGATCTTGGTATCAAACAAATTGCGGCCGTAGTTGGTGGCTCCATGGGCGGCATGCTTACCCTGGAATATGCATACTTTGGAAAAGAATACGTTCGAGCCATTGTCCCCATTGCCACCTCGGCACGTCACTCTGCCTGGTGCATCAGCTGGGGAGAGGCCCAGCGCCAAAGCATCTACAGCGACCCCAAATACGAAGATGGATACTATTCATTCGATGAACCTCCTGCTGCTGGACTTGGCGCTGCTCGGATGTCAGCCCTTCTGACTTACCGGAGCCGTAACTCCTTTGAGTCTCGATTTGGGCGAAACGTACCGGACCCATCGAAGCGGCAGAACATCAATGGCACGGAGAGACTCCCGACTCCTCCTCACTCCAACGAGCATTGGGCAATCCACAATGATGGTCATAAGGGTAACTGGAGTGGCCGTAACTCCCCGGTGGCCGAGAAGACTGAGGTGCAGTACATGGATCCGCAATTTTCTGGAACGAAGACCTTCAGCAAAACCATCGATGAGAAAGCTCAAAAACGACCCGCCACCTATTTTTCGGCCCAGTCCTACCTTCGCTACCAAGGAGACAAGTTCGTGAAACGATTTGACGCCAACTGTTACATCGCCATCACTCGCAAGCTTGATACACACGATGTCTCCCGCCACAGGGCTAACCAGAACTCAGAGGCCCCGGTACGCGAAGCGCTTTCGCAGATTCAGCAACCTGCTTTGGTTCTTGGAATTGAGAGTGACGGTCTATTCACTTTCGAGGAACAGAAAGAAATTGCCGAGGGTATCCCGGACTCGAGGCTCAAGCGCATTGACAGCCCCGAAGGCCATGATGCCTTCCTCCTTCAGTTCGAGCAGGTCAACCAGTACATCTTGGAGTTCTTCCGAGAGGTTTTGCCTGACATCATGTCCAAGACCCCCGCCGACGGTGCCGCGATTGATGGTGTTGGCAAGCTAACCAAGAGCAGCACTTTTGGAGAAGCGGAGGTAGAAGACATCACCGCTTGGTAAACAAATCAAGCGTAGCATCACTTGTTGGCGCAGAGATTGCAGCCTTCACACATAACCAGCTCCACGAATGAGCGGGTCCCACGCCTCCTCTCGGTCAAGAGAGTACGGGCCGGCGATCCCAGCCATTTCCAGAGTTCTGAGGGAGTAGCGGTGCAGCCTTGTTATTTTCTTTCTTAACCAGTCAGAGAGATGAGCATCCAACTGCCTCTCTCGCAACCAGCATCACAGGTCAGACTGTAAAGAAGCATCCAACTGCTCCCCATCACACAAGCCCTCGACCAAGCGGTCTCCTGCGATGCAATTCGCGAGGGTGATGGGCCAAGTTTCCGGACTACCGGACATTATTCGATATCACAGTATAGCTTGCGTACAAACGCAATATATTTTCTTTTTCCTCCTTTGATATTCGCTTTGAAGTTTACGTAGGCTATTTGCGGCAACAGATGACCTCAACCTGGGGGCTTGATTCTCATCAATTTGACCACATGCCATTGTGACCTGTCACATTGGACTTTACCCCTTGAGTTATCCCTTTTGAAACCAGCTGCCCCTTGCATGAACTTTTACAGATCAAATCAAAATCGCTTTCGTGCTAATGAGCATTATGAGACAGGTCATTTCGCGGGTATGGCTTGCAACGCTCCCGTCCAAGAACGTTTTACTTTTCCCTCATGCTCGTCTATCGTACGATGACGGTTAGGCTTTGTGAGACCCCTTAAGGCACGATTCTTTTTGCGAAGGGGCTTGTAGCCCTGTTTGCTCTGCGAGATCGTCGCCTCAACCTGCGGCTTCCCATTTTATGACGATGGCGGACCGATTGCGGCCAATAGGTCAAGTCCCAGAGCCCCTATGCTTGTTTCCTACACATAGCAAATGACGACCGTTGCTTTTGCAGCAAGAACGCACTCTGGCGGCTTGTTCGAGGATGGTGCTGGCACACCGTTTCACAGAACCCGTGATGTTGTGCTGCTGTGCGACCTTGGGCTGCTGTTTTCTTTCCTCCTTCCCATCTCCTCCTTCTTTTTCTTCTTCCATTATCACCGTCATTCCTTCATCTTTTCACTCCTTTGTCCTTTCTTCCGCTCGGAGCATTCCCTCTCATACCGAGCAGTCCTTCGTTTCCTTTTTTTGGGGCTCTTCGGCCTGGCTTGACGCCATAGTGCATTGCTTATCCTTCGCCCCCGGATCAGCACTTTATACGCGCCTGTGGCAAGGCCTAAACTCTTGGGTTTCCCTGTTTCGCGCTGTCTGCCCCCGGAATTGACCCGGAGGCTCACGGACCCCGCTCGTTCGGCCCTGACTGAACTCAAAGCATTGTTTATATCCCCGCATTCCAGTCCATTGCGTTCTTTATACTTTCTTACTTCATTGGCTTCCAAATCAATAGCATTCCCTCTCTTTCTTTTGTATCCACTTGGTTGCTCGGCACTGGTTGCCAGACATCGCTTGTTTTGCGTTAAACCTGTAGTTACGCGCTTCGACTACATATTCTCGGTGCAAACACCAGACTACATGCTTCCATCCGCACTATGGATGCCCTATTTTCCAAGAAAGCCTCGCTGAAGAGGCGCGCTTCCTTGTCCCTTCTATTTGGCTCGCAGGTGAGGAGTCAGACCTACACTACTCCCAGGCCGCTCTAACAGCCCTAGAAACCAACATTCGCAGCAGTGCTAGACGAGAAACCCACGCGGTACTATGATTTTGTCGACACACCTTCTCCTCCTAAGCGTCCATCGCCTTTCATCAGCCGGCAAGAGATATCGCCCGAGTTGGAGTCAAAGATTAGATATTCTTGTTCCTTGCTTGCGTACCGGATTGAGCAAGGGATTCCTTCTCCTCCCAACAACGCATACCGCCGCGCAGTAAGAGATGCACCAGTGGAGAGCATCACACCGAAGTCTCTGCTAGTCTCGAACTATCCAACTCCAAAAGCCGGACCAGAGTCGGCTTCGGTAACTGGGTATGACTCCGGCGTGGGTCTCACACAACAGCCAAGTATGCAAACAATGAGAGTGCTTCATTCTCGGTCCGGCGAAGCATCAGATGCTGGAGATACAAGGGCTGTCTCGATATTCAGCAACACCAGGACAGGCACATCTTGCTCTGACCTCAGCACCGAGCCCTCATGCGCTCAGTCGTCATCCCACAGTCCCCGGCAGAATGAACTCAAGCCAACAATTGGCGCAACTATAACGGGCTACAGGCAACCAAATCATTCAGCAAAGGCCTTCCTCATCGAATCCTCACTACCACTGTCTGAACCACCACCCTACAAAGAAGATGCCCAAGACACGAATGTTTTCCTCAACCCGACCATCACCAACCTCTCCTCTGAAACCCTATCGAGCCATCCATCTCCTCGCTTAGGGCTAGCAAGAGTCCCCGCGCTCACTCAGCAACCCAAACCTACGTTCACTCCCAACAATACCAACTTAGAAAGGTCCCGGAGTATCATCATCGACGGCGCCGGCCAGGCTCGCCTCTTAACGCCGGACGAAGAGTCCCAGCGCAACAAAGCACTCCAGCATGCTGTACTTTCGAAGATGACGCCCGGTTTCATGAGATATAACCCTGTTCGTGTGCCTCCGCGACGACAATGTCAGGACAATCAGCCGTACCAAAGTCCTGTGGACAGTGATGGTATGGGCAGCACGTACCGCGAAAATGGTTCTCAGGCCGGACTGCAAAGAATGCCATCTAGGTTTGGACTCTCTTGGTCGGATATCAAGTCGGAACTGCACGCATCAAGAAGGAAAGACACAGGTACGGGCTCGCGGAGATTGAGAGATGAGGTGCCGTTGGTTGGGAAATTGAGTAAGCTCTTTTCACGCGAACGTCGCAACTAGGGTATCCTTTCGCTCGTTGGTGGTGGGTTGTACAGACATATAGGCGCTGGATATCGTGATTGGCTTGTTGTTTACGTTGATTTTTGATTTTCTTCTTATTAGGGCATAAGGTGGCGTCGTCGGCTTTGGGTTTTTGGCTCGTGCAAAACTTGGGGCATCGTCAGTTGGGACTGGATTTACGGGAATTACATTGTATTTTGTTAGCATGTAAGTTGATATTAAATGGATTACATCGAGTACATCGAGGAAAACCGAAAACTACAGTTGAACCCAGCTTGAGTTTACAAAGAGAATTGGCTTCATCAATCATACCTAGTACATCAATGACAAAGAACGAGATCATAAGTCATGCAATGGAGATATCCCCGTACATACCATCGGGATGTGTATAGTGCCTCTGTAGATCCATACGCACCCACAGGAAGGTACCTAAGTATCTACAACCCAGTCCAAAACCTCGTCTTCCCAACCTCAAACTCCGCCGTAAGCACCCCCTCACCCGTCCCCGTAACCTGCACCCCATAAGTCCCCTTCTCACTAGTCCAAGCATCCCGCTTCTCATCCCACCAGCTCGTCGCCAGCTTCTTCTCAACCACGATCTCAACGGTCTTCGACTCCCCAGGCTCCAAGCGCACCTTGGCGAACCCCTTCAGCTCACGCACAGGCCGGTTCACCTCCGTCGGCGGCGGCACAACCCACAACTGCACTGTTTCAGCACCCGCGAGCTCGCCCGTGTTCGTAACCGTCACTGTGGCGGTAATGGGCTCGCCGTCGCCGAGTTTATCATGCTCAGGCGTTGTGGTCAAGCTCAGGTTCTCGCGCGTGAACGTCGTGTACGAGAGGCCGTGGCCAAACGGGAAGAGGGGCGGGAGTGATACCTTCTCGTAGTACCGGTATCCAACGTAGATGTCCTCGCCGTAGAGGACACGGCCGCGCTCGGAGCGGAAGTTCAGGTAGCTGGGGTTATCCTGGAGGCGGACGGGGAAGGTCAGGGGGAGCTTTGCGGAGGGGTTAACGGCGCCGTAGAGCACGTCTGCGATGCCGTTTCCGCACTCGTTGCCGCCGAACCAGGCCTGGAGGAGGGCTTTGGTCTTTGAGGCCCAGGGCATTGTCACGGGGGTTCCACTCTGGATGACGATTGCGGCGTTGGGGTTCACGTCGAGGACTGCGGAGATGAGCTCGTCTGAGCCCGGGGGGAGATCCATGTCTGGACGGTCGTAGCCCTCTGTTTCCCATTCGCTTGTGAGACCTGCGAAGACGACGACTTGGTCTACTTTTGAGGCGAGCTCTACGGCCTTGGAGATGAGTTCTTCCTTCGTTTGGCGGCGGGCGGCGCCGAAGCGGAATCCGCCTGGGCCGAAGATGACCACGCCGCGGGTGTCGATGTCTGAAGTTGGTGCTGTGCCGAATTGCAGGGTGACTTTGTAGGTCTGGCCGGCCTTGAGTTCTTTTGAGCCCTGTTCTTCGACGGTGCCGTTGCCGAAGAAGGCGGAGCCGAGGCGTTGGTTCTTGGTGTTGTTGACAACAACTTCGTCGTCTACGAGGAGTTTCCCTGTGCCGACGACTACGACGCCGAAGTCGTAAATGCCGGACTCTTCGGGAGTAAAGTAGCCTTCCATGTCGACGTAGTAGAGGAAGGATTTGATCTTGGGGTGGCGGTAGTCCATGAGGAAGCCTTGGGATGAAGTCAGGTGCAGCTCGTGGAGGAGTTCGCGGTTGCTGCTGGATGCGGGCTCGTCATAGACGCGGAACTTGAAGCCTGTTTTGCCGTCGTCGGTCTTCAGGAGATGTCCAATCAAGGGAAGGTCCTTGTGCGAGTAGGCGCCTTGGGCGAACTGGACCTCGCCTTTGCTCTGGGCTGTTACGCCTTCGAAGGGCGTGACAGTGTAGTAGGCATCTAGAGATGCAGAGCCACCTCCACAGTAGGCGGCGATCTTGGCGTTTGGTCCAATAACCGCGATGGACTTTTCCTTGTTGAATGGGAGAATATTGTCGTCGTTCTTCATGAGCACAACGGACTCGGCGGCAACCTTTCGTAGTAGGGCTTGGTCTTCGGGCCGATTCAGGACCTTCTCCTCGGCATTTTCAGGAATGCCCAGTGGCTCGACGTAGTTGATTAGGTTCAGAACATTACGGACACGTTCATCCAGGATGAACTCGTGGACCTTGTTTGAGGAGACGGCGTGTGCCAGGGCGCCTCCACGCCAGCGAGTCTTCCCTGGCATCTCTATGTCAAGCCCGGCGATGATTGACTCTGATGTACTGTATGTTCCGAACCTGCAATTGTTTAGGCATTATCCTCAAAAAGCCGGATTAGGCACGTACCAGTCACTCATAACCAGCCCGTCCCAGCCCCATTCCTTGCGAAGGATGTCCGTGATATACTTCTTATTCTCACTGACATGTGTGCCGTTGATCTTGTTGTAAGCCGTCATCACGGTAGCCGTCTTGCAAATCCTCATCGCAATATGGAACGGCAAGAGATAAATCTCGCGCGTAGCACGGTCCGTGACAATAGAATCTACCGCCAACCGCTCATGTTCCTGGTCATTGCACACAAAGTGCTTAAGACAAGCGGCAACGCCTTTCTCCTGGACACCCTTAGAGTAGTGACCAGCTAATTGGCCGGAGAGGACACCATCTTCAGCAAAAGACTCGAACCCCCGGCCACCCAACGGCGAGCGCTGTGTGTTGATTGTGGGACCCAATATGACGTGCGCACCCTTGGCAATGGCTTCCTCTCCCATCAATTGCCCGACCTTGTGCAGCAATTCGGTGTCCCAGGTTGATCCGAGGGCCGTGGCGCAGGGGAAACATGCTGCTGGCACACCGTTGAAAAAGCGAGTTCCACGGACGCCGTTGGGGCCATCGGACATGCGCAGGCTGGGGATGTTCAGTCTGGGGACGGACGCAGTGTGCCAGAAGTCGATTCCTAGGCAAAAGCTGTGAGTCCAGCCAGAAAGTCTACTAGACTTATGGGTTGTGGCTTTGCGTACCGGACACAAGGTCAATTTTCTCACCGAGCCGAAGCTCTTCAATGGTCTTCTCCACGTCCAAAGGCATTGTCAAGGAGATGTGGACGGCAAGATAAGAAATCCCTCCGATCTACAGGGGAAGAAAAGCTTCCGCAGTGACAACAGAAGTGTCAAGCACAGAGACTGACTGGGTGACAGGAAGAGAGTCAAAAACCTGCAAGACACAAGGAACGGGAGCTCTAGATATACGTACTGCTTGATCTCCTGGTCTCCATCGCCCCGACGTACCGATAACAGAACAGCTTCACATAAGCTGGAGTGCGCCGGAGCTCCACACCAGCAATTGCAACCAGGGCCGTGCCATGATCAATGCCCACTGCTGGCTGGGCTTCCTGAAGAGGGAGCCTAGGGGCCCGTCGGGGCTCTGTAACCTCGAGAAACGCCGAAATTCAGCCACGGCCTGCATCAATCAACAGGGAGCAAGAAGACGCAATTGGCGGAGCCGAGTGCATCGACGTGGGGCAGAGGACGACCTGAAAAGAAGCGGAGGGTCGCCCGCCCGAAGATCAACCGAGTCGCGCTCGGAGTGTCGGCCCGTTCAGCCTGATTGACTCGCTTACCAAGTTACCTTTACCATGTAGCTCGCCTCGGAGTACCTGGCCCGGGTTACTGTGCAGCTCGTCGACAACTGAGGGACCTTGGTAGATAAGACATTACTCATATTCAATGCTTCAAAGCAGATCTAGTCGTACTATACGGACCAATATCTAGTAACACCTGCGATGCTCACTGCGGCACCTGAAAGGTGCATAGAAGATGTAAAGGGTGGCTTCCAAAGAGAAGAGAATACATGAGATGGGCCAAAGCAATAAGAAAGCCCAGCTAGCTAGAAAAATAAAACAATAGAGCGGAATGCTTAACACCGTGAACAATGCTCATATGATATCACCAAGTAGACCAGACATATAGAAAACAAGAAAAATGAAAGAAAGAGAAGGCGTGTGTATTTTATCAATATCAAGCTCCACGTCGAGCACGCTTGTTGTCGCTGCCTGCGCCGCGTCCACCCCCTCGGCTGCTTCCATCACTATGTCCGCCTTCGTCCCCTGGTCGTCCGCGTTTGCGGTGAGGCCCGCCTCCACTGCCGCTTTCGCGATTATAGTTGCGATCGCGCTGGCGGTCACCCCTGCGGTCGCGCTCGCGGTCTCGAGGTTCCCGACCGCTGTTATTCCAGCGTCGTTCTTCATCCGGTCCACCGGGAGGGGGCGGAGGAGGAGGTGGTGGTGGAGGGGGTTGTCCGCCGTGCGAAGAGGGAGGACGGAGGCGCCCTTCATGCTCTTGGGAGGGGTCTGGGCCAGCATCACGATCACGGCGCCGCCGGTCCTCACGAGGCCCAACACCGCGGCGGGACGCTTCGCGAGATTCGTAATGTTCTTCCCGAGGGGCTCCTGATGGCACATCACTCCTACGGCTCCGCTCGCGGGCGCGATCTCGTCCATCTTCTCGTCGGCTGCTGCTCCGTGACCCGTCATTATCACCGCCACGACGATCCCGCTCTCGTTCGGCTTCCCGTTCTCGGTCGTGAGAGAAGCTACCTCCGGTCGAATAGCGTTGTAACCGGCGACCATCAGGGTTAATGTCATCAGTAGACTCGTGACGACCGCCGCCACTCGGCCGACTTCTAGGATGCCCATCGCCTTCAGGCTGTCCAGATAGCCTTCCGCTAAGAAGATCGGGTTTATTCTGGGTCGGCATCCCGGAGCGGGGCCCATCCTCGGCCCCTGGGGGCGGTAGTCTAGCTGACTGCGGTAATTGCGCTTGAGCGCTTGCGGACTGTCGATTGGCACCACGGCCCCGTATAGTTGGACCGATCCCACGGTCTGCTGCAGGTGTCATAGACATAGACTGCTGAAGAACGTTGTTCAGATTCGCAAACCGCCTGTCGTTGAAGCCTGGGCCGCCTGGAGGCCCACGAGTCAGGGGTGACGATCCTGAACCCGGGCCAGTTCCGCCACGAGGCCCCGAAGGAGGAATAATAGCCGGTGGGGGTGGTGGAAGGTTGGAACGCGGGCTGGATCCGTGCACCTTGTCCGAAGTTTGTCCTTGCAAGGCCTTGAGTCGATCAGGGTGGATTCCACTTGCTTCCAGTTTATCAGCGGTAGGGGATGAAGCGTCAGCAGGAGGCTCGTCACTCCGCATCCCCTGGCGCCCAGGGCCTGTTGGCGGCGGACGGTCAGTCACTGCAGGTCCACTACCAGGAGGGCCCGACCCAGGGTGGGACGCTGGCGCGTTTCGCCCGCCCCGATTAGACGGAAGTCTGCTTTTTGGTCCGGAGGGTATATCAGGCATTAGATCAGCTTGACGCGGTCGTCCTCCAAGAGGATCAGGGCCACGGCCTAAATCGCGATAATCCGGACCTTCCATAGAAGTTGGAGGTAGTCGGTCACTGCGCGGACCCCTTGGTGTTTCATCGCTGCGAGGAGGCTGGTTATGACTCTGAGGCTTGCGAATATCAGGGAATCGTTCCGGGCGATTGGGAAGATCAGGATTGGGAGATAGAGGCCTTGTGGGCAGAGACCGCCGATCGTCCCTTTCCTGACGCATTGGTTCTCCACGGCGATAGCCGTCGCCTGGTTTATCTGAAATATCGTGAATGAGGTCTGCACGGTCAGGATGCGTCTGCGGACCAGGTCTTGGACCGGGAAGACCCTCGCGAGGGTCTGAAGGGCGGGGCCGGCCAGTACGTTCACGATAGGGCGCACGGAATGGTTCGTCTATAGGTGGTCTGAAAGAGAGATCCCTATCCAGGCGGCCGAAGCCCCTGCTGTCATTGATAGGCGGTTCGAATGAGCGACTGAAATCCCGATCGCCGGGCAAACGACCACCCCGACCATAATCCGGTAGACGGTCTCGTCGGTCATCTAGAAGATCCGGTCGTGGCGGTAGACCCCTTTCGTCCCGGTAAGGGTGAGATGGTGTATGCTGCTGAGAACGCGAGACCTGGCTTCCGCCTGGTGTTCGGTCCGATTCAAGCGGCTTTGGGAGATTCGCTTGCCTTCGAGACTCAGGGCCCCTAGGAGCTTGATTCGCAGCAGACGCAGGGGAGGGCCGTGAATGAGGCATAGCGGCTCCTCCAGTCTGACCCTTACGAGTGGTATTGCTGGGCGCTTCCTTCGTTGTTGTATCAGGACCACCTGTCAGACGGTTCTCATTAGCTGGGGCTTCGCTAGCTGCTTTGTCTGTCTGTTGCGGTTCTGGTTCGGCCGGCTTTTGAGCCGGTGGCTGCGCACTCGATCCATCTTTTTGCGCATCTGCCATTTTAGCATCCTCGATCTCTCCATCCTCAACTTCCTGTCTCGTAGCTCCCTCCACTCTGGCGGCACTCTTTGATCTATATTGCTACAGTTAGCACCTAATGCGTAAAGTTTAGCTATTTTCTCAACTTACTCAGTCTCACCAGAGGGCTTGAACTCTGGGGCAGCAGCATTGAAAGGAGTGGGAGTTGTCGAGTCAGGCCGAGAAGGAGTTGCTCTCCCAGTTGATTGACTGCCCTTTCCAGGGACTGGCTGGTTGGCGATCATAAAAGCCTGGGGTAGCATCCATTTCTTCTCACGACGGTTGAGATCACCAATCAGGGAGGCAGCAGGAATCTTCACATCGTCTCGCTCATCATTTTGGCTAAGGTTATTCACGCTTGTATGCATGTCTCGACCAATCCAGTTGACAGCCGGGAAGTTCTGGACGACGGCCTTTAGAACACTGATGGCATTGCGGATGTGCATGTACTCGCCCCCATTCAGACAGATCTTCAGGGCAGAAGATAGGAGACGGTGCCATTTATACAGCAGGCGACGGAAGTCTTCATAGTCGAGAAAGGTCGTAGGCTTGCCTTCAGGGTCAACATTCATAGCGAAACCGGGGAGGTCCTTTTTTGTGCCGAACGCCTCCTTCTCGTAGACAGCCTTGTCGGCATGCCAGCGCCCAAGGTCGCGAAGGACCTCATTCAGGAAACGACCAAGATTATCGGCTTCCCTCGAGGTGGACTGGAAAATTAATGCTGTGAGCCTCTGCTCCCGGAACAGCTGGTCCAGAAGACCAACGGTGCGGAAATTGGGGGCCCCAGTTGTGTGAAGGAATTTCATCATCTTGAAACAGTAAAACGCGTCGATAGGGGATAAAAGAAGACGCGGCAAAAAGCACTGCTCCAACAGAGCGATATGTAGCAGATCGGCCTTTCCCCGCATACCAACAAACCAACCCTCCTTTTCCTTTTGTAGCTTTTGTCTTGTTTGGCCGTACGCCACAAGGTGCGCTTTATTCTCTTCCAGTATCCGGTCCTGAAGCTGAGTGGTTTGCTTCTTCTCTCTCTCCTTTCTCTGGGTCCCTGCAAGACTGATATCGGAGCGATCATTGCCGATCGAGACCACCTTCTTTTTCAATCGCTCAATCTCCTCTTCGTATGATTTTTGAGGAATATGAACATCGTAAATTGAGAGTTGCCAGAATGTGACATAGAAAGGCAACCCAACTACGCTCCAAGTCTCCGCAGGTAACACGGACCTGATTTGATCCTGGAGGTCTTGCATCACAGGGTTAGGAGCCGGGTATTCAGGGGCTTCGGGGCTATCGAAAGGTTTTTGGTCCAGAGTTGTCTCGGCATCCTGAGCAGTTTGTTCTTCGTCGACTTCCATTTGACCTTCATCGGCAGGTGCTTTTGGGGTTTCGGTATCATCAGTGCCCTCCATCTTTTCAACCTCTGCCTTTAGAGCAGGGACATCTTGGCTCTCTTTCTTAGCTGCGCTGGTCGTATCCTGTGATGTCTTTTCCAAATCAATAACCTTGTGCGCGACGCTAGGGCGTCGAATCCAGAACGCGATCTCAGGCTGGATGCCAAAATCTCTGATGAGAGACGCAGTGTCAGGAACAAACGAGTCGAAATCCTCCACTGACAGGTTGCTGCGGAGGAGATCCAGGTACTGGGCCAAGATACGGTGGATCTCATCAAATATGTTACCCAGTAACTTGAGCTCAGAGGAAGTCTCCGATTCCTTGAAGATGCAGGTGAGTCGTTCTTGTGCTATCGCGATGAGCAACTGGCCAGCAAGTTTTGAGGTTGTAAGCGATTTCATAAGCCGCTTCGATGTGGTTTTTGATTCGTGTCGTTTGTCCAGCAATTGTAGGATGGTTTGCGATTGCAGGATTTCACCACCGGCCATTGCCTGGATTTGAGAATCATTAAAGTTCGAATCGGTGATGATGCCGGCCATCGAACTGATCATTTGTTCTAAGATGATAAGATCCGTGGAGTTATTTTGGCGCAGTTGCTCAACAACGTACTGCAGCACTGGGCTCGGGTCCATCACTGAATACCGCTTGAACGTTCTACCAGCAAAGGTGGCCAAGGCATTGAGCCAACGGCTTGTGAGCAGACCACCCTCCTGGACTCGGCTGCGGCCCTTCTGCCCAAGGGAGCTGATCAGCGCCCAGGTAAGTATGTCGTAGCCAAGGTATGTAAAATAACGCGCACATTCCACAACAACTTCGATAAGGTTTTCGTACGACTCGATCTGGCCGATGGCAACATTAATGACGATACCAGGGTTTGCGTAGGCAATCTTGGCCAACGCACGAGCCATTGGACGAATATTGGTCTTGCTCAGTCGTTTGAGGACATCTTTGGTTTCCGCTCGCGCTTGGTCGAAGGCAGATTGTATGTCAGGGAGTCGAGAAGTCTGACCGAAGTACCACTCAGCATACATATTATACCGAGCATCCCGAGGGAAAAAGCTAATGAGATCAAAAACTTCGTTCACCACGCCAGGATTCGCCTTGGTAAGACTGATAGCAGGGACCAATAGTCGTTTGCACAAATCTTGCCATCGTGCCCTGTTTTCAATGGAGTCGTCATTAACGAGGCTGTACTTCCCAATTCTGGCCAGTTTCGTTAGCAGGCTGGAATCTTGTCCGATCTTATGCCCAGATATGTTTAGGAACGACTCGCAAAGAGCAAAGACATCGTCAATCGACTGACAGATGGGAACGTTGTCGGACCAGTCATCCCAGTAAAACCTATAGTCAGTTCCATCGTTCGTGTCTTCCTTATCCAGCTGAGCCCATCGCAGTGTCCGTCTCTGGGGCGCCTCGATTAGTTTGATGTGGCCCTTCGGCACGCCTGCCTGGTCATGACTCGGTATTTGCTTCTGGTCTCGAAGCTCATCGATCGGTTGTAGAGGGCGCACGGAAGCATAGACCTTGCTTAGACAGTGATGAAGGATACGGTGTATGTATTCGGGAAGCTCAGGATAGACGTCCATGAGCCAAGGGAATTTGCTCAAAATAAATAGGGATTCAGGGATGGCACCAATCGTGAGTAGGCTCTTCAAGAGAAGTACCTTTTGATCTGATGGCTCAGGTAGGTCACTCTCCTCCGCTTTTGTTGCAGCTGCCTTCTCCGCCTCTTGGTCCTTCCCCGGAGTTGATGACCGAGCTTCGGACTCTCTAATCCGTGGGATAGGTAAGGTGTCGTCTGAAAGAGCGCCGGCAGCCATAAGAGCATTCATTCCACCACCGGGTCGCGCTGCCCTCTCCCTCTCAGCCTTTTCCTTCAGCTTCTCCTCCTTTAACACGTCCATAGAATCGTCAGGCCGCCAGAGGTGAGGGTAAAGGTCACGAAGGGAGATAAAGCCGACTTTGATCAACAATGCAGCGAGATAGATGAGGTTATCCGGAAGCACATCTGATTTGGCCCGCGCAGGAGAGGAGTAGAAACGGAGCTTGAAACCCAGGAGTTGTGCAGCTACTCTGCTTCCTTTAGGTGGTAGTGTGCCTGTTTGTTGGATCCATTTGCGGGTGTCGATTTCCTCTGGGGTCAAGTTATTGGACTCGGGGATCAATTGCTTGAGTTCCGCTTCCGACACTGGTCTGCGACCTATCTCGAAGAAGGCTCGGATCTTGACTTCGCGAACCCGATCCCAGAATTCTCGATCTCGTTGGGAGTTCGCTTCCGTGGCTGCAGCACGTTCTTCGTCGGTTGTTGACCATATCGGTGACCCTGGTAAAGCCCAATTCGGAAGCCCAGAATCTCGCGATCTCCCATCACTGCCATGGGATGCGTCCTCTTTGGGCCACCAGGAGCTTGCCCGTAAAAGCTTAACGAAAAAGCGATATTGCTTGACCAATACAGCTGCGAAAACATCAAGCGTAACGTCAAGTACACGGCCGACGTCCATATCAAAGGCACCTATCATCGCCTTTACCCTTTCGAATGTATCCTCGACGACTTCGCCGGTAGGGGGCTCATTATTGCTCGTTGTGAAAAGTTCTGTTAGTAGCTTAGAATAGCCTTCAGATTCCTCGCGAAGAAGGTTGTAATTTGATTGCCGATAAAGAAGATTCGTCTGCTTCCGGATTCCCATACGCGCAAATGTGTTTTGCACAAGACCAAGCGACTGAATTAGAGGTGTTTCGAGTTGCAGGCGCATAAGGGCAGGGTTGATTCCGGTGGAGAATACTAGAGGCTTGAGCGCATGATTTGTGGTGTCTGAATCAGTCACGATAGACAGGGTATCGAGGAAGAAAGTGCTGGTATCGAGGGAGGCCGACGGCTGCTCCTGGCTATGCATGTCAACATCGTCAGCGGCAACCTCATCCCCAATGATATCCTTGATTGTTGCACCAGCTTCTTCGGCAGGTAATCGTCCATCAAGAGCACAGCGAATGAGCTCCTGGTAGACAGAGGCAAGGGTCACGATATCTTCGTCATTCCTTGCCTGTACCCCGCGCTCAACAATCGTCTGTCTTCCACCTGCCGCCCAGTTGTTCCTCGTATCATCCAATATGTAGTCATATCGATAAGGCGGTAGAGGTTTCTTCGGTGGTTGTGCGGGCACGGCCGGCGACATCTCCGTCTGCGGTGTTGGGGTTGACTGTGACTGTGTTTGGGTTTGCGACGGCTGCTGTGACTGCGAATGGGGTTGAACTGAAGCCGCGGGGGGTAAAGGTGATTGAGATGATTGTGGCTGCGACGACGGTGTTGCTCCGTTGGTTTTCACTTGCTCCGACGCTTCTCTACCAGTGGGCTCTGTGTCCCTTCGACCACTCGTAAAATTTTGACCATCGTTGCTCGGCACTCGACCCGCATTGTGTCTTCCACCGCGACTAGACTGTCTCCGTGCCCTTCCCCGCCCATCAGAGAAATCCCGAGCCTGGGGGGAATGCGAGCCGTGGTTCTGTTGCGCCATGATGAGATTGCCGGGGCGATGGGGAGAAGGCCGTTGACCGTCGTTCGTGGAGTCAGTGGACCATGACCTATCGACTTTCTTCCTCTTGCCGCCGGCACCTGGAGCCATGACAGCTTCTCACAAAGCCAACGGTCAGGTAGAGAACCGGTGTGCGCTCGACAGGTTGCGAGTCATTGGGCGAACCTAGACGTGGAGCAAGGTTAGCTCTCCTGGCAGCAGCCGAGAGTTGACGCGTGAAGTGGAATTGGATTTGCGATCGCGGGAAGACAACCTGCAGTGCTGGTATAACCTGAGCAAATATGATGCGGGATGAAAAAGCCGCGACGCCTGGGAGAATGTCGGGATTTAGCTGGCCAGGACTGTTCCCAAGGTTCCGACGTAATAAAACTGAGTGACAGCACCGATTCCCTGAATGGCGCGCTAGCTTGCGCTTGGCGCGACTAACTCGCTAACCGCGTTTGTCAGGACAATTTGAAATATAACTCTCTTGTTGTGAACTTGATAATAAACCATTGATTAATCAATGAACTATTTAATCACAAGAATTCAGGCCAATCCCTCCTGTTTAGCTTCAATGAACAATCCATTGATTAATCAATGAACTACTTAATTACAAGAACTCAAGCCAATCCCTCCTGTTTAGCTTCAATGTCAACAATCGACGGAATGAGCTCCAGCAAGCTAGGCTTGCTCGGTGACCAACCCAGGAGCTTCTTTCCGCGGTGCGACCATCCTCTGGAGCTGCTTCCCCAGGCATAGAGCCCGAATTCGTTCAGTTTTGTCACGTCTGCATCGCTGATAGGTTCGACATCAGGCGAAGCGATAAGCTTCTTGTCATAGGCTGCCTTAGCAACAGCTCTCTGGACATCTCCCCAGACGAATGGGCCGTTCTCCGCGAGATAGTATCCCTTGTCATTCCAAGTGGCGTTACCACCGCCGGTCGCCGCCGCATCTCCCAGGAGGCGGTAGAGGTCACTCAGGTCCTGGACGTGAATCTGGTGCCAGACGTTCTTACCCTCTCCAACCAAGAACCCCTTCTTCCTCTTGAGGACTGCAGCTGCCAGCCAATACGCTTGAACGCTCTTCTGGTTTCCGGGACCGCGGCCAGGGCCGTAGATTGTAGGAGGGCAAACAATGGCAACCTTGACGCTGTCCGGGGCACGTTTTCCAGCTTCGATGATGATCTTGTCCACGTTGCGGTGCAGCGAGTCGTCCGGGAGGTTCAAAAGTTCGTCAACTCCATCCCAATCATCATGCTGCTTAGATCGCTCGAGACCCCAGGTGTTTGTACGGAAGTCTTCCACTGTCAGAATGCCGGTTCCCGACGTATGAATTATCCACACAGGCTTTTCAGCAGTGTGGTGGCTGGCGCCCTTAGCGATAGCAGTAGCAGATGCGACGTGATCGCAATCAGCGCAGTCTATTGTCATTAGAAATCCAGATTTTGATTTCATGGCTGTATGAAGGGGTCATTGACGCACGGAATACAATGTCAGCGTTCTTGGTCTCTTCTTCGATAACAGCAGCCGAATCCAAGTCGCCCTGGACGACCCTTGCGTTCGGATACTCGCTGGCAAGTTTGGCTCCTTTCTCCTTGTTGCGAACCAGAACGGAGATCTCCCAGTCAGGGTGGGCCTGAGTCACAGCGTAGAAAACATCGCCGCCGATATACCCAGTCGCTCCAGTGCTGTTACTGTGGTCAATAAAAGCAACTGCTGGGCCATGGATGAGACTACTTACAGAAAGGCCTTTACGGGTGCCATTGTTGCAGATCAAGCTTACTTTATGGTAAGGATGAGCTAAAAAGACAAAATTTGTGAGCAGGTCGCAGGAGAAAGAACGGTGGACGTGGGACGATGAGCTCTATAAGGCAGGCTCTTCATTGCATCATTGGGTGCTTTGAAATCAAATAAGAGTGGGAAGACTGAAGAGTGGGGTGTGGGGTGGACGAAGCTGCTGGAAGCTGGAATCGATGGTCTACTGTAGAACAAAGCCACATTCGAATTACCTAGGTAGTGAGCTTGAACTTTTGCAATCATTATAGCATGCTGATACCAAAGCTTCAATAGCCCAGCAACTAAGGATCTACCAAGACTTAGTCTAAGAGTGTCATATCCAGGGTATCTAATCAGATATCTAATAGCGGGGTCGATTTTTGACTTCATACTCCGAGCTTTCCCCACTTCTGCACAATGGCCCTCGGACCCTTGACATTTGAGGACCTTGGCGATCTGGGAGAGATGCAGTCAAGTGCTCACACACACATAATCACATGTACACATTATTGATGTCAGCCGGTTATAGAGAAGTTAGGCATTTGGAAAAAGAAAAAGCCTCATAAGTTTGTATAACATCGCTTCAAAGTCAATAGCTGAAAGCCAGCATATAGTAATCAATTATCATGAGCATACGTCAGAGGGACGGGACAGAATCGCGAAAATGGTTGCGAGGGGAATCTCTAAGAGAAAGCACACTCATAATTTACAAAATCAGACGGTCAAAAACACGGCGAGAACACTCAGAAAGTACTGCCTGCTAGTCTGCTGGCGGCATTCCGGGCATCGAGACGGTCCTCATCATCTTCAACAATTGAGCTGACGCCACTGGGAGAGCGAAGACGTCCCTTGGCTCCTTGTCCATTTGTCTCCTCATCCTCCTCCGGAGCAGGAGCGGCGAAGCTGCCGCTGAGGCTGCGCCCGAGGCTGTCGCTGCGACGCGGAATTCCACTCCAAGCATCGCCCTTGGGGCCTTGGCTTGAAGCGAGATTTGGGCGTCGCCCAGTAGGGTGGCTTTCACGGCCCAAGCGGCTAAGCCCCCCGGAGGCGTCAATTGAGCGGATATCTGGTCTTACGCTCTCCAGTGTCGCGAGCGTCCTCCGCTCGGCCTCGATCTGTCGCAGTGTATATTCACGTAGACTCAACCAGACATCGTTGGATGTCCGTTCAAACCAGCGGCGCTTTTCGTTCAGAAGGTTCGATGTTACTCGTTGCGTCTTCTTGGTCAAATAGTCCTCTTGGCCCTGGGCTTCGTCAAGCGCACTAATGGCTTCATCCACCTTGTCGGGTCGAACTGACGAACTGACCTTCAGTCGATCCGCTGCTGCGCGTTTGCTGCGCGTTGCCTGTTGAGCTTGGATCAGTTCCCGAAGCAGGATGTGGCGGTTAGTTAGCGTCTCTTTGACAATAAGCGCGTCGGATGAGTGGTAACTCAGGGGATCCCCGAGAGTGGTTGCCTCGGCAGTAGCCTGAACCGCATGGTAGTCTCCAACCGTTTGGATAACCTTCCCTAGCTTCCGGTAGGCGTTAGAGAGACCAGGATGTGTCTCCTGGACATGCATCTGCCCAACCTTAACGCCGAAGTCTGACTCCGCGAGACCCAAGCCTGTAGATGGTGAGCCAGCGATCACTTGAAAGGGAGGAGCGTTGCAACGTACCTCGCCGAGCCTTGACTACACGGTCAACTTTGTGACTCGCATCCATGGTTCCGAGGTAAAACATCTTGACCACCGGGCGCGCGTTCTGCAGCTCCGGTGTGTCGTCAGGCGGCGGTGCAAACTGCTTCAAGACTTTCCTTCGAACACCTGTTGCGGGTTGCTTCATGCGAACAACGGGACTGTAACCGAAGTCACTTTCAACAAACAAGACAATCTCGTCATCCTGGATCAGAACTTCATTGTTCAGTATAGTGTTCAGCCATCGCTGCATGGAGGCCTTCACGCGGAATTCGTCCTCGTCGGTCCCAGCTCCAGCAGGAGTCAGGGGCGCCGGTACAGCAGGAACAAAGGCCTCGGGATTAGCCGAAATAAGATGATCGGCAAGCTTGCCAAACTCGGAGTGAGTCCGTCTAACGTCGCGGTACTGAGTAGTTCTGAACTTAGGCATATTGGTCTAATAACGTGGTCAGTGATGCGGAATCGACGATGCTGCGATGCCACATACATGTACATCAAATCGAAGGATAGGATCCTTTTTGCCTGTTCTTTCTAGGGCGGTTATCTTGGCCTGGATCTTGTATACTGGGGCCGGTTGTCTCGCATTCTGCCGAGCACCTGTTTGGTACCGTGCGGGGACCTGCGATCGTGGTTGTTGTTCTGCAGAGTGACCAGTTTCGCCTATGTGCGTGTTTTGTACTCGCTCCACCAAACTTGGTGAGTCACCATTTCCTTCTCCAGGTGCCCTATTCTCGGAAACTCCGGCAGCGTGCGAATCTCCGTCCGCATCGTACGGAGACTGATGTTGTGGGGGTAGCGGCGAAGGCGGAATTTCGCTGGTGCTCGAGGGAGGGTAGGGGGCTTCTGTAGCTCGAGGGGAGGCCCATGGGGAGGCGCCCGCGGGGTCTTGCGAAATGCTGGAGTAATCCATCTCTTATTCTGCTTGTGTGGTGTCGGGTAAGAGCTGTGCCACCGATAGGGCCACGTCTGCACTGCAATGTGAAAAGCACTTATCAACAAGAAGACTTTGAGCAGATTTCATAGGTAAATTATTATTCTCACGTACCTTCGGCCCCTTAGAAATTTGGCAGGAGATTGGGGTGGAGGGATGCGCTGTTAAGATGCATAAAGAGGAGATCATGGAGAGCCGGGACCGGGGAGGTTACGTCGTTGCTGCCTGCACGGTCTGATTGGCCAGGCACCGCAGAGCTCCCCGTCCGACACGGCGACAACAGAACCTCAACTTTCTCTACTCTCTTCTCATACCAATTCGAGCTCTCAGGCTTTGGATCGACTCCTGTGTGTTACAATAGACATGCGATAATTTTTTGAAGACACCGCTTTGGCCTCCCCCAATCGCTGCTGCCATGGTCTCAGCTCTGCTTTTGCGCGCCCGCCAGAATGGCCGAGCTACTCGATATCTCGATCGACCTAATATCAATTGCTGGGCACTTTCTTCCTTAACCAAACCGTCCCTTGGGAGACCAGGATACTCCAAAACTCAGAACTTCTCGACCCTCCAACCGCGATTGCAAGCGAACCTTGACCGGACTCGGAATATTGGTATTATAGCACACATCGATGCGGGTAAAACGACCACTACAGAGCGCATGCTCTATTATAGCGGCTTCACAAGACGCATAGGAGACGTGGATGAGGGATCTACGGTTACGGACTTCCTCCCTGCTGAACGTGCCCGGGGAATCACTATTCAGTCCGCTGCCATCACCTTCCACTGGCCACCTGGGGAGAGCAACGATGCTACACACCATGACCCGCAAGCCCCGAAATCTGCGTCGTCGCACCTGGTGAACTTGATTGATACTCCCGGCCATGCTGACTTCACATTCGAGGTCTTGCGGTCATTGCGCATTCTTGACGGCGCAGTGTGTATCCTAGATGGTGTAGCTGGTGTGGAAGCACAAACTGAGCAGGTTTGGCACCAAGCAAGCACGTATAATATTCCCCGAATTGTCTACGTGAATAAATTGGATAGAGACGGTGCGGCGTTCGGTCGAACGGTACGGGAAGTCGCTTCTCGGCTTGGAGGATGGCCCGCTGTCTGCCAGATCCCGTGGTTTGAAGGAGGGAATGGAAGCTTCGTTGGTGTTGCCGACGCTGTCAACCTACGAGGGCTCCGATGGGGTGGAGGCGATGGCAAGTCAGTGAAGACGTTCAACCTTCAGGAATTGGACGAAGCTGATAGTCAGCTTGCGCAAGAACTCCGCCGCGCGCGGATAGCCCTAGTTGAACTGTTGAGTGAACACGACGACATGATTGTGGAAAAGTTCTTTGAATGCGAAGAAGATCATCTACTGGTTTCATCTGCTGATATATTGGATAGCCTGCGCCGTTGTCTTTTGGGAGGTAGCGGGAGGAAAATTATCCCGATCTTTGCTGGTGCTAGTTTTCGCAACATCGGCGTCCAACCGCTGCTCGACAATGTCGTTGACCTCCTCCCCAGTCCACAGGAGACTCCAGACCCAGAGGTTAGTATTGGAGGCGTCAAGGGGGGTCTCAGACGTTTGCTCTCAGGAGATTTACTCGTGGAGCAGAAGGAGAAAGCGGTGCCAAAAGGCAAGCAGAAGAAGAAGTCCGCCATAGTAGCTGATAGCCGCAGTGCTATCAAGCAGTTGCATGGTTGTGGGCTGGCTTTCAAAGTGGTCAATGATGCGAAGCGAGGAGTTCTCGTATATGTTCGGGTTTACTCCGGCTCCTTGGATCGGGGCAGTCTTTTGTATAACACCAACCTAAACGTGTCGGAGCGCGCTCCTCGTCTTCTGAGAATGTACGCCAATGACGCTGTTGAGGCCGAATCTATCTCCGAGGGACAAATCGGGGTTGTGGTGGGCCTGAAGCATGCCCGGACCGGTGACACACTTGTTGCATGCACTACCAACAAGCAGGTCCCTCCCGAACCTCTGAATACTCTTCAGTTACGCCCTATCGACGTACCGCCGCCCGTCTTCTTCGCAAGTGTCGAACCTCACAGCTTGTCCGAGGAGAAACGTATGCACGAGTCGTTAGCTTTGCTCCTGCGTGAAGACCCTAGTCTTCATGTAAGTATCGACGAGGACTCCGGACAAACACTGTTGAGCGGAATGGGAGAGCTTCACCTAGAGATCGCTCGTGATCGACTCATCAACGACCTCAAAGCCAAGGCAACCATGGGTCCCATTGAGATCAGTTACCGCGAATGTCCACTAGGAACCTCTGGTCCCGTTACCAAGATCTTCGACCGAGAGATCGCAGGCCGCAAGGGTAAAGCAGGCTGCACCGCATTGGTGGAACCCTTCGATCCAGAAACCTCACTTCCCCCAGACCCAACAGCCCTCTCCATCGACATTGCAAACGGCAACCAAATCATCATTCTCGCGCCCGAACTACAGATCGAAACCAACAAGAAGGGCCTTGAAGAAAGCCCTATTCTCCCCTCAGGCCTCGACGTGGAGGCCGTCCGCTCAGCCCTCCAAAACGGCTGCCTCGCAGCCCTCGCCCGCGGCCCACAATTCACCTTCCCCATGCACAACACCCGCGTCACCCTCACGCTCAACCCAACAGCCCACATATTCGGCAACGATACAACGTCTGCCTCTCTTTCCGCCGCCGCCCGCCTCGCAACCTCCACAGCCCTCTCTAACCTCCTCTCCAATCCGGCATCCGCCTCAGCCACGCCGGGAACATGCCTCATGGAACCCCTCATGAACGTAATCATTAGCATCGACGAAGCCAGCCTCGGCGCCGTCGTCCACGATATCTCCTCCTCCCGCGGCGGCCACATCGTCTCTCTAGACGAGGACATCCCCATCACATCAACAGACCTCTCCACACCGAACACCGAAACCGTAGACCCCGACCTCGACCTTCCTCCGATCGATCCCGCCAAGGTCTATGCGCCCCCTGACCCCTTCCAGTCGTCGACCGTGGTCGGTGCGCTCTCGTCCTCTGACTCGGGGAATCGACCGCGTACTATCACCGCTAAGGTCCCACTCAAGGAGATGGTAGGGTATCTTAAGCATCTGAGGAGCTTGAGTGCGGGGCGAGGTACCTTTGTTATGAGTGTTGATCGATTTGAGAAGATGAGCCCTCCCAGGCAGAAAGCTGTGTTGACGGAGTTGAGAGGTGGGTATTAGAGTAGATGATCTGCAATTATATAGCATTAATTCTGCAAGACACATAGGACGTTGTATTGAAAGTGATATGCATAATATGACTTTTATGAAGCCTTGTTCATTCAATGTTTTGATAAAATGATTCCATAGTCTTCCCTATGCGCTTTCATTGAACATCTTTTCTCTCTAGGGATATATATAATTTCGACCAAAGCGACAATATCAGTTCAATTATTTGTTGCTTGATATATCGGCCCGAGAAAATTGGAATGAATGACAGTTCCGAGCAATTATATTTATTTTGCAACTCTAATTCAAGGAATATAAACAACGGGATCCGCCAAAAGGGAAAAAAGTGCAAGCTTTGAAAATGTATCATACCCCCAAAAGAGCGCAACGCTGATACAGACGTATATACATATAAAACACAAAGAGTACTCCGTCTAACCATTCCCCATCTATATCAATCACCAATTATCATCCCACGCTCCATCATCCTGACTCTTTCTTGATGCGGGCGTCGGAGATGATCCTCTCCCGGTGCCCGCGCCTGAGCCTACCGGGGTAGAGCCCGGTCCGGAGCCAATAGACGTTGACGCCGTGGCTGACGACGGAGCACCTGGGCCTGGTTTCATCGCTGCCGTCCCAAGAGCGCCTGATCGGGACGCATTCCGGCGGTGATTGTCTTGAGCGCCTAGTGAAGAGAAGTCGTCCCAGAAGTCCTTGCGCTCGGGCTCGGCGCGTCCGCGCCGGGCGGCCGGGGTGTCTGAACCCTCGACAAAGCGGTTGAAGGAGTCTGCGGCGCCGCGGGCACCAACTTGGATATTTTGTCCAAACTGAGTGGCGTGTTGGCGCGCCTGGGCGGCGAAGTCGGATTCAGCGAGCTGTTGCCTCGTTAGCGTACATGGACGTGTAGTATGAGCAGCATGGTCGGCGCAAAGGGCGACAGTATACGTACAGTCTTCGCGGTGGGCTGGATAAACGAATCATTGACTGTCTTTGCGCTCTTGCCAACAGTCGTCGTAAACCAGCCAAAGCCCTTCGTCAACGCTGCCATAGGGTCCTTCTGGAAGTCATCGAAGGCCGGCATCCCGTTACCCCCCCTTGATTTCGGTGTCTCCTCCACAGGCAATCCTCCGCCGAATCCAGTGAACTTGCCGCCCTCAGAAGGGCGGAGCGATTCCGACCGGTTCGCATTATCAGACCCCATTTTTGCAAAGTATGCCTCGTTGCGTGCTTTCCGACTCGCAGCACCCTCAACCCCACCAAGACCCTCTGGTAAAGCGGGGGATGACGAGGAGCCCCTCGCGGGACCTGAATTCGAAAGAGGAGTGCTTGATCTTGAGCTTCCGACGTCAACGGAGCTTTTCTTTGCCGGCTGCGCTGGCCGTTGGCCAGGTACGTATTCCCGCCCCTCGACTTTAGCGCTGAGTCTCTCCTTCCACTCCTCGCCGACCTCGCCCTCGTATCGCTCTTTAATCGTTGAATCTTCGAATGTGCGGCCCTCAGATTGTGTGATTGGGTGCGAGTCAAAGAATTCCTTCCAGGGGTCGTTCCCCCCTAATTCCATGCGATGTGTCTCGGAGTTCTTGAAGGCGTCCATTGTGATTGATCGGACGAAAGAGATGTGCACACCCAGCCCGCGATGGGTGCCTGCGCAGTTAAGACAGATAAAGGTTCCGAATTTTGGCGAAGCCTAACGCGAGGGGGACGATGCATTAGAATAACCCGGATCTAAATGATGTATATGGGATGCGGAAGACCACAGGACGTACCCATTGGGGAGAAGGCGCGCCACAGTCGCAACATCGGTCATTTCCATTGACTTTCGAGTATTGAAGGAGCTATAAATGAGAAATGGCAGTCAGCGTTAGCTAGAGACTCGAGCCCGCAGTCCGCACTGACTAAAAGGAGCTGGGATTGGACTAACAAAACAGGGCAGGGGACATACCTTGGCCTTCGTCTCCGGGTCGACCTCCCACATTCGTGACATGGCGAGTGAGAATATATAAAAGGGCGGGAGAGGTGTGTATTGACAGTAGGTAGCGACTCGAGCGTCGGTTGCTCTTTTGCCCTTAGGCCAGACTGGTGGCAACTAAGCTATGTGCGCAGCTTGCAAAAAACGTTGTTTCCGCGTATGGGGGAAATCTCTTAACAAAGCATCTAATATTATGTGCAGCCGAATCAACTAGAGCCAAACGAGCGTAAGAAGTAGATTGAAAGACAGGTTGGGCAAGAAGACGGGGGTTCGGCCAGAGAGAGGAACAATGGTGCCAAGAGCTGTGGAGTTGGCCTCTCGTCATAACCGTCAATCAAGGCCGTCTCCATAGCGATCTACAGCCGTTGAGCACTCGAGGAAAATCATTCAGAACAAGACTAGAACCAAGGCCAGCCTTGCGTTTCTCATAAACTAAATGGTGCTAAGATACAATATAACAGAAGAGCAAGATTCGTCATCAGGTCACATCTCCATCAGCCACACATTACTGCATTTTCAGTCCTTGCAATACGAAGCCTGGCGGCAATCCGTATCAACCCGCATAAAAGAGTGCATCTTCGCGTTACTTTCATTCCCTAGGACCGCGCCGGACAGGAATAAGATTCATGAATATTTTTCGTTTTTTTTTCTGAAGTTTCTTGGCTCTTTGTTGGATAGTAGCGCGTCCTGGCAACGCTTACTATAGAGGTATCCCATACGTAAACGGCCTCCGATTTCGATATCTTAATGTGGTGTCCGAATACCTATCGTCGGATAGACACCGCGTTCGTTTAGGACAGAAACGACCTTGTCATTTAGGCAGTGGCAGTGGCAGTAGTAGGAACGGCGTTCTCCTGAGCCGGAGCCTCCGTGGCTTCTTCAGTGGCCTCACCGGGAGCGTCGTCCTCCTTACCGGGGCTGTCAATGGCGACCTTGACGGCGATCTCACGGCCCTCAATCTCCTTTCCGTTCATCTCCTTTACAGCCTTCTCCTGCTGCTCCTCGGATCCAAGGGTAACAAAACCGAAACCACGACCCTTGCGAGGCTCGTTGCGGGCCTGGAGCTTTTTGATCATGAAGCGGGGGATGGGGCGGAGAGCGATCTTGGCGGAGACGGGCTGGTAGGCGGCGAAGATCTCCTTCAGCTAAAAGGGGATTAGCAATCACATAACAAAAGAGTATGATACTATAAGAGCATACCTTCTCCTCGCTAAGGTCATAAGGCAAGTTCGCCACCATAACCTTGGTCTTGGAAGGAATGCCATCCTCAGGAGGGCCACGCTGCTTCTGGGGACGAGTGCTGGGCTTGCGGGCAGGCTTGCCAGACTCGGTGACGGGAGCGGCATCATTCTGGTTGTTGACTTCAGCAAGAGGAGCATTCTCGTTGGAAGCAGTGGTGGGCTGCTCCTCAGCGCCCTCAGTAGCCGCAGCCTGTTGAGAAGATGTTTAGCGGTTGTCAACCAAGTATTGTCGGGGGAGGAGGGGCTATAGCAACATACCGAGCGACCTCCGCGTGTTCCGCGACCTACACGGCCGCGACCACGACCGCGACCACGAGTACGTCCTCCCGCCCTCTTGCGGCCCTCGTTGCCGCTAGCGCCTTCACCGCCACTTGCGGCACCCTCGGCCTTGGCCTCAGCAGGCTCCGGCTTGCGGGCAAGCTGAACAGAGACCTTGCGCTGAAGGATCTCCTTTCCAGAGAGTTCTGCGATAGCGGCAGTAGCTTCGGTGGCGGTAGCAAGGTCGACGAAGGCATAGCCAACAGGGCGGTTGTTGCGAGGGTTCACAGGGATGGAAACGCTCTCACTAGGATTGATGTTAGCTGCTGGAAAAAATAAAGCTCAAAAAGCTTAAAGTCCAAACGTCAGAAACACTGCGCTGGCGATGATGGTCGAGGTGACGCACTGTTGTGAAAGCGAAGCGGAAGGCTACCCGATTGGGAGACCCGACCAAAGCTCCAACGGCAGGCAGTGCATCGAGCGGGCAAATGGCAAAGAGAGAGGTAGACAAGGACAAGTACTCACATGGTGTGGCTGCTGAAGAAATCCTTAAGCTCCCCCTCAGTGGTCGCATATGCGAGGTTCCCAATGTACAACCGACGTCCTTCTTCAGCACTGACAGCAGCAGCATCGGCGGTGGACTGAGCTGCGGGGGCAGAGCCGTTGGAGGCCTCGGTGGTAGGGACAGTGGAGGCCTGGTTGTCGGGAGTAGTGTTTTCGACGGCAGTAGACATCTTGAAGGCTGAGGACACAAAGGGTCAAGTTCTGGAGAAGATAGGTGGTCTGAGGATTGGCGGTGGAGAGGATGACCGAATTGTGTGTCGATGACTCAGGAGAGCTTGTTGGCTGCCCTTTGGGTTGAAATTGATTGAAGTTGCGAGGGGGGAGGAGGAAGGGTAGCTTGGTGCCCTAGATACGGGGGGGTTGTGGACGGGAAGTCTGGATTCACTCGATAATGATTTACCTTGGAGAGGAAGGATCAAGATGAGGTCCGGCGGGCGAGAAAGGAGAAGGAGCGAGAAAAAGGAAACTGGATCCTTGCTTGACTAAGCCGTTTACAGACACCTGCCTTAAGGCACCAATGACGCCAACGTGGGCCAGGCCGGCCCACCTGCAAACATGATCATCGCCTACTCTATCCCGCAGCAAAAGTACGGAGCTGAGATGCTTTTTTAGATTCGAGCCTAAATGCAGCGGAGAGAGACGATGTGTTACAACAACAATATGACATGGTGTATTGTTTGATTGGTATGGATACCACAGTTATCCAACAAGAAACGGCCACCTGACTTTCTCACACATCAATCCCTAGCTCCACTCTAAACGGACTCCGGGGGCTTTGTGACATGCGTCAACTTATCCCTGTAAGGAAAACGGTCAGCATCTTGAATATTTACAACAAACCAAAAACAAAGGATCAATCTTCTTACCCATGCAGTTTCTTGATGGCCGCGCCTAGCCCGTCATGAGAATAATCTTTCTCATTCCACATATCCTTATGATAAACAACCTTCTCCCCAGGCCCACTTCTCTGCAGCTTCAAACTGACTAGACTATCTGCAACTTTTGACGCATGGATGCCCGCCAACGTATACTTCCGGCGCTGCTTCCATGCAAGTTCATGCTCCGTTGATGAGGTGACTTCCGTAGCTATGGTTTCGGATTTGGAGAACAGCTTGGGCACACCGTACCACTGGCCTGCAATTTTGTACCTATTTTCTGTTAGGTACTGTCTCATATGACAAATTCAAAAAAAAAAAAAAAAAAAAAAAATTCAAGAAAGTATAGAAACCACGGAGGCAGAGAGGCAGCCATACCGCGTATCGCAATAGCTGAACGGGTCGTCGTAGATAGCCTGCTCGGTGTAAACTTCCATATCGTCTTTCGAGGCACTTCCGGCATAAAGAGAAAGAATGTGCCTTTGGATCTCTGCTCGCTCTGGTGAGATGGAAATGGAGTTCTCGGGGTGAGGCTCGTAGTCAACGTTGCCGTTGATGTTGCGCGGTGGTGCAGGATGCGGCTCGACGCCTCGCTGATCAGGATGGGGGGAAGTTGAGGATGGCATATTGTTTCTGTGCCTGAGAGCTCAAGAGTGCTGCTGGGGTTCTCTTGGAGAGAAAGTAGCAACGGGGAGGAGTTATACATTGGCACATGTCCCCGGGCATCTGACATCATGATTACGGCCTTGGGCAAGGGGTTATGTGAACTTAGTATAGAATGTAAACATTAGTAGACGTGGACTGCATAGAGTAGAGGGGGCATAACTACCAGCTGTTAGTGACGAGACGAGTTGCGCATGCGAGTTGATTCTAGCTCCGTTGCATAAAAGGTACAGTGATTGCAAGTAGGGTTATACCGTTTAGCATAGAAAATGATCGGAGCAGAGGACACTCGTATATCATAAAGCACATATAAAGCACATCATCCATTCCATCACCCGATCTATTACATTTCGACCAGATCCCTTATCTATTCTCCAATGTAAACGCACTCCAAGTGGCTGGATACCGAGCTGCACGCTAGAATACGCTCCAGCGATATCACGAAAATTAACCAAGACATGGACACGAGAGGACTAGACAAAATGGAGCGACAAATAGGTATATTACAACTTTCCGTTGCCAGTAGTATCAGGAGAACTATTCTCACGTGTTTGAGGCTTGACAGGGACATACTTGCTGAAGATATTCTGCTGCACGAGCAGTCGCTCAGCAGGAACCATCGTCTTGCGCTTCTTAGTACCGCGGCGGCTCTCTAACAGACTCAAAGGTTGAAAGACGGCTGATGTCGGCCTCGCATTGTCATTACTGCTCTCCGTGGTCTCTGAATCCTCTTTAACTTCACTTTTTCCTGTCTGATCTTTCCTTATCCAATGCGAAGGCGCCTCAGATACTGTTGCTTGCGCGGCTATATGGAGAACTTTCGGACATCCAGATTGTGAAGCCCCGTTCCAATGTGAAGGCGCTTCAGGAGTCGTCGCTGGCCCGGGTACGTGGCGTACTGTCGGACGTCTAGGTTGAGGAGTCACCGGAGGCGAAGTTGTACGTGTAGAAGCGGCGTCCGCAGGTTCAAGTCTCGTGGCTTCCTTGATTGAGGGCTTGCAAAGAGGCTCGAAAACTGTGGCTCTGATCGCCTTAATCACGTCTTTGGTCATACATCCATTCCCCTTGGCAAACTCTGTGTATGGGAAGCTGGAGACGATGGTGTCCGCCATGTTAGCGAAGAACTCCTCGGTGTATGGAGATGCTCTCTTCAATGAGGTACGGTTTGACTGGGTATTCGTGTGGCTCTGCTTGGCAGGAACTTGAAAGCGGACTCTTCTCTCTGAGGGACGAGTTTGATCATTTTGGTTGCCGTCAGCATTGTTCTCGTGGGTCTGGATCTTCTTGGGAGAGCTATGAGATCCCTGGGTGAGTGGAAGAAGACGTTTCTTGTCCATTGGTACAATTTCTTGGTGGCCTTGGTGTTACGGTTAGTTGAAAGCACAACACACTGCCCAGGTAAATCACTAGAGTGCCTGAAACAGAGTTGAAGCAGAAATGACTGGCTTACTTGGTAGACAAGGTGTTACGATTGCTCAACAGTATGCCAAACGCTGCAACGCAAGAACCTGGAGAAAAAGAAGATCCAAGCTGTTGGAAAAGGAAGGAAGAATCAAAGAACACATCTTGCATTATCTATCCAGTCTGCCAACACAAGAGAATGATAGCGTTTGAGCAAATAAGACACTTTGGAAATGGAGCATTGAAGTACATACAACCGGGCCTGAAACAGGCGTAAAGGGTGGAGTCTAGGCGCCAACGAGAAGAATGTTGTTTCATCATCTTTGCAGAAAGATCCTGCTTTTAACCAGTCAATCCATCAGAATGAACTCTCAAACGCACAGACAATGTGATCATCATGCTCTTGAACTGCCCGGCCCGCTTTGAATTGCTTTGCTGGATGAAGCGCCACAGCTCTTGGCGGGACTCAGCGGATTGTAGCGGGACTCTGGAGTCTGGACTGGGTTGACTAATGCTACCTTTATCTTGGTTCACCTCATTCCTTTTCTCTCCATCGCCTCTCCATCAAAATCACCACCAAATCCTCGCAATGGATCCGATAGAGCCGGCAGGCCCGTCTCCGGACCATCTAGCTGCCCCTCGACCGCAGCCGCGACGGGCTTCATCGGGCAGTCCTTCCATCCAGGAAGCGACGTCATCGAGTAACCCGCCTGGTCGGCCGCGTGCGGCATCAATCCGCTCGAATCACTCAAACCGCTCATCGATTCGCCTGACGCGCCCGCCTTCATTCATCCAGTCTGCTGCATCGCCTCAACCTGGCAACAGCAATTTCAACTTCAGCTTCAGAAACAATGGTTCGCGTGCATCTGTCGCGATTGACCCTGCGTCTCCCCGCGAGGAGAGGAGCGACCCGTTCGAAGGCGGCCGCCGTCGCAGCAATTCCGAACCCCGGCCTGGACGGTGGTCTGCACCCACTCAAACGGCATTACTACCACGGCTTCAGCCCGGGGAGCCCATGCATACTGTGATGGAGGAGCCTCAAAGTCCAGCAAGCGGGCGTCGTCCGACCTCGGAGTTCGTCAGACCGTCGCCGATACCGAGCCAGCCCCTGGAGCAGCCGCAGCCGAGAGACAATAGAAGTGCTGTACGGAGGAAAAGCGAAGCGGCTCTGAATAGGTTCTCGAGGAACCGAGCGTCGACTGTTAGCGGCACTGCACCCATGACGGGGAACGGAATTCGTGAGTATGAGTCTCACGTTGTGGATGTTCTAGATGTTATTGGTAGGTGGTACTCGGCATTCACCTTTGTCCAGCGGTCCAGGATATAGCACTAACCTCAAGATAGATCCGGAAGTGTCGGCTCTTACCACTCTCACCAACGTTCAAAATTCACTTTTCGTTCCAAATTTGGGTTCGCTTATCAACCGCAATCAGACGTATACCCTTTCGCCTCCACGTGAGTTGGATAGAGAGGAGACAACATCTACAGAAGAAGAGGAAGATAAGGAGTCAACTAAAGGACTAGAATCCCGTCCTGCTTTGGAGAGACCGATTACTAGTATCTCCTCTGTCTTAGATGGCGGAGAGCCTCGTTTTGCTGTTCTGCCAGAGGGGATTAATCTTGAAGGCTGGTCATATCAGGACATAGAGGAGCTGAACGACCATGTGCGGCACATGCTACACTCGCGTCGCTCAAAATTCAAGAGGTCCATGAAAGGATTTGGTAAATACGTGCGCAAACGTATGATATTCACCCTAATCTGTCCAAATTCATCTGCTAATCCCTTCATAACAGCCCTTGGCTTCTTAATTACGTTATATGCAACCCTCATCACCCTTTTTGGACTTGCCTGGGTGCTCTTCCTTATCGGTATAGCCAATTTTCAAATTTTGTTATCTTGTTCACTAACGAGCAATCTAGGTTGGATTAACGTCGGAGGCCGACAGTCATACATCATCAACGTTATCGACAATGTACTGGTAGCACTCTTCGCTATTATGGGCGATGGGTTGGCGCCCTTCCGCGCAGTCGATACTTACCACATGATATTTATCGCACGTTACACCTTCTTGACTTGGAGAATCCGCAAAAAGCGTCGCCTTCCGGAATTGAAGGATAAGAATGACTTGCCATCGAGGGGTGAGGCGGAAGCCGACGCTGACCTCGAGGCAGGGCAACTTCCTAAGGAGGATGAACATGAATTCAGCGTGCTTAGCATTCAACAACAGGCGAAACTTCAGCACCATCAGGCCAAATTTGCCAAGTCTCATACTTTCTACAAACCCCACGAAACTATCACACATCATGCTTTCCCGCAACGCTTCCTCATCGCTATCGTGGTTCTTCTGGACTGCCATTCGCTTCTCCAGATAGCTCTAGGAGCGTGTACATGGGGTATTAGCTACCATGTACGGCCGTTCGCTCTCACCACCGTCATTCTTTGCTGCTCGATCACTTGCAACATCACTGGGGGTGTCCTGATCATGATCGGAGATCGCAGGACCCGCAAGAAGGACGTGGTTGAACGAATGTTCCGCCAGCAGCTCACCAAAGAAGCAATGAAAAAGATGCAAAAGAAGAGGAGGAAGCAAGATGAGAAAGCCAACGCTGAAGACCCTGAGCTGTTATCCGATTCGACTTCCAACGGCCTCCAGGTTCATCAGAGTACATGATCATCTTACTTGCCTTCAGCCCTACATGTAACCCACATCATGAACGCCACGACCTAATTCATCTTCACGACTTCCACCGTCTTCTCCGTTATTGCGACTATACATTGCCCTCGTTTGGATTTCCTGCTGGTTTTATAACTTGCCATTTTTTGTTTATTAGCGAACCTTCCCCTGATCGATACCAGCCACATGTCCCTTCTGCTTTGGATACCTGTATACTTATTACCTTCTAATCACTATGCTCGCTCAACCACAATTTGGAACACGAGTCCTTCTTTCTCTCATCCATGTTTACTCCTCACTGCTCTCAGAGTGGAGTGTGCCGAATTCTCTGTTCAATGCAGTCCTTTCAGTGGCTGGAATATACATGTTTTAAGTAGAATAGGGTTCTGACGCCACGGTCCTGACAATTCAAACAGGGCTTTGAGCTCAGGCTATCTTGCTCGCTCGGTTCCGCTCCAAAATGTCATTGAAGTTGAACGAAGACTCTATAGCTGCGTATCTAGTCAAGTATTGTTCAACATTCCGAAGAGGTACGACAAAACACTATGTCCAACGGAAATCCAAACCTGAATATTTCGGTGGGCATGCGAAAAACGAAAGTATATAATCTTGGAAAGGGGCTCTCAGATAATTCTGTGGGTCCGTGAATCTTTGTTTCTACTTGAAAGACTTGCTAGTAGAGTTATATATATATATCACATGGTTTGATGGTACTACCCTGCTCAATGTACTCCGTAGGAATGTTTATCTACTCCGGAGTATGTACTCCATATGCCCGATGACGTTTGATGCGTTGGACTGCAGCCTGTTGGACAACGCGATGCAGTCAGTGGTCAGATCAATGTGAACGGTAACTGAACCAATGACAAGGCCAATAGCGCTTCAGAGTTCGCCTGGGAGAACCCACCGGGGTCCAAGATTTCAAATCGCGACCCTGGATTTTGCTCCGCAGCGGCGATATGATGGTCGCGCTTAGTCTCCAAAGTTAACCGGCGCTCCGCACTTCGACCGACCGTCGATCGGGGATCTCTCGACCTCCGACTCCAAGTCTGCTCCTCTGCTTATCGTCTTGAATCCAAGACCAAACACCCATCCTCACCCGGCAACCCGCGGGATCTGCTCTACTTTACAAAGACCCTTGCTCCCAGTCAGCTTCCTCAGACCGACACTTGACATCCGGGTTCCAACAGCTTCAGGGGCGCACGATGCGGTACTCTTCTGCTTCAGCATGATCACTCTCTTGAACTCGTCCAACGCTTGAATACACCACGGGGCTAGGAGACTCTCGTACTCGTACGTCTTTGGGACTAAAGGGGACGACGCACGACTTTCGAGCCGTGATTTCATTCTTTCCTATCTACTCTCTTTCGTCTCGCATCATCTGCGTTTTGAACATGGACTCCACGCAGGAGTATCCTCTAGCAGCTGGCCTGCTTGCTGCTCTCGCTTCTACCGTCGTTCCAACACCGACTCCGACGCCCTTCCCGAGCCCCGCGCCCTCGCCGCATTCTCTGCCGACATTATCATCAAACCTTGGACACAATCATGGTGACGCAGGGAGCGGAGAATACGAGTGGTCATCTTTAATCGGTATCATCACAGCACTGGCCGGGAATGTCTTGATCTCGTTGGCCCTCAATATTCAGCGCTACGCCCATATTCGAATAGAAAAGGAATGGGAACAGGAGAAGCTACAGCACAGGTTGAAATGGAAGCGATCCGATCGCCGGAGCTCTTACGGTGCTATTGACGGGCCCGAAGAAGAGGATCGTTACCGGGACGACCTTTCAGGTCACTCTGGACACTACAGAGACGATTTCTCGGACCAGGGAGACGACCTGCCGGATTCTCCCGTATCCCAACGGACTGCACAGCCTGAGAATGGCTCACCGCAAGGGAGACGGAAATCTTACCTTCGGTCACCATATTGGTGGGCGGGGATCATTTTAATGACACTCGGCGAGACTGGGAATTTCATGGCGTACGGATTCGCTCCGGCATCGATTGTTTCGCCTCTGGGGGTTGTGGCTTTGATCTCGAACTGCGTCATTGCGCCATTTATGCTGAAGGAAAAATTCCGACAGAGAGATTTCTGGGGTGTTCTCGTTGCTATTGCTGGGGCAGTCGTGGTTGTCCTTAGCGCAAAGTCGTCCGAAGAGAAAATTGGCCCCGACGATATTTGGGAGATGATTACGCGCTGGGAATTTGAACTCTACCTGGGCCTCACAGCTGCGCTTATTGTCGTCCTTATGTGGTCAAGCCGAGAATATGGACCGCGGACTATCCTGATTGATGTTGGATTGGTTGGCTTATTCGGTATGTTACCGATCAACGCTCGGTGCTACTAGCGATCACTGCTGACTGCAAGTAGGTGGATATACTGCTCTTTCGACGAAAGGCGTTTCGTCGCTGCTGTCATATACCCTGTGGCACGTCATCACGTTTCCAATCACTTATCTATTGGTGTTTATTCTTGCATTCAGTGCTCTGATGCAAATCCGGTACATCAACAAAGCCCTACAGCGTTTCGACTCAACGCAAGTCATCCCGACCCAGTTCGTTCTTTTCACCCTCTCGGTGATTATTGGCAGCGCGATTTTATACCGAGATTTCGAATCATACACAGCTTCTCGTGCCGGAAAGTTCGTGGGTGGTTGCCTTCTCACCTTTCTGGGTGTGTACTTTATCACAAGTGGACGTGTTCGCGCCGACGATGAATCTTCCTACTCTACCGACGAGGAAGAAGCTATTGGACTTCTGCCTGGAGAGCGATATCAAGACCGAGTTGATTTGTCGCCTCCCCTTCAAGCTCAAACGAAGAACGGACCGCGGCCAAGAAGCCCTAATCTCGACGGCACCCGTCAATCACCCCCAGGGTCACTCCTGAGTGAGGGTCTTAGGGACCTTGACGATAATCAAAGCACACCCCGAGCTGTCCTATCAGCTGCCGCGTCTCCCTCGCCTGTTGGTTCGGTAATTGCCGACCTTTCGGAACCTTCTCCTATGTCTCCATCCTCATCCCGCCCTCTGTCACTTCTAAGGAACCCTTGGGCCGAGTCGCTCGAAGAGACCGCGTCTGAACCGCAAATTGAGCGACCAGTCACTCCTCCAGAACAGGCCATCCAGAAACCTGTCAGCTCCACCGTGCTTCTTCGCTTCCCCCCTGCCCCGGACGCAGACGGATCTAGTGCACCAGATGGTACAAGGGCGAATGTTAGGGGCGACGCTGTTCTCGAGACACCGCCACGAAGAGTACGAAACTCGATCTCTTCACATTTCTCACCGGGTCCTTTGTTCTCCACTTTATCTGGAGGCTTCAGCGCTGTTGTTGCCGATTCCATACGTCGCGGTGAGATGAGCCCGGCAAAAGAGCGAAGGGCGATAAAGTCACGCGGTCGAAGAAAGCATCCTAGTACGTCGGTCCTTGAGAACATATTACGTGATGCAGACGGCGCGGGAGGGGAAATCAATCAGGACCCTGAGGCTGCTCGAGTGGACCGTACAGATAGCCTCATCACCGCTCCTGCTACCGCAGGACACTCCACGCCTGGTATCGAGTCTGGAGAGATTACGCGCAACCATTCGGACAACTTGACCACACTCTCACGCCTGCGCAGCCTAAGCGACTCGTGGAGTAAAACAGTGCCTTGGCTTGGGGGTGTCTTACAGAAGCGAAAAGAGAGCCAGAAAGTGCCCGACGAAGCTGAGGCTAGTGCGGAAGCCTCGAATCAAGATGGTCGGCCAGAATCAGGTGGCGCGAATGCTTGAGCCAGCTAGACGGCCTGGTCTGTCCAGGTAACTGGCCTCTGTATCCAATGTTCTCGGTACATATTGTCTTCGATTCAAACTTGTTGGTATACCCCAACTCATGGCGTCGTCTGATACCATTGTCTATAGCATGTTTGTCACACATACTTTATTTGTAATTAGAGGAATCTTACATTGCCACAATCTGCCGTCCCATTCTCATCTCTCCCCGAAGCATGTACTTGGTCAGTCCACGGTGGAGTGTATGTCGTAACTATGCATGGTACGGTGGTTGCAGGTCCATTTTACCGGGAAGTCCCAATAGGTGGAAAATGCAAGACCTAGAGAACCTGCAGCAGCTCCCCCGAATATCGCCCCGGCGGATCTTTATGCCATTCGGTGTTTATTGTACACCGTACGTTGTACATCTGAGGTCATACCTTGGACCGACCCCTCTTCATCTCCGCACCTGCATTTAGCCGTCATCTTATTCTTCTCTCCGCCGGGGTTCTCCTCTCCTGCCCGCACCACCCCACCGTGTCTCATGGACCAATTCTTTGCTAGCCTCTCCAGTCTATACAAACCTGATCCGGACTCATCTCCGCGATGCTTGGGTTGTCACCTTGGCCAGTCACTTTCCCTACAGAGCCTGGAATAGCTGAGCAATTGCCATGACAATGCCACTGCTCCCCACTCGCCAATGTTAGTCCTGATTTGTTTTCTTTTTCCTAGCTCCCTGCATTTGCTAACTTTTGCGTGCCAGGTCTTAGATGGGCCTCGGCTGTAGCTATTCCTTGTTTAGTCCTGCAGCAAAGAGAATCTTAGGAATAAAACCAGCGGGGGCCCGTTGTGCTTGCTCTTTTTCTCCGCATGCTCTGACAGAAAGATTGGAGTACGCAGCGACCGTCTCTGAATTCAGACTTGGAGCCATGCTGTCGACTTTTGTTTCGAAGGGGCTGTTGCTCCTGCAGCTTTGCGCTGGCTTAACGGTCGCGGAGGACTCGTCGCCACTCTACAAGGACCCCAATGCGTCGATTGAGGACAGAGTATCTGACCTTCTAGGTCGAATGACAATTGAGGATAAAACGGGCCAGTTGATACAGGGTGAGTTCGCGTCTGAAGTGTAGGATACGTGCGCACCTGGTGGTATCGCGACTGCGACAAACCATGATCGCCGCAATGGCCAGTGACAGTCGTTGACTGCCCCATAGGTGATATTACCAACTGGATGGATGCGGACACTGGAGAGTTCAATTACACCGGACTGGAAGAGAATATGAGGATAAAAGCTGGCATGTTCTATGGTATGAGGCCTTGCCCTGATTTACATAGCAACATTACTGATATCCTCGCTCCCGCAGTTGGATACCCTGTTGCCTGGGACTGGATTGCAACAAATGTCAAGCGAGCTCAAGACTACCTTGTCGAGAACACTACACTTGGGATACCTGCATTTGTGCAAACTGAAGGTGCGTGATATGGCGCTGGAAAATGAAATTGGCTAAACTGTTGCTTGATTGTAGCGATTCACGGTTTCTTGATTGGCAATGCTACGATTTACAACTCTCCTATCGCATACGGCTGCTCGTTTAACAGGGAGGTAGGACATCTTCAACTCATACGTCACTCTTGCTTTCGCTAGTGTCTGACACGTAATAGTTGATTCACAAAATGGGACGGCTCATAAGCCAGGAGGCTCTAGCCCTTGGCGTCAATCAACTTTTTGCGCCAGTTGTTGACCTCGCTCGTGAGCTACGATTCGGCCGTGTACGAGCAATCCTAACCTTGACTTCCAAGCAGATGCTAACGGATTTTAGGTCGAAGAGACATTCTCAGAAGACCCCTACCTTGCTGGCGAGATTGGATACCAGTATGTCAAGGGATTGCAGAGTCACAATGTTTCCGCTCAGGTGAAGCATTACGCTGGATTCAGTCAGCCCGAGCAGGGAATCAATACTGCCCCGGTTCACGGAGGAGAGCGATACCTGCGTACCACGTATGTCTTTGACCGCTATTTTCTAGAGCATTGAGCATTGACCTGGCTCGAACCAGTTGGCTGCCACCTTTCAAACGTGCAATTATAGACGCTGGAGCTTATAGCGTTATGAGCGCTTACCACTCGTAAGGCTCCTTTGATGCAAGCTCCGAACATGATATCTGACTTTGACGGTTGAAGATATGACGGCATTCCGGCTGTTGCAGACTACCATCTACTCACCGAGATCCTTCGCGAAGAATGGGGATATGAATACTTCGTGATCAGCGATGCTGGGGCAACAGACCGACTGTGCAACAACTTCCACACATGCGCAAGCTCACCCATTGACTCTGAATCTGTGACTCTTCAAGCCCTCCCTGCTGGTAACGATGTTGAAATGGGCGGTGGCTCGTTGTAAGTTCTCTCCATCAAGCTCGGGTGAAATATCGTACTGACTATGATCAGCAACTTTCGAACAATCCCGCAACTAGTAGAATCCGGAGAGCTCGATATTGAGACTGTCGACACAGCAGTTTCAAGGGTTCTCCGCGCAAAATTTGCCCTAGGGCTCTTCGAAAACCCATACCCCGGTGCTCCCGAAGAGGAATGGGATAACCTCATTCATACCGATGAAGCCGTCGACCTCGCAAGAGAACTGGACAAGGAGTCCATCGTGCTACTAGAGAATCATGACAACACCCTTCCTCTAAAGAAGACAGGTGACATTGCAGTCATTGGCCCCATGGCACATGGATTCATGAACGTATGTATACCCTCATGCCAATTCTGTTTTTGTTCAGAGCTAACAAGCCCAGTACGGCGACTACGTTGTCTATCGTAGCCAGTACCGGGGCGTCACTCCGCTAGACGGCATAAAGGCTGCCGTCGGGGACTCCGCAACAATCCACTACGCGCAAGGCTGCGAACGCTGGAGCAACGACCAGTCCGGCTTCGAAGAGGCCATTGCCGCAGCCGAAAAGTCCGATGTCGCAATCGTCGTCGTAGGAACCTGGTCCCGCGACCAGCGGGAATTATGGCAGGGCGTCAACGCAACAACAGGCGAGCACGTCGACGTCAATGACCTTTCTTTGGTCGGCGCCCAGGCACCCCTCGTCAAGGCCATTATCGACATTGGCAAGCCCACCATCGTCGTCTTCTCTTCGGGCAAACCAATCACAGAGCCCTGGCTCTCGGACGCGGCGAGCGCGCTGGTGCAGCAGTTCTACCCCTCCGAGCAGGGCGGGAATGCACTGGCCGATGTGCTTTTCGGCGACTACAGCCCCTCTGGCAAGCTGTCTGTCTCATTTCCCCATTATGTGGGCGACTTGCCGATCTACTACGACTATCTGAACTCCGGCCGCTCGATCGGAGACTCCGGGTACGAACTTGAAAACGGCACCATCGTCTTCGGACACCAATATGTTATTGGTACACCGGAGCCCTGGTACCCCTTCGGCTACGGCCTCAGCTACGTGAACTTCACATACGGCGATGTCTCGCTGTCGGCAACAAATGTGTCGGCCACTGACACTATCACTGTGTCCGTCGACATCACGAACACGGACGACTCACGTGACGGAACGGAGGTCGTGCAGTTGTATATTGTCGACGAGATCACGTCTGTCGTTGTGCCGAATCGGGAGTTGAAGGGGTTCGAGAAGGTGGTTGTGCCGGCGGGGGAGACGAAGACTGTGGAGATTGATATTGATGTCGCAAATTTGGGACTTTGGGATGTGAGGATGAAGTATGTCGTTGAGAAGGGGGAGTTTACCGTGCTGGTGGGCTCGAGTTCGGCGGATATTAGGGGAAACGCGACGTTCTGGGTGCAGTGATGGAAAGCTCTGTGGTAACGCTGTTGCTCATGAGTATAGGGCATTTTGGACATGAATGATGAAGATGTGCGGGGAGAACTGTTGTAATGAATTAGTGACGCTTAAGATATTGCTAATATCATTTGATATCTCATGAACTATTGAGCATGTCACCTGTAGTTGCACTGTAGCCTTTGGAGTACGAGATATTAGTAAATCGACCTATGCTTCTTCCGCCGGACCACTTTTCTGCTCCTTAGACGTCTCTTCTGTCTCGCCCGTTTTGACTTCCGCGCCTGTAGACTGCTGCGCAGTGCCTGCACTGCTAGTTCTCGCGCTGCCCTCTCCAGCTCTCCCCTCTGCACGTCTCGATTTAGCGCCCTCCTTAAGCTTCTCCCATCGGTCTCTATACCGGCCAAGCACATTATGCAGTTTTTCATTCTCCCGTCCTGTCTTCTCGAGCTCTTTTTCATTGAGCCGGATGATTTCCTCGAGCTCCTTGATACGCTGGTCATGTTCCGTCGTCGGAGCTGGGGCTACTGCTGTGGATGAACCTGTCGTTGGCGACGACACGGCAGAAGCAGATTGCGGCCCGTGCTCCGGAGATGGCATGTTCTGGTGGTGCATTGCCTTCAAAGACTGCTGCAAAGCCATGGACGAAGACTGCGCGTTGACCTCCCACATGTGCAATCGTTTCGATAATGTATCGGAGAGATGACGTAAGGCTTGGTTTTCCATCTGTAGTTCTTCCAACGTTTTAGGGGGCTGAAGGCTTGAGAGTTTGTCGCTCGAGCGGCTTGGTTTGCCTTTGGCTTTGCCCTTGTTTTGCTGGAGCATCTCTGGCGACGAGGGTGTTTCCCGGGCATCGACGAAGTCATCTTCTGCTTCGTCATTGCTGTTCCGGCGCGCCTCCTTTTCAGCCCTTGTTAGGATTCCTGCGTATGATACAGTTCCGCCGGTTGTAGGCACCACGTAAAAGGATTCTGCTGGATTTCCCGGCCCCATCCCACCTCCGTTGGTTTCACGGATCGCCTTTAGCGCGGCACGGGAGAAGATACGGCTGATATCGGGCTCTGCTGAGGATCCAGAGCGATCTGATACGGCGATTTGTCTATCGAGTCTTGTTTCCGCAGATGATTTGCGAGTCGCACCTGCGTTGCTGGCGCCATCTAATCCAAGCGGTAGCCCTGCAAATGCCAGTGGTGCCGAGATTCGGGAAATAAGGCCTTCAAAGGTCGAGTAGAATCGCTGGAACGGCTCCTCGGTTGCAGATTGTCGGCGCGATTGTCTGGAGTCTGCAGTCTCTGAGGGCACGAATTGCTGAGATGTGATGTCGGTTGGGCTGCCAACTGGCGGTGACCACGGCTGTCTCTGGCTGGAAGTACGGCTTGCACGATCTCTTTGTCCAGCAGCCTGAGTTCCTCTCAATCTCGACTCGCTTGATCTAATCTTTGCGGGGCCGTCGGTCATTCTAGCCCCTGCCTGCTGAGATGAGAGGGTAGGAGATGCAGGAGACGAACGACGCGGCTGAGCCGGGATTCCTCTAGCGGAGGCCAAGTTGCTTGCAATGGAAGACGTCTCTCTCTTGGGCAAACGAGGGTTTCCGCTCAGCCTTGGGGGCTGTTGGGGGTCGGTCTTTGACAATCCCGATTCTGCGGAATTCTGAGAGTTGACCCCGGCAGCAGCAGATGGTGGGTTCTCATGTTGGAAGCGAAGGATATGAGCGAGCTTTTTGTGGTGCTGTTCTAGCAGATGAAGCGTTCGTAGGGCCTATACAATGGAGAGACCGATTAACGCTTGGCAAATGCAGAGGAGGAAGAATTGAAGCAGGGATATACCTCGCGATCCCTACTGCTTTGCGCGACGGTTGCGAACTCACCAGCGGCCAAGTCGTGCTCTTCGCTCGCGGCGACAGGATTAGCCTTGCGAGTTTCCAGAGCCGCGTTCCGGGCGTGGGTGTGGGCCTATGGAGACTGTCAGATGCGCAGTTTTAGATGACAGCTGAAACACGAGCTTACGTACCAAAGTGATGGGAGCAGTCTCCATGGCGTCGCAGAAGCAGAGACGACGAGCTCATCATCAGTTTAGCAAGGAGGGGAGGTTAAGGTCAGAATGAGGGGAAGAATCCAAGCTCAGGTGACGTGGTGCTGGCTCCGGTTACATGATTACGGAGTAATTACCCCATGCACCGCTTTTGGCTCAGCAAAAACGGTCTAGATTCATGCGGAGGGCGTAACGTTCTGTATCAGTGCTGCCTGGGAGATGGAGGCATGAAGTCTGGATGATCGCATTCTTATACGAGTACGGGGTAGAAAGTAGAAATCGCCATCGAAAGTAGTTTTTTTGAGCCATCTAAGTAAAACATTCAGCCCATAAGGTCATAGTCGGCGTGAGGGCAGTCGCTCGTATTCGTGTTGGTAACAGCACTTGGTCTAAGCTGAAGCTCCATCGGTCTCCGTCTCCCACTCCGCCTTACCGGTACCCCCGACTTTCTCAAGATCTGACATTCCTGTACCTTTCTCCTTACTCGCCTCACCTCTGCCCTTTCCAAGGTGCACTTGTTGTCGCTGCTTTTCTGCGTAGGTTGCGGAGAGACATGCTGTTGGCTCTGACCCCAGCCACAGCTGCCATCACCGAGAACCTTTCCCCCTCTTTACTTTCGCACTCGACGTCAGCGTCAGCACAAGCTTAAGCTTAAAGCTTACCATGCTATCCCTGCTCGCATGATTTATCCCAGCTAAATACATTATATGTGTCGACCACTCTCTCCTGAAGCTCGATCCCTTACTTTCGCTTGACCGCTTCGCTCGCTATGGACGTCCCCGTGATCCCTGACCCCCCGGAGCCCGCGCCTACAGATACTCCGCCGTTCGGGAAAGCGTTGCGATCCAAGACAATTCCGGTGGACCTAGAGACTCTTGGAAGCTCTGGGCGGAGCAATGGCCGATCCTCCATCGATTCAACGTCCGATAGGCAAGCGGGGGAGGCTGATTCCTCGAAATCGGGATCTAGCGGTCTGTCGAAGCTGCTCGCATCGAGAAGGAAACGCAAGAAGAAGAAGGATGACTTGAAACTGGTCGACGAGCTCCCGCCAACAATGGAGGCGGAGAGCAATGATGGAACTTTACTCGGCTCTTCTCAACATTCGCGCACAAGAGCTTCTAGCGCTTCAGTATTACCCGAGGACGCCCACAGCCCCAGGGATGACGCCTCGAATCTCCTGACGGACGACTCTGAACCCGATAGGTAAGGCTTCTACTCATGCGGTACCCGTTTGATCAAGATGCTGACGTTCAATGCGGCCTTTAGAACCCCTCCCCTCACTTCGCATGATTCGCATTCCGGCTTCTATACATCCTCTTCCCCTCTGATCAAATCAGCCTCAGCCGACGCCAACGATACAGACGGAGCACATGGTGATGCGGAGTCTGCGATTAGTGGCACAAACTCAGACCGTCGGGGCTCATATACTGACGCGGATTTATCGCGTTCGGCGACCCAGCCAGCAGCCTCAAATCTGAGCGTGCCTACAGATCGAAGCAATAAGAAAAGAAGCGTGTCCAGAAGTCTCAAGAATGCGTTCAGTTCCGACAAGAAATCCGCCAACCGCGACCGGGCAGAGTCAACCACGTCGGGGGAGAGCTCATGGAGCGCAAGCCGGCGGAGTAGTTTGTCCTCGAAGATGGTTGCAGGCAACCCGGCCGAAACGCCTCCGCCTGTTCCGTCAATTCCAAGACCAATACGTACGGACCTCAGGGAGGAAACACTTCGAGGATCGCCTGAGCGTCCCCGTTTACAAACGCCCCCGCACAGTGCCATCCCTTTCCCCTCGACTACAGTGACGCCTCCAACCCCCGCCCTTGAACATGCGCCTCTTATCACAAATTCCGGTATCACGGATTCCCCGTCCTCTATTAAATCCCGCGACTTACCATCTGGCGTTACTGTGAGTCCCTCGGGAAACATGATTTCACATCGCCGCGTTAGGTCTACCTCTTCTGTCATCGGGAAGCCTAGCAAGCTATCCAACTCGATAGCCGTTAGTCCGACCATCGAAGAAGGCAAATCCGGCACTCCCCAGACTGGGTTCTTTTCTTCCGTGTTTTCTGCGGCGCAGACGGCCGCCTCTACCTTGACAAACACCCTCAACGCGCAAAAGGCCAAGAGCACACCTGTACAGGAGGCCAATGACTCCGAGAACCAGACTTCTAACGAGGCTGGGAAAGATTCAGATGAGGCCGGGCAAGCTCCAGCCGAGGAGAAGAAGCCCATGGCTGTCGACACCCTGGGTTCGGGTGATCTGAACTTTAGCCACTTGGATATCGATATTCCACCGGGTGGGTCTATCTCAACCCCAGACGGAGTCGTGATCACGAAACCCGAATTGGAAACGCGCAGAAGCCCTGCCGTATCCCAGCGAGACGAAGCTGCGGCGAAGCTTGAAGATCGGCGAGTTGCACGTGCAGTCACTATGGCATACGAAAACCAAACAAACCAGTCGGTGGACGACGGGTCTGACGCTCAGGCCGGTTCAATGAAGGAGCCCACGGGCGCTCAAACACCCTCTGGTGGTAGCACGTTCGATGGAGAGATGGGTACGAGGCCGTTTCGAAGCAGCAGTGTACGGAGTCGGCTGGCCCGGCGGCGTCACCGAGGCTCTTCTGGAGCAACCTCGTCGACAATTGGTGCGATTGGCGCTGGTGCCATTGCACTAGGCGTTCCAGGCGCGAATGCTAGTCTGCCCAGATTGACAGGATTTGCCGTCGCAAGCAAAAAGCGCAACAGGGATTTCCACCAGCTCTTCCGCAGCGTTCCCGAGGACGATTATCTCATCGAAGACTACAGCTGTGCCTTGCAGCGTGAAATCATCTTGGCTGGACGCATATACATATCCGAGGGCCATATTTGCTTTTCAAGCAACATTCTGGGTTGGGTTACCACGCTTGTCATCAGCTTCGACGAGGTGGTCGCCATCGAGAAAGAGTCCACGGCCATGGTTTTCCCGAATGCTATCGCTATTCAAACCTTGCATGCCCGGCACACCTTCCGAAGTCTCCTGAGTCGAGAATCAACCTACGACTTGATGGTCAATATCTGGAAGATCAACCATCCAAGTCTGAAGAGCTCTGTTAACGGGACGAGGGTGACGGACTCTACCGGTGACAAGACCGAAAAGGCCGGAGAAAGCGAAGATGAAAGCGAAGAAGAGGAGGATGAGATCTACGATGAAGATGAGGACGAAGACAATGCGGAAAGCTTCTTCGATGCTGGGGATGACAGTATGCACGAGACTGATGAGTCGGCACCAAAGGGTCTGCCTCGACAAGCTTCTGGCACTATTCCAACCCTTTCATCAGGGGCGACGCCCAACGGGGTTTCCAAGGGCACCAAGGGGGGTAATGGAGATGCTGATGGTGACTTCCCTGGTCCTCACACACACCCTCCGTCTCAGTACGACGGGCCCGAAGGCCAGTACGACAGAGTCATCAAGGACGAAACAATCCCTGCGCCTCTTGGCAAGGTCTACTCTTATGTGTTCGGTCCAGCTTCTGTGTCGTTTGTTCCCAAGTTCCTCGTCGACAACCAAAAGTGCGGTGAGCTCGAGTTTAATTGTGAGAAAACCGGCCTCACGAATGAGAACCGCACTCGAAAATACTCCTACATCAAACCTTTGAACGGCTCCATTGGACCCAAACAAACCAAGTGCATTAGCACGGAGCAGCTGGATTTTTTGGATCTTGAGAAGGCGGTTCTCGTAACGCTCAGTACCCAGACACCGGACGTACCCAGTGGAAATGTGTTCACTACCAAGACCAAATACCTCTTCACGTGGGCGGCTAACCACCAAACGCGCTTCCTCATGACCTGCACCATTGAGTGGTCCGGAAAGAGTTGGCTGAAAGGTAGGTCTCTTGCATGCCTGCTTTACTCGTGATGTACTAACCTAGATAGGTCCTATCGAGAAGGGCGCCATTGACGGCCAGGGCTCGTTTGGTACTGATCTTATCGCTGCTCTCAAAGGTGCAGTCGCTCCTCGTGGTCGTGCAGCAGGTGGAAAGGGCGGTGCTAAGGGTAAGGGACGACGTAAGAAGGGCGATGCCGCGAGCGACGAGGGCGCTACGGCTGATGCCAAGTCAGTGGCCGACACCAGCCCCAAAAAGGCCGAATCTTGGGGCGTCTTTGAGCCGCTTCGAGGAATACTTGGCCCTGTTGCTGACATACTTGAACCGCTGTGGAATGGCAATGTGGCTGTTCTGGTTATAGGCATCTTGCTCTTCATGCTCTTCTTCCGCCAGCCTTCCCACCCGGCCCTGTCCTCGGATATGGGATATAACGGCCATAGCATACCCCAACGTCTGGCCGCCTACGAAGAAATGTGGCGCAGGGAGGAGAGTGAGCTTTGGAATTGGCTTGAGGACAGGGTAGGACTTGATGGAATCGCCGTTCCAACGATGAACCGGCAGTCTGACAGCCACAACTTCCGGAATAGTCGCAGGTCCCAGAGGGAGCGGGAACTGAAAGATTCGCTGAGCGAAGAGACCCTGTCGGACCGAGAGATGGATCACGCTATCCGCAGTACTCGAGAGAGGCTGGACACGCTCGAGCGGATATTGTCCAAACGAAGGTCACAACCTACAGAGAGCGCTGAGTCGTCCCACGGGGACCTCTAGTCTGCCCTCCACCAGCATTTGAGATTACATGTGTATGATCTGTCTTCAGCGGCACATACAAACACACCGCATAACTCGCATGCCACGTCACTCCTTCACTCAATCTCTTTTATGTACCTTTACTGCCGTCATGTGGCGCTACCTCTCCAATCATTTAAGTTTTGATTTGTCTTGTTGAACAGCGATCTGTGACTTTGCACCATGTCGAGCGAGATACTTTCCTTGTCCATTTTGATCCCCGTGTGCGTGATATGTTGCTGTATTCTGCCGTCCTATATCCACAGGGATACCGATCTATCTTGTATATCCAGGGCTTTCATCCATATACTCCGTATGTACTGCAAGTCCAAGAACTTCCAATCTACCCAGGGATGTAGCCTCAGGGATGGGATTCGCTGGCCTGACGGTGCTTAGCCCTCCAAGCGAGCCGAGGTCGTTCTCGGTGGAGTATCTCATCGGACTAGTCACCATTCGTGCCAATAGCACGTCGTAGAGGGTCGTTGATTACTATGTCAATCAGCAAATTAAGTCCTCATGAGCAATTTCTGCTTCCGTTATCGTATAGATAGGCTATTGATGCTTTGAAGTTTGCTGAGACATTTCTCGCCGAACTCGGCGAGCTCGGCGAGGACCCGCGTTCTTCTCAGCTGCAGTTGACCTTCATTATGCCGCAATCCAATGAGTCCGTTTCCTGCTCATGACTAAAGGAGCAGTCAGCAACACTCTGCCGCGCCGGCAATCTCATTAGGCTCGGTTCGGGCCTAGCCTTGTCCACTAGCTCACAGCCCCGTTCCCTAGGTATGCATGTCTCACTGCTATCTCCTCTTCCAGCACTTTGTTGCTCCGCTCTGAGTATAGGTACAGAGTCACAGAGTGCCCGTAATGCTGACACACGGTGGGCTCTACACAGGCAGCCATCTTCCAGCGGCGGGACAAGCCGACTTGTCCCAGAATCGCGACTGAGCTGCTCTATAAAGGGTCGAATCTCCCTGCCTCAATCCCCAAAACAGCATCACCATCAAATCATCTCATCTCCAAAACATCCTCCAACCTCTATCCTCTCTCCATCCAACCGCAAAAATGCACCTCACCACCCTCCTCCTCGCCACAACAACCCTCCTCACCGGCGCGCTGTCCGCCGACCTCCAAGTCAACTACTACTCCGACGGCGGCTGCAGCGACTACATGACCTCCATCCACCCCGGCACAGGCGGCAGCTGCGTCGACTACGTCTGGACGGGCTCGAACAGCATTAACATCGCCGACTGCACGTTCCCCAACGGCGCCTGCACCTGCACCTTCTACACGCAGCCGGGCTGTAGTGGTGCGAAGCAGCAGGTGGTTTATCCGAATGATAACTGCGCGAGTAACTGGGGGCGCGGGTTTTATTCTATGAAGTGCAGTGTTGAGCATGGGCTTTAGGGAAATCTCTTGGTTGGGTTTATTTGGGCTCTGCTGGATATGATGACGGGACAGCTGCCAGTGGTAGTACTAGATGAGAATCAATTGGACGGGAAGGAAAGGAAGGGGGGGAAAGGGGAGGTCTTCTTGTCGGCGCTGGCTGGACTATAAGGGCTATCATTTTCTGTACAGAACTGAGCACGATGTACTTAATCATCCCATACATATATGAAGAGGTGACTCTGCACGAAAGCAACAGAAGGCCACATCACTGCTAGTGTGATAAGTGGTAGATCATCACATAAACCTTTGATGTTTTTAAATGTCAAGTATAGGCAAACCGAACGCACCATTTATTCACGACTGTTAATCCATATGTGTACCATACTCTGCAGATCCAAGACATCAAGTAAGCCCAGCGGCTTGCCTAGCCTCCAGGTAGCACAAGGTCCCTCCAATACGACACCATAAATGGCCACGCCCACAGCGGCAATGACTGCTCTCGACGCCTGCGGATCTGGGCCCCTGCATCCGCATACCCCTCGCTATCTCTCAGTAGGCGCCATCCACGCCGTCGGGCTAGACTTACCCCCCCAACAATCGAGGCCGCGAAGGGTCAAATTCAGCATCGGCTTGTCCTCGCTATATGGCTCCTCATAACGAACAATCCAGTGGCCTAGGCCTAGGCATCAATGTGGGCCTCAAATATCCATGTGCAATTGAGCCCGGTGGCCGGTGTGTGGCACTGGAATTGCGGGGGAGGCGAGAAGTTTGCCCTGGCGAGAGGCGCATGCAGACCATGCATCTCCGCGTTGAGAAGGCATTGGCGTCAATGGCCCCGTACTTTGTACCCCTGTTTTCTTGCTGTGGATTTGCCCGTCGAGCTTTGGGGGTATTGGCAGCTCAATGCACAGCCTTGGGGCTGGAGTAGTGGAGCTGGAGGAAAAGAAGAAACTCATGTATCGCCTGCATAGCCAAGACGAGTAATTGTTTGCCGCAAATATCCTTAACGTAAAGTTTATGCAGGATGATTCGAGGCCCCTGCAAGTGTAGTAATGAGGACTGCCCAGGCGCGGAGTAACCTGCACCCCGCAGAGCCCAGGCCCCCAGCTATTTAACCCCCCGGCCCTCTTCGACCAGAAAGAAACATATCAGTAGCCGCCATGGCCCAATGCAAAGACACCCAGACCTCCAGCTCAGAGGGCTGGATGCCCCCAGCGACCCCCCGAGCCCTGCCCTTAGGGCAAGCCAACATCTACCCGCTGGGCGAGCCACACGTAAGTAACAGTGACTGAGAGGGAAGTAGCGCACCAAGACTGAGCAAGCCAGGCCGTCAGTGTATCCCTGCCAAAATGGGACTCGATCATCGCACAGTCCCGCGGTGAGAAGTGGGTGGTGGATCAGCTTGAATGGAGCTATCCGCGGTGGGTGGCATCGTTGTCAACTGCCAGCCAGGTGGAGCAGAACTAACAAGTGCATACGATATAGATTCCATATCAACAAGCCGGTGCAGGACCTCTCAGATGCAGTCCTCCACAGGCTTCAAGTCTCCACCGATTGCCGATGCATGGTTTTCGCCTCAGTCGCTGCTGCCTCTGAATGCCTTGAAGCCCTCCGGAGGAGCGACGAGCAGAAGTCCTTCACCGAGACGGTCCGCTTCTTCATGCCCGCCGAGTCCAACAGCAATGGGATTGCAGGACCCCATTGGGCGAACTTCTCTGCCGTCCTCCTTGCGCCGGATCTCTGGGACGAGGCCATGGCCTACTGGCGAGACTCGGGCAACGGTTTGTCCACGCGGCATGCGGAGTATATCCTGACGGAACTCGACTATCTTGACTCCGACTGCGCGGGCATGCTGGAACTCCGCACCCCTGCTCTGAGAAAACGTGGGGGTGGGATCTGCCGAGAGATTCCCGCATCGTATCAAAAGATCCAGGCGGCAGAGTCCAGCTTCTCGGAGCTGCGTGATGCTCTGGCTCGTCTTGCAAGCTCCAATAGGCCCGGCGAGCCGCCTGTACAGCCCGACGATGTATTCTTGTTTCCGACTGGCATCAATGCCGTATACTCGCTGTCCGAGTGCCTGGCGGGCTCGGACAAGACCGCGACCGTCGCTGCCTTTGGGTAAATAACGTGCCGCCCAATCATCCATTCCCACATTCAGAATGAAGTCCTAATCCAACTGATTGATGCCAGATGGCTGTACACCGAAACCGTTGGCATCCTCCGCCGAGGCTCCTGGGGCGAGGTCCTCTCGTACAAATCCGGCAGCGAGAAAGAGCTCGAGAGCCTAGCGGAAACCCTACGCTCAGGCAAAAAGGTCCATGCCCTCTTCTGCGAGTTCCCGAGCAATATCCTCCTGTCCTGCCCGGACCTGCGACGACTCCGCGAGTTGGCCGATGAATACGGATTCATCATCGCCTGTGATGACAGCGTCGTGGGCTACGTCAATCTGGACGCACTACCGTTTGTGGACGTCATGGTTTCTAGTCTGACGAAGACATTTAGCGGAAGCTCGAATGTCATGGGGGGGAGGTAAGGACCTACCTGCCTGGTTGGGTGGATGTGTTAACGAAAGCCACTACAATTAGTCTGGTGGTGAACCCGTCCTCCAAGCACCGCACAACCCTCCGCTCCGCCCTTTCAGCACACCACAAGAAGGCCCAAATCACCTACTTCCCCCTCGACGCCGCAACCCTCCTAGCAAACAACAAGACAATGCACCAGCGCATCAAGCAATGCAACGAAAACACCCTCCCGCTTGTCCGCCTGGTTTCCGCACACCCGTCCATCTCAGCAGTCCACCACCCGTCCACAGCGCCAACAGCGCACAACTACGAGGCCATGATGCGCAAGACCGAGCCCGCAGGCTACGGCAACATCCTGAGCATCGTGTTCCGCGACCCGCGCAGCGCAGAGCACTTCTTCAATGTCCTGCAGGTGTGCAAGGGGTCGAGCTTCGGGACGAACTTTACGGTTGCGGTGCCGTACGTGCATCATGCGCTTTACTCGAAGAGGGAGAAGGTCCCGCGGTATGGAGTTCCCGCGCATATCATTCGGGTGAGTGTTGGGTTGGAGGATGGGGGGGAGTTGGTGGGGGTTATGGAGGAGGCGTTGAGGGAGGTTGAGCGGTTTGAGGGGGGGAGTGCAGGTGCCCGTGGAGTGGAAGATGTGCTCAATTGAGGTAGCTAGGTATATTGGTTGATATGTAGGTAGTAAAGACGGTACTCCGTACACAAGAGCATCTCAAGTTAGGCCTCATCCTCCCCACCACCCCCGGCGTCCCTGCAATCATGAAGCCGCACACCAAAGCCGCATACGCACAGCCCGTAACCGTCCATACCCCCCAATGCGGCGCATCCAAATAGCACCCATCTTCCACTCTATTCTGAGGCGATGGTGAAGGAGAGCGGCGGTTATGGTTGTGTCAGCGGCGGCGAGAAGGCTGCGATTCATCAGCACGCTTTGGCGGCGAAGACGTGCTTAGTTGGAGGTCGTGCTGGAGGATTATGGTGTCTGAGGAGGCGGTTTCTCCGGTGGTTGTTTGAGGTGGTAATGACGACGACTGTATGAGTTTGACGCGTATGTATGTATAGGTGGGCTGGTGAACGCTTGGTCTTTGAATGAGATTTAGCGGACCTAGGCCAGCTGGGAAGACAAACATGTCTGACACAGTAAGAAACAATCAGGGGAGAGATCGGCTTCTAACAAGGAGGCTGGCTTCCTGAGTACGGGCAAACACTCCGGCTTTCTTGGTGACTAGGACACATTGGCTGTTTACGATTCAGTAATGAGATTCAAAATTATATTGTACAATGGCATTTTTGTTTTGCTTGGACTAACCTAAATGCAGGCTTCAAAGCTCTGTGGTTCTTTATGTTGCACCTGTTCATGTGCAGTGAAAAATGAACTCTGATATCGTACGGCGGACATTGGAAGAATTTTAGTCGACTCAATTGATGGGTCGCTGCTCTGTATTGTTTGGTTTCAAAGGGTATACCCAGTGCAGTTGGCTTTCCGCAACGAAGCGCGCTGGTCGGGAACCCAGTTAAAGGATCTAAGCCGTTCTTGTTGCGCGTAGACCTGCGCTTGACGCCAATGAAGGCTTTCAATGACGTGCCTTCTTCCTATCCGGCTCCGGCTCTTCATCATCACTGAGATCCCGATAGATCGTCGTCGGCTGAGTTTCCTGCCACGCCTTAGTGAATATCGGATCCTTCTTAGCCTGATCAGCGTATTTCAACAGAGCCTCGCGAGGGTCTTCATCCCGCATAGAGCTGAGCGGGATGTTCTCCCGAATATGTCGCTCGTCTGGTTGCGATTTCGCAAATGGGGTCGTCGCCGGCAGGTGAGGCCGGCGGGGGTCTCTTGAACGGCCCGAGGCCGTCAGTCCGATGGTAGGGTGTCGCGCGGACCAGGTTGCCGAGCTGTAGTGCGGTACGCCGTTCGATCCGACTACCACTGAATCTCCGGAGATACCTTGGGATAGGTTCATAGTCAGGGTTGGGTCGTCGTCGATGTGGCGGCGTTTGGGCGCCTTGGACATAACGAGGGCAGCGCCCTTTGTTGACATATTGGGGTTATATAATATGTGAGTCTCCGCGTTGGCGGATCCGGTGAGAATCTGGTTGAGCTTTTCGTGCCATTGAACTGTGATCAAGGGGGATCCTGGCGTAACGGGGGTGATCAACTCAGGCTTCAACGTCGCCGGGTTCAGGATGTGTAGATGTCCTGTTTCCGATCCAGTCACGACATTTGCCGAGGTAGGTGAGAAGATAATGTTTGAGGTCGGGTACCGCGAGGAGCTGGAGGGGTGCGCAACAGTTGTAATTGGTTGCTTAAACTTTCTCGTATCCCATAGCTTGATAGTATCATCCCCTCCCTTGGTAATAACAAGCCTTCCATCAGCACTAATATCAATTCCACTTGTCCATGTATCCCGTGTATGAGCATCCCTAACCTCAGCACTGGGCCGGGTATAGGGCCCGTTACCGCTCCACATCATCAGACTACCGTCAAGAGCAGCAGCAACAAGGACATCTGCACCGCCCTGCTTCGGAGAGCCCCAAGCGACTGCCGTCATTTTGCTCCGACCAGCGGATCCAGCAGCCCTCGACTTGTGCATAATCACCTCCTTCTGCGACCGACCAATATTGGCATCCCATATCCGCACTGTGCTATCTGTTCCCGCAGTCGCGCACAGGTTTTCGTTGCTTGGAGACCAAACGCCGCTGGTCACTTCTGATATGTGTCCCTTGGTGTTGTGCATGTCTCTCAGATACATGTCACCCTTCACAAACTCGGTAACTGTTTCGCCATCACGATCGAGTATCCTCGGCTGCGGTGTAGCGGAGACGACGAGAACATAGGCTGGAGAGATGGGGTTGAACGCCGCATAGTGTACCGCATGTGTTTCCTGCGCCGCCGATGTCTTTTTCGCGGAGGGATCGACGGACTTGAAGGAGCGGATCGTTGACGGTGTCATGGAAGCGAAGTCGTGGAGTTTTAACGTACAGTCGGTGGATCCGGAGATCAATCGCGATCCTGAAGGGTCAACGGTGATGGTGGTGACTGCGCGCTCATGCGTTTTCATCACCAGCTCGTGGGATACCGGGAACTCGTCCGAGTCGTCAGAGTCGTCCGAGTCATCGTCCGAGTCGTCTGAATTATCGCTGCTCTTGGCGCCAGGCCCTGCAGGTCCGATATCATCGCTTTCGTCGTCAGACTGTACGCCAGCATCACCAGCGACGTCGCTAATCAGTTTCGTCTCCTCATGGCCGCTATCCGGCTCGACGGCGCGTTTGGTCTGGTCGATTTGCGCATTAATATCCGCTTTCTTTTCCTGCTTTCCGAAGCTCGTTGGGAAGAACTTCTTGAAAGCTTCCTCGTCGAAGCCCTCCATGATTGTTGATTTGCGCTTATGTTGTTTTTTGGATGGCTCGCAAGGCGACTTTGCGGAAGCTTATATGCGGCTTCTGGCTGTTTGCACTGTTTGGTTCAGTTGGGCCAATCTTATCTTATCTTATCCAGACCATCACATTCGTCACTTCGTTGAGCCAGCGAAGTGACAAGTATTTAGAAGGCATGATGGAATGGTGTTGCCGGCAGCATATCAAAAGTATTCATATACCAAGTCTAAAGGATTAACAGGGGCTGGCTATATATGCTTAGTCTAGTACCTTTGAGGCTGCGAATGTACAATCTTCATTTTGCCAGAACTATATATTTCTGCCGCCTTCCGTTCGTGGCTTTAGATTGTGAGAAGCTTGTTTGCGCCTCCAGAAATATCAAAAAGCTTTGAGCATCATGCTATTAGAAGCCTTAGAGACAGGTATTATTACGAGTGATACATAAATATACGGAAACTGCTTACTGCCGTAGACTTGGTCACCCAAAGAAGACCGAAAGTATGAAAATGCACGAAGATGATAAATCGTAACAATTACTGGCTAGAATACACAAGTTCTATGGGAACGGCGAAGACGCAGATAGGACAGCGCAACACCAATAGCCATGTGCATCTACAAGTATAATCCCTCCACGGGACCACCATCCTGCTTCGTCTTCATGATCCGCTCGCGAGCGGCGCGGAAGTCGTCCATCTGCACCCTCATGCGGCGCTCTCTCAGAGCCATCAAACCAGCCTCCGTGCAGATAGCGCGGATATCGGCACCGGACAGGTCATCCTTCTGGTTGATAAACTCGTCAAGGTCGACGTCGTCTCCGAGGGACATCTTCGAGGTGTGAAGGGTGAAGATCTTCTTCTTGGTGTTTTCTGTTTCCGTTAGAATAAATACTACCAGTAGTTTGAAGGCAAGACTTACGGTCGGGGTTCTCGAAAAGAATCTTTCGATCGATACGTCCAGGACGAATCAAAGCAGGGTCAAGAGTCTCAATCTTGTTCGTGGCCATGATCACCTTGACGTCTCCACGGTCATCGAAACCGTCCAACTGGTTGAGAAGCTCAAGCATGGTACGCTGGATTTCCCTTTCACCACCAGAAGTCGAGTCATAACGCTTCGTACCGATGGCATCGATTTCATCGATGAAGACAATGGATGGCGCGTGTTCAGCCGCGACCTGGAAAATCTGTCGCACCAAACGGGGTCCGTCTCCAAGGTACTTCTGAATCAACTCACTTCCAACGATACGCAAGAACGTAGCACTGGTCTGGTTTGCAACGGCCTTGGCAAGTAGCGTCTTTCCTGTTCCGGGAGCTCCGTAGAGAATAACACCCTTGGGTGGTTTGATACCCATCTCCTCGTACAGCTCGGGATGAAGCAATGGCAATTCGACTGACTCTCGAACCTCCTGAATTTGCGACTCAAGACCACCAATATCGGCATAGGACTCGGTTGGCGCCTTGTCGAGTTTCATCACCGAGACCAGCGGATCCGACTCTTCGGTCAATACACCTACAACCGATACCGTCTTGTGATGTAGGAGAATGCTAGCACCCGGCTCAAGAAGGTCCTTGTCGACAAATGACATGATCGACACATAGTACTCGGGGCCAGTAGCGCTCGAGACAATGGCGTGGTCGTCATCGATCAACTCTTCCAGGTTGCCGACTCCCATCGGGCTTCCTCTCATGTCATCCACTCGGCTGCGCTCGTCCGCATTTCGGTCGGTGATATCAACATCCCCTCGGTTGGCGGAGTCGGATACGGACGCTTTGGCTTTCCGCAACCGTTCCATGTTTTCCACATACTCTTCCTCCAGCAGTAGATGGTCGTGGACGCGCTGCATTCGGAGGTATCGCAGCTTACATCGTGATGTCGGATAGATGTCAGGGAGCTTGGATGCAGTGCTGGGACCGGCGGCCTTGCGCTTCTTACGACCGATGCGAGTGGTAGGAGGTGGTGGCGGCTCGTACTTGGGCTTGTCCTTCTAGATATGAGTGTCAGGGCCGCAACTAATTCAACACGAGCCACAATAAAGTCTCACCTTCTTATCCTTATCATCCTTGCCGTCGTGGCCGCCTCCGCCGATGTTGGACTGCTGGTTACCCTATGTTTTCATGCTTGTCAGATCGGAACTGCGCGATGAGATAATAGCGACGAACTAACCATAGTCCCAAGTGGAAAACGAAGATGAAATAAGGGAGTTTCTCTAGGTTCCTGAGATGTGCAACTGTGCAGTTGGATGGAGTTAAAAGATGGAAAAAGGGAGAAGAGGATGACAAGGAGCTTGGATAGCAGCTTGAGACCGGGGCCGGCTTGAGCTGTTGCTGTTGTCGCCTTCGTCAGTGCTTGGCATTGATTATGTGATAATCGTAGCACGTGACCAATATTGTCTACTTCGTTCGCCGAGATAAAATGTCCCGACAGTGGCTTAGAAGTTAAAACCAGGGTATTGGTCTAAAAGAGGCTAAAGAGCTAGAATATTGAAAGCGAGGCACTACGACGAGGCGTTCTTCACTAGACGTGTCAAGTCGGAGAGTGCAGGCTGGTGGCTGAGGCAGAACCCGAGCATCGAGTCAGCGGCTTAGCCAAAGTGAAGACGAGATACAGCTCAACCTATCAGATAGTCCGCCTCGGAGTCAACAGTGCAGTGCGTGCAGCAGCCCCGGAACTGAAAGGCATAAAAAGCTTCGGTGACCACCTGGCGGCCTGAATAATAACTTGCCCCCATCTGGAACTTCACCCCGCCCTCGCGCCTTGCTGTTACCTAGTCGCTCCCCAGCATTATTTCTACCTGATCGGCCATCTATAGTTCCGAGATCTTACTGGTTTCCGTCCGTCAGCCCCTCAGCTTTCCCTCCAAGCCTGCGTGAGGCTCTTTCGCGACCCAACCTTGTAAGCGCTTCAGTTGAATACTCAGCGCCATACCACACGTCATCTTTGGGTGACTCGTTCTAAAGGTGCTTCATCAACCCCCTACTCTGCTCTAAATGTGGGATTGCTCGAGGGTTCACTGCCGAAGCTAACCAGAGCCTCCAACGCTACTAGCGTCGCATCTACCATCCATCTTGCTGTCGCATCTACCTTGACGCTGCCGATTCTGAAAGTTGACACCATGTCGTCTAACCGAACTCGCCGCATTGCGAAGGAGATTGCGGACATCCGCGCAGACACTCATTCCCAGATCACTGCGGAGCCGGTGGGAGAAGAAGACGATATCACACACCTCCGCGGTACTTTTCCTGGGCCGCCGGGTACCCCGTACGAAGGCGGCACGTACAAAGTTGACATTAAGATACCCAACGAATATCCCTTCCGACCACCCGTGATGAAGTTCATCACCAAGGTCTGGCATCCAAATGTCAGCAGTCAAACGGTTGGTATCCCTCGTTTAAGATGATTTTTCAAAGCTCATCTAACTTTGTAACCACCAGGGTGCCATCTGCCTTGATACGCTTTCGTCCGCCTGGTCTCCAATTCTCACCATTAAAGCCGCTCTCCTCTCGCTGCAGTCCCTGCTTAGCACACCAGAACCTAAAGATCCCCAGGATGCCGAGGTTGCCACTATGCTGCTTCGGAACCCCAAAGAGTTCGACCGCGTAGCGCGCGAATGGGCTACACAACATGCTGGGGCTCCGAGAAGAGCTGCGGGAGAGGGCAGCGGCGGCGCGACGAGCGAGTCCCTGCGCGAATTGGAGCGGAAAGAGAAGGAAGCTCGAGAGAAGGAAGATCTGTCCAAGTAAGTATTCATTGGTACATCAGCTCCGAGAAGACTTCGCTTACATGTCTCGCCAGGTATGATGGGTACAACAAACAGCTAATTGATCGATTTGTTCACATGGGCTTTGACGTGGACGCGGTCGTAGCCGCATTCGAATATTACGGCATTGACCGCAACGGAGGCGAAGACTACGAGCTGGAGGAGGCCTACATGGGTGATGTGACCGCTCGACTCCTCGGCGAGCCGTAGGTCTTCAATCTCCCGGAAGTAGATTTGTTTGTTCTTGGTGGACTTCATAATGAGCACGGTGCCTGGCGAATATTTGACTTGTTTGCTTTATCGGAAATTTGGACGCTTAACAACTATTACGTCGTCACGACTCACTGCATGCATATACTTTTTGCATACCGACGACTTGTCGAGAATGTCTTCATGAGTAGTTCTAGTCCGTATGTAGTACTCTTTACTTCCAGCGGCATAAATATTATATCGTTATATCATCTTTAATGCATCTTTAATGCATTGGTTTATACAAGTACTCCGTAAAAAGCTGGAGCTGGAGCTGGAGCTGAGGCCCCGTTGTCTGGTTGAGAACTGCTATCGATAAGCACGGATACTTGACCACCTCCGGCCCGGACTTTTGAGAACCTCTTTACCTTCTTGGAACCTCAAAGCCTTGGTCATGGACGATCGATACAACAGTACAAAGTGCTGCTAGTACATCCTCAATTTCACCTCACTCAGAATTGGCGAAGAAAGCACTTCATCCACAAGAGAACCGAACAACCTGATCGATCTCCGCCACAATGATTGAGGACGACTTCTACCGAACCTCCTCTCAGTTCCGCCTATGGTCTTTCACTGAGGAATCCCTACGGACCGTGCGGCAAAAGACAAACAGTCTCGCAAGTGACCGCGTACGGATCGCGCTGCGAAGGGCGCGTGAGGCGCGACAATCCGCCAACTCCTCTGCCGCAGGTACACCCAACCCAAATGGCAGCGACGCAGACAGCAAGGCCGGGGAGGAAAAGGATATAGAATGCTTGACATCGGAGGAGGAGCAGGACTTAGTGCGGTACTACTGCGAACAGATCATCCAGCTAGGAGAGAGCTACAAGCCCCCGATGCCGTCGATAGTGCGGGTATGAAACATACTTTACAGCTCCCTTGAAGCAGGAAGCACAGTACATCATGCTAATGAACTTATGCTGACCAGGCCACCGCAATCCAATACCTCCGCCGGTTCTATCTCACCAACTCCCCAATGACCTACCACCCCAAGACCATCATGCCCTGCGCCCTCTTCATCGCAACAAAGACAGATAACTACTACATGTCCCTCCGGCAGTTCGCCGACGGCGTCCCCGGCGACACAACAGCAGAAGACATTATTGCGCCCGAATTCCTCGTGATGCAAAGCCTCCGCTTCACCTTTGACGTACGCCACCCCTTCCGCGGCCTCGAAGGCGGGATCATGGAACTCAACGCCATATCACAAGGCCTTGGGGAACCAGCACCGCACCTCCCAAACCAAAGCGCAGAAGACCTGCGGCGCGCTATTTTATCCCTCCCACCACCACTGAATACCCCTTCTCCCCCGTCAATATCAGACCGCCTCGCCCGCGCACACCACAACACGCGCGAGATCCTCAAATCCGCCGCCCAAATGACAGACGCCTACTTCCTCTACACCCCATCCCAAATCTGGCTCTCGGCCCTCTCCCTCGCCGACGCCCCCCTCGCACAATTCTACCTCGACACAAAACTCCCCAACCCCACCGAATCAGAGCACCCCCTCGCACAACTCCGCGCGAAACTCCTCCAAACCCTCTCATCCTGCGCGACGCTCTTACAATCCTACAAACCGCTCGGCTCAGACCCAGAGCAGAAGAAAGCCATGCGCCGGATCGGGAAGAAACTATATCACTGCCAGAATCCCGAAAAGGTGAATCTAGCCGGACAGAAGAGGATTCCGGCTGCGGCGGCGGCGGCAATAGCGTCGGCGGCGGGGAACCCGAGTGATACGCCGACGCCGGATAGCGAGATGGAGCGGCTGGCGAAGAAGAGGAAACTCGAGGCGGAGCAGCAGAAGGCCGGGAATGATATTTTTGGCGGGGACTTGGTTATGGAGAGGACGAGGGATAGACAGGCGTAATTGCAGTTGCAGTAATCAAGGCACCTTTGTCTACTGAGAGGTAGAAGGAAAGGGAGGGAAATGCTATTGGATATGCAGTTGGAATTCAAAAGTGAAGAGTGTTGTGTTCCTCGATACCTTTATTTGATATATACCGTCCCATGTAGAACTTTGTTAAGCACGTTGCTAGATGATCAAGACCCTGGCCCCAGAAAAGGTCTGGTCATAGCCCTTCTCAGTGCTAAGGTTGATGAACATGTGGAAAGACAGGCTCGAAGCCAGACCTTGACATCAGCAAGCGTCAACATAATACTAGGGATACAGGATGAACTACAAAATGGACTCTTCCTACAGTAGCATAAGATAATTGATGCCAAGGCAAAGAATATCGAATTCAATCCCCCCCTCCAAGCTGAGTCTAGATAGCGGAGGAATGATATGAGACGAGGTATGGAACAACCTTAAGAGCAACAGCACAGGCCATCTAAACTGAACGAAAAGAAAAGAAAAAAGCACCCTATAGAAAAAAATCGAAGAAACATATATCTCCAGAAGCGTGAGACAACCTTAAGAGACGAAACAGAAACAAAAAAGTCGGGAATTTTCAAGTAATTCCCTTCCCATATATCATTCATCCGTCAGACCCAACCAAACCAGGACGGTTCATCACTCCCGGGGTAGTAGACAGACAACATAGACAAAAATTGAACTTTTCCTCTTTTCCCACGTTGTATCATGATCTAGCATGCCAGTCGTTAAAGAGAAAAAAGGTAGTGGAGACTCAAGAGGTAGTCCGCTTAAACGGTACCCTCGGAGATCATCTTCTTGCGGAGGTGGTTCTTGTATTCACCGATGGTGCCGTCCCAGCGGCGGACGGTCTTGTGCTCGCATACCATGATGTCCTTGGCGATCTTGTCGAGGAGTCGGAAATCGTGAGAAACGACGACGACACCACCGCTGTAGGCGTTGATGGCATCGGCCAAACTGTCGATGGTGGGGATATCCAGACCGTTGGTGGGCTCGTCAAGGAGGAGCATGTTGGGGGACTCGATGGCGAGGAGGGCGAAGACAATACGGGACTTCTGACCCTCGGACAGGGTACCCATCAGAGCAGTTTGGGACTCACCCGAGAGACCGTAGCGACCGAGCTGCTGACGCCAGTACTGGAAGTCCTGGGACTTCTCGGGGAACTTGTCGCGGACGAACTCGAGAGAGGACTTGGTCAGGTCGAGCTGCTCAGCGGAGTGCTGGCTGTACATGCCGAGCTTCAAGTGAGTGTGACGGCTGACACGACCACCAATGGGAGAGAGCTTGCCGGTCATGAGACGCAGCAGGGTTGATTTACCAACACCGTTGGGACCGACAAGGGCAGTTCGGGAGTCCATGTCGACACCGAAGTCGAGGTGCTCGTAGAGGGTGTCTTCCCAGTTGCCGGAGTAGGAGAAGGAGACGTCATCGAAAGACAGAACAGGAGGAGGGAGCTTGTCAACATCGGCAAAGCGGAAGCTGAAGACACGGTCGGGGATGACGGGCTGAATGAAACCATCGGCCTCCATCTTGTCGAGAATCTTCTGGCGAGACTTGGCCTGACGCACCAAGTTGGCGTAGGTACCAGCGGAAGCGATGAACTTCTTGATGTGAGCGATTTCTTCCTGCTGCTTATTGTACGCCTTCATTTGGTTGACTTCCTGCTCGGAACGGGTCTTGTGGTAAGAGTCGTAGTTACCACCGTAGTAGAGGAGCTGCTTCATGCGCATGTCGATCATGTTCGTGCAGACACCGTTGAGGAAGTCCATAGAGTGAGAAACGAGGACGAGAGTACGCTCCCACTTCTTCAGGTATTCTTCCAACCACACACAGGCTTCGAGATCCAAGTGAGCAGTAGGGTCGTCGAGAAGGAGCAGAGAGGGCTTGACGAAAAGGGCCTTGGCGAGGGCGACACGCATACGCCAACCACCAGACATGTCCTTGGTCTTCTTGTGGATTGTCGTCTTGTTGAAACCAAGACCAGTCAAGATAAGAGAAGCACGGGTGTGGAATGTGGAGGGGTCCATTTTGTCCATGCGCTGCGCAAGTTAGCAACATTCATATTTTGAGATTGGAGAAACATACGTCGTACAGATCCTCAAGGATAGGGCTGTCAGGGCCTTCCTTCTCAAGAATCTCCTCCGCCTGCTTCTCCATACGGTCGAGCTGGTTCTGAGCCTCAGTGACAACCCACTCGAGCGCACCGAGGTCGCTAGGAGGGGCACCCTCGTTCAGAAGGTAGATATCAATGTGCTCGGGGATCGGGTATTCACGGGCATCGATGGCCTTGAGGAGAGTGGACTTTCCGCAACCGTTCTCACCGAGCAGACCGTAGCGACGACCGAAGTTGAGTTCGAGGGTCGAGTCGGTGATAAGGACCTTTCCGTGGAACACGAGCGAGGCGGAGGTGACCTTGGCATCGCGAGACGACGGCATGGAGGAAAGCACACCGGTGGTGACACGATCGGACAGACCGTGCTTGTCCATCTGTGCTGTGAGCTTCTCGACCTCCTTCATCTTCTCGTCGGTGGTGGCAGGCTGGTCCTCAGCACCGGACTCGACGGGGGTGTCGTCCTTTGACTTGCCGGCCTTTTTGGCTTTGGCATCGCCACGCTTCGCCATGCGGGCGGCTTTGGATGCGGACACCATCTTGACTGTGTATGTATTGATGGGATGGACTCGGTAGGGTGGTGAGGGAGGCCTGGAGGGGAGTCTGACGTGAAGAGTGAAAGAGGGAAAAAATGAGAGGGTGGATCGGAAATAAAAATAGCGGGGGGGCGAGCCTTGCTGCTAAGGTGGGGGAGGTTCCTTGAAGCCCTTATCGATAGACGATAAAACACTAACAGCGGGCGAGGAGGTGGCAAGGAAGAATGACTATCCAGCAGTCAGAAATGAGGCGATGGAGGAGAATAAAGCCACTGGGAGGAGAGGGTGAGAAGGCGAGAATCAGAGATTGCAGCTGCAGCGATTGTGCTTTGAGCCTGAAAGTCGCGGCCAAAATCTTCGAGTGGGCCGCCAAGAGTGGCGTCCATTGGATGAAGTACGTCATTCGAGGCCATATCGGGCAGTGACGGTCACGTGGTTTTAGCATGACTAATTACCGCTATTCCATTGCTGCAATGCTCGATGGACAATCATCCAGGAACAAGATGATTATATGTAGCTATGTATAGAGCCGATGATATGTACAAACGCTGAACAAGGATATTGTGTGGTAACTTAACCATGCCTCATCCGCTCACTAATCCTTTCGAGCACTTCCTTCTCATCCGCATCCAACCACAGATTATCCGACCACTCGACTTTCCCAGGCCGAATAACAACCTGCATGGGCTCTGAGTACTCAAAATCCGACGATGACGAATCACTCCCCTGCTTGATCTTCGGCGCCTTCTCAACATCCTGCGCCTGCTCCTGCCTCGCTTTCTTGCCCAAAGGATGAGGCGTCCACCAGTACACGGGAAACCGGCGCTGGATGTTATTGAGTACCAAGGCGGCCGACAACATAAGCGAACAACCCAACAGCAGGACTGGGATAAGCCACCAGCCAACAGGGGCAAGTTCAGTAGCGCCGAGCAGAGCGGTTGCTCCCGCGGGCGGATGGACCGTGTTGGTAAGGACCATGGCCATGGTGGTGATGGCGCAGGCAAGAGCCCCCGCGAGCTCAGGCTTAGATTCCGCGCTGGGATTCAGGGCAAAGAGCTTGGCGATAGCAATGCCGATTATGCTTGCGATGACCTGGCTGAACAGTGCGTTTCGCGGCTGGGCGAAGGGGGATTCGATGGCCGCGAATTCCAGCACGGCTGCGGCACCCTGTTTACGTTAGTGAACACTCGACGGTTGAATATGAGGGTTCATACGAAACTGCCCACGATGATAGGCGCATGGTGGTTCTGGAAAGCGGGTACACGCATTGAAACCTCGGAGATGAGAAGCACGCCGCCGAAGACACCGATTAGGGACCAGAATGCGATGACCACATTGCCCAGTGCCTTTTGAGGTTTGTCTCCTCTGTATCCGAAGAAATGCGAAACAGGTCGAGGTAGTAAGTGCCATGGCGGCGCTGGAATGAAGCGGTTCAGCACGGCATCAATGTCCAAATGCCAGCGGGCAAAGTCAATGCGTGAGTGCTGTGAGGAATGCTCGCGCGCCGGGCCGCGGTCCCGGTTCAAATTCCCTGTCATTCTGCGCCTTACCCGCTGTAAGGGTTTGCCAGATTCTTTGGCGCCGTAAAGAGTGGTATAGAAGCAAAAGCTGGATCTGGAGTCGCAGTTTCCGCTTGTTGATATATCGTCGTCGCCACCACGGCAAATATTTCCGCTCGACTCAACAACCTCACGACGAAAACGAAGGTTCAAGGAAAGAAAACAGGAATCAGAAAGCCACCCAAATACCATCCACCCCCAAGAAGTGGAGCGAAGCAACGCAAAGCAAGGGAGAAACAAACGTGCCTGTCGCAGCGTGGATGAACCGGACCAGCGGACTATATATCCCAGTCCCAGTACGTAGCCAAGCCGTTACCCCAGATACTGTACTCTCCGACCCTCAGCAGCGTAACCAAACAATCTCACCTGTCTGACGAGAGGCGGCGAAGGGACATTATGAACACTGGCCGCGACATGGTCTGTGAGCGCCCTTATACCCGACGTACCGTATCTCCGCGGAAAGGCGTGATTTATACGCGGAGGAGTGAGGAGAAGGCGTGAGAGCCTGTGAGGAGAAGGCAGAGACGTTAGGAATCCAGGGCATTTGATTGCAGCGGTTGCGGTCATGAAGCGCGCATCTTCCTGGTTCTTCCAACCATATAGTTTGGGTTGGGTAATGGGAATTCCGGGGTGGGCTTAGCGCGGCCGGGGCCGAGGATCGCTGTACGTAATTTACGATGCGGTCATGCGGCGGTATTCGCCAATTGCTGATGGACGGTGAGTGAGAGTCGGGGATAGTACCTAGGTAGTGACAGTACAGTACCGGAGTATATGCGAGCTATTGTTATTATTGGTGTGCTCGAACTCTAGATCTATAGACTAAGTAGAACAAATATCGTCAGTCGGCAGGGATACCGTACCGACTCAAGGCCGAGTATACTCCGCGTGAATCTCCGCATCAGCGGCTTCTCCTCACGAGGGGTCCGTAGTCACCATCTAAATTCTAAGTTACTGACAACCTTAGAAGTCCAACGTCTTGCCCTGCTTGGAGCTCTCCTGCACCAACTCGATTAAACGAATGACCTCCGCTGCCTCCTCGCCGCTGGCGGGCAGGTCGCCCTCGCCGGCCAGAGCCCGGGCCATCTTCCGGTAGTATTCTGACCAGGTAGGGGGCTCGACGGTGGGAGTGACTTCGCAGACGGGCTTGCCGTCTTTGATGGTGGTGAGGGTACCTTGGCCATGTTAGTTATTCCTTGAGGTGAAACGTGAACTGGACGAGAAATACCGTATCGCTCGCTCGGCTCTCTGCCGTATCCACTGTCGCCTGGCCTCATACCGGCCTTGAGTTGGTCTTCTTGACAGTCAAGGTGGAACTGTCCGTCAAAGTCAGCACTCAACATGCACCGATCAAAGATGGGAAGAACTTACCTTCTTAAAGCTACCCTTGTCACCCCTAACCCAGAACCTCAACTGCTCCTCCTCGGCACTGACAACACCCGCCTTCGCCGTAACCAGCACACCACTGTTATAGTGTAGGAGGACCGTAAACGAGTCTTCATATCCAGAAGTGTTGACTTCGCGCTGCGACCCAACGAAACCAGTCACCCGGTCCGGCTTGCCAAGCAGATACACAGCCTGGTCCAGCAGATGGGAGCCGAGATCATGGATCGCGCTGCCTCCGGGTACAACCTTGTTCTTCCACTTCGAGACGGTAGGCGCGGGTTCTTGGGGACGGTGGCGGTCGAAGTGGGTTTCGTACTCGACGACGCGGCCGAGCGAGCCGTTCTTGACGAGCTTGGAGAGGGTGACGAAGTCGGCGTCCCAGCGGCGGTCTGCAGTGTGTATTAGTGGTTTATCCGGAGTTGGCTATGGGTGCATTCGTACTCTGGTAGACGGCGAGGAACTTGTTCTGCTTCTTTGCGATCTCGACGAGCTCGGCGGCTTCTTTGTAGGTAGGGGTGAATGGTTTCTCGCAGATAACTTTGGCAATCAGCTCACTGCCACGGTTGGCATTTGGAATCAGGAACGTACCGTGCTTTCCACTCTCCAGGGCCAATTTGCCCAGGTAGTAGTGTGAGTCTGGCGCTGTGGTGATAACAACTACATCGACCCCCGCATCCTGAACGAGCTCCTCGGCGCTGCGGTAGGACTTGATGCCCGGGTGGTCCTTCTCGGCGTCATTCTCGGGAGTGGGAGTGCGCTGAACAACAGCATACAGCTTGAATTGCGGGACGTCCTGGATGAAGGGGATGTGGAATGTTTTGGCGCTGAAGCCGTAGCCCACGATTCCGACGTTGAACGTTTTGGAGGCCATGGCGGGGTAATGTACAGGTGATAAGGGGTATATGGAGAGGAGGAAAAGAACTATAGAATAGCGCACGGGATAAGAGCAGGTTATATACGAAGAATTGAATGTGATAAATATTGCCCCTAAGAATGACACTTCACCCAATGTGGGGGAACTCCAAGGAAGGTCCTGGCGACGGCAACTCTGGCTCTGGCGGGGCACCACAGCCCGGCCACTGGTTTCCGATCGGCATTGCCCGATTTCTTCCCATTCTATTCCTGTATCCCAACACATCGCGTCACCTCAATTGCATCCTTTATCCATTAGCAATGATGTCGAGCTTTGAAGAGAGGGATCACTCACCCGACACCCCTCTGGCTGCCTCAGCACACTCTCATACACCAGGTTCGGGTTCCCGAGGATCTCGAACTTGGGCACGCTGTTGTTCCCCATGAAATCGTTCACCGTCCTCTGCGCGAATCCCTCAGTTGTATACGCCTTGGACGGTCCCTTTGCAGCTGCCTCCCGCTTTTTCTCAACCGAGCTCCGGACGTACTCCAGATACGGCGGGTTGCCCGGCATGATCACATTATCTGCCGCAATGACCGAGACACCTGGGACAATCTTCCCTAGCTGCTCGCACAGCTTCAAGTCCAGCGTATATGCCGGCTTATAGTGGTCGATGAACAGCAGCTCAACCTGCTCTACCGCGCGACTCTCAAACAGCTGGTTCAGGAGCACGTCACTGCGCCCGACCAGGATGCTCACAAAGTCACGAAGTCCAGCAAGTTCGACAAGCATATTAGCGATAGCCGCATACTCTGGGTTGAGCTCGAGGCTGTAGTAGCGGTTTCCTCCATTGCGGCGGACTGCGTCCCCGAAGAGGATGGCGGAGTACCCGACGTAGCAGCCAAGCTCGATCATTTGCTTCGGCTTATGCGTCTCAATGAGCTCGGTGACGATAGGGCCCTTTTCCTGGCCGACTGTCATGAAGTGGTAGGTCTGGGAGTACTCATCGATCAGCTCGAGCACTTTCTGCGGACTGCCGCGGATGGAGTCGAGGTTTGGCTGGTTGTAGATCCAGTGTAGGAGTTTGAGTTCGCGGCCATCCTCTCTCTGTTGCTGTCAGTGAAGGTTCATGAAAGGTAGGAAGATGGCTTACGGATCGCTGAGGGGGTGCTTGAGCGTGGTTTTCTGACATTATGTGAGTAGTAGGTATAGCGAGCCGGGCAAGGACTAAAGATAAGAGTCTGGTGATGGAGCTCCCGGCATAAGGAGCAGGGCAAACTAACTTTTTATACCGATTACCCAGCGTATACCACAGTCTATCGGACTCGGGCAACATCGCCGCGAGGGACAACAAAATGACGTTATCTCCGCCCCTTACTGAACGAGGTGGCCAGACCGAATATGTCTTCCATCATGATGTTGAGGCTGCACAAGAAGCTCGACGACTGGTCTACCGAAGTGTATCAGTGGAGTTCAAGCATTAGCAACAGTCGAATGAGGTATTTAACCCCGGCTCGGTGCAAGAGCATAGGGCCGAGCCTCGGAGATAAATACGGTATGGGTTTGCGATGGCGCGAAACCCACCACATTGAGTCACTCCTCGGATATAGCCAGATGTCCTCGGATTTATGGTTCGAGTCTATGGCTGCAAGGGTCTAGGTTCTAGGTAAGGGGTGCTGCCTGTCAGGCTGTCACCAAGAACCTCGTTGCCTTGCTGGCTCAGGCAGATGAGCGCAGGAAACTGCCCAATTCAGCTGGCTCTTTTCGAACGAATTCCATACCCAGCCCTGAGACATAGTACTAAGGTCCTATCGTCCCATGTGGAGGGATTGGTCATTTTTAGACATCTGATGTGATCTGATAAGATTGTCAGCGAACTTTGGAAGCCGTATCTATTCCAGATGCAAGTCTTCCTCCCTACACTGGCCATTCAGCTTATACAGCTTCATGGATGTGGCATAATGCAGACTGGTGCTATTTATATCGGCAAGATACATGCAAAAAAGCCCTCGCTGCCCATTCGCCCGAGGCTCGGTGGAATTGCTCTGCATTGCAACCCCGCGTTTCCCCGCAAATTCAGGAGCGGCGTTGTTGATCTCGCCATCCTCAACGATTCAAGAGGACCTGACTGTAGCCGATTATCCCATTCGTGCGATAATAATGGCCAATTCTCTTGGAAGTGTAAGGAAAGTGGCGCTGGACCCTGAGCAATTCAGCCGCTCAGTTGCATATTTATGTCATCCTTGAGGCCTAGTTATACGATGGCGTTCTTCTCCCTTTCTCTGGCAAATAGCACCCATAACAGCATTGAACACAATGCATTTCTCCCGGATACTCGCAGTCTTTACTGCCTTAACCTGCGCCTCTGCAGGCAGGCTCTCTCCCAAAACCTGTGTCATCCCAGCCTCAGGTACCAACGAGACCGATGACGCCCCGGCTATTATTTCAGCGTTCAAGCGGTGCGGGCGCGGCGGAAAAGTCGTCTTCAAGCCAACGACCTACTACGTCAACTCCGTCATGAACATTTCCTGGCTGCAAGACGTCGACATCGACCTGCGCGGAAATCTTCTTGTGGGTTAAGCCCACAACCTCCGCATTCCAGCCAGCTGACTGAAGGTTCGTTTCTGCACGCAGTGGAGCACTGACATCCACTACTGGCTCAACAACTCGCTCGAAGTCGGGTACCAGAACCAGTCGACGGCGTGGATTCTGGGAGGCGATAATGTTCGCATCAACGGTCATGGCGTTGGCACGCTCGATGGCAACGGCGACTACTGGTATGAGTGGATACAGGAGCAGGAGAACACGTCAAACTACCCTGGACGGCCCATTGCTCTGACGCTGAACGGGTTGACGAACTCGGTTGTTAAAGGAATTAACTTCCTACGGAGCCAGATGTGGTACGTACCTTGACTAGAAGAGGGAACTGAGAAAAGGTTGATAAGGTGGTAGGACGATGGCGATCATATACTCCCACCACGTCGAGTTTGACAGCATCCTGGTAAACAATACTGGGAATAGAGTTGATAGCTGTACGTACACCAAGCCTTTAGACACGAAATGCTAACAACCGCCTAGCCAACACCGATGGCGCGGACACAATCCGCTCGTCACATATCAGTTTCAACAACCTGACCGTGTACAACGGCGACGACAGCATCTCGTTCAAGGCAAACAGTACAGACATCACACTGACAAACTCCCACTTCTACAACGGCCTCGGAGTCGCGATCGGCAGCATCGGCCAGTTAAACGACCAGTTTGAGACGGTCGAAAGGATCCGGGTGGAGAATGTTTTCTACGACAATACGCTCCACGCTGTACGTGATCTACCTCTCTTTCTAGACCCTTCTAACAATCTCGTCAGGTCTACTTCAAAACCTGGACCGACGATCAAAACGGCTACCCGCCCAACGGCGGCGGCGGCGGCCTAGGCTGTAAGTCCTCCCTACCTCCTTTCTCTACACCAAAAGCCAGCCAACCTTAACGTGATACAGACGCCTCAAACATGCTCTTCAAAGACCTAACCGCCACCTCGATGCGCGGCTCCGCCGTCGCAATCTCCCAATGCACGCGCTTCATCGGCGCCCCCGGCGACGGGAACTGCACGAACTCCCAGTTCCAGATCAAGGACATCACCGTCGCGAATCTGCACGGCACGACGGAGTCCGAGCGCGTCACGAGCTTCCAGTGTAGTGCTGTCGCGCCGTGCACGAACCTCGGCATGTTCGATATTGATTTGGAGTTTGGCAATGGGACGAAGGCGGAGGAGTACCTTTGTGGAAATGTGGAGAGGCCCAGGGGGTTCGAGTGTACGGGGTCGGTTTGTGAGGGGGGGAGTTCGACGGGGGAGTGTTAGGTGGAGAATTCATGGGAGGACGGGTGTGGATGTTGGACACATGCAGATGCACATTGCTGGAAGATGGTATGGTGCCTTCCCATGGGAGTACTGAAGTTAGGGTGCACGGGTAACTAATGGCATTTCTCGATATCTTTTCCCTTGGTCAAGAACACAGTACCCGTGGTCCAAATTTGAATAGCTCGAGCCGGGGTGATGATAACAACACAGTTGCGAGGTCAAATCTACTCAAGGACTTCAGGAATGCACTCCAGTGAAGCATAGGTACGTAGGCTCTCCTAAGGATGACAAGAAGCTTGAAAGCATGCGTCACCTGGGATCTCTCTACCTGACCTACCCAACTAGGTAGTTGTCCCGAGCGGGCCTGGTCCCTTCATAGCTCTTCTTGGAAAGCAGAGCACGAGACGTATCCATTCCACCGGACCAGTTTCCCACACCGGCCCCATGCCTGCTTTGGTCAACAGGCTGTCCACGCGCACTTGGAATTGTCCTTGGGCCTTAGCTCTTCTGGGAGCCTTTCGAACCAATCTACCCCAGGTCCACCGGAACATGCACAAGTCTTAGGAAGAAGTCGAGGTGAATGACGAATTCACCTATGACTAACGGACCGGAGATCTGTTAAATGGAATTAGTCCTGATATCCATGACACTTGCCCCGATGACTTCAGTATGAAGAATGTTGATTAGGTGACGTCCATTGAACATATGTACATGTATACGGAGCAATATCCCACCTCCAAATGAGAAAGATCAAACCATCCAAGAACATCAGATAGAAACGACAGTCTGAGCCTCGCCATAAGAAATACCATTGTATTTCCAACGAGATCTTCCAGCCGATTCCGAGTCCAGTGGAGCCAGAGTCCATACATTCAAGGCGTGTCCGAGACGACCAATTGCCATCTACAAAACGCTCCGACCAACGACTAATCACGCCGAGCGAGTCTATAAAACGGCTTTGCTGGATTCATCATCGACCGAGAAGCACATCGAGAATGTCTTTCAAGAAAGTGGCTGTTTTCCCTGCCTCGAACGGTATCGGAGGCAGCACGGTCAAGCATCTTATCCCTTGACTTCCGCCAAAAGATCGGTTGTCTTTATCGCTCGCCGTCCTGAGCAACTAGCGGACGCTTCGTCTTCCGGTGCAACCATTCGACAGGCAGACTATGACGACGATAACAGCATCTTGAATGCGTTTGAGGGCGTGGACACTCTCTTCCTGATCTCGTATGCCTCAGTCGAGCATGAACACAGATCCGAGGTAAGTCAGATGCAAACTCACTTCCACTTCCGAAACCGTGCTAACGGGCACAGCGTCATCGCTTCGCCATCAACGCCGCAATCCGCAGCGGAGTAAAGCACATCTTCTACGACTCCCTAGGGTACGGCGGCAAGCCCGAGACCAAAGAGTCGGTGGCCCATGTGATGCAGCCTCATCTCGACACGGAGAAGTATCTGGAGGAATTGTCCGCGAAGAACCCAGGCTTCGGATACACGGTAGTCCGCGAGGGCCCGTACACGGAGTCCTACCCGCTGTACACGGCGTTCTTCGACCCAAAGAACCCAGTGAGCGAGATCAAAATCCCACACGACGGGCCCGGGCCGGGCATCGCCTGGGTCAAGCGTGAGGAGCTGGGCGAGGGCACGGCGGAGCTACTGAGGCGATTCGCCATTAACCCGGCGGGCTTGGTGTATTGTCAACGCAGCGTGTTACTTTCCGGAGCCCGCGTGCTGTCGCTGCAGGAGTCGGTGGATATCTTGGGCAGAGTGGCCAATGTGCCTGTCCGGATCCGCCGGGTCTCCGACGAGGAATTCGCTGCGCAGCCGCAGGTCAAGCCGAACTTCGTCTATTGTGGAGTTGATTACTCGCTGTTGTGGGCTACGACCTTTGATGCCTTCCGTCGGGGCGAGGCGGCATACGCGTCGTCACTCCTTGGAGAGCTCTTGGGGCGTGAGCCGGAAGATGATTGAGACAACAGTGAGCAATTTATAGTTCTGTCGTGTACCTGTTGGCGGCTGTAGAGCAAATGATGGAGGGGATTTGAACTGATTTGCTGCCGTTAAATACACTTGGGCATGTACGCTAGATGATGTGTGTAAAAAGAATATTTGGTTCTCTCTTTGTGTCTACATTAGTGGTTTGGGAAAGTCTACTTTCAGATAACAGATTTGTCTGCTGCTTACAAAGTAGCAGTGTAGTTGTACCAACTATTTGGAATGAATCTACCTAGGTATGGTATAAGGGCGCTGTAGCCATATCCCCTGGGGTTTTCTGCTTTCAAGGTTAGTTGCCCCAAGCCAATGCTTTTTTATAGCTTTTCTTTACGATGCAAAGCACAAAAATCATAGATACTTGGCTAACTACTGTTAAATAAGTATAGGTTTGGTACGATTCAAGGATAAAGGTGTTCTGCCATATGGTAAGTCATGTATATATGGCCTTAAGATGGGGTAGGTAGACATGAACCTTAAGATAAAAAGCACATTTATATACTTGAAGATACCCGCTAGACACATACGCCTTCTAAATAGATATACCTTGGTATCTCAATACATCTTATTAATATACGCGCTCCGCCTCTGCGAATTTGCGTTGGTGGAAAACGGCCCAGGAACGGAAGCTTATCATACGCAGAACATTTTAGTTATTGCCGTAAACACTCACGGCTGAGCCAAGGAACACGATAGATGATATATAATATGTGTTAACGGGTTCTTAACCTTCGTCGGGCTTAGGGGGCGTAATCAGGCAGACAGATTGTCTTGCACGTTGCTTTAAGCGTGGCGCGTGTGTGATAGTTGCAGCCTGCCAAAGGCGGGGGCTACAAAGAAGCATTTAATTGGTGGGCAAGGTAATATATCTACATTAAGATATTCGCCTCTTCTATCTCTTCTGGGTAGTGTGTTTCGGGCTGTTTGTTGCTGGGACTTGATTCGGAATTAGGGTTTTCTTTTATGGAAGGAACTGGAACCCTAAAGTAGGGCTAGACCGAGCCGGAGTTTTGCAATGGATATGCTTACCTACAAAGCACTGGAGGTGACTACGAACTATGGCATCTACATGGGACCTGGATATAAGGTCAACTAAGTATGGTAGGTACCTACGTTGTCTAAAAGTGGCCGTGGCTATGTTCTGTGGTTCTTCATTGGCGTAAAGTTGAATTTACATTGCACCTGCTAAGCCATATCTATCCTCCGCCATCTGAGCAGCAAGCCAATCATGGTAGCTTTAAGATGACCGAGCAGTGAGACACTCTTTTCTTTGGATCTGTAGGTTCGTTCTAGCCTCGAGTGCTTGTGCTCTTATGTTGCATTTTAATATGGAATCGTGCGACTGGCTACCTAGGTAGGGTACCTTTACTTAGGTAAGTGCCGGATGACCCGGACACAACTTCAGAGCAATTCAACAAGAACCCTCGATGGGCAATGGTACCTGGATACGTACTTACCTAGGTAACGTATACCCCGCATCCTCGGTGTCCGGGGTCATTGCGGAGTACCCAGACCATCTCGGGGCAAAATCGACCGAGTCATGCATGACCCCAAGTTTCAGCAGAAAAGCCGATCCCTAACTGATTCAGTCAGCCGGACAATTAGAAGCCAGGAATTGGAGCTTTGCAGGTGGAATGCATGACACGACTGCGCGGGGGGATTGGCATATTTAGTCATAGTTCCCCTCGTGCACCACGAATGCACCACTGTAAACCCCCCTAACAGCTCTGACTTTCCGTAATGCGCCTTTACCTGCTAGCTCTGGCCACCGGGGCAGCAGCCTCATGCTGGCGAAACTCATCCTGCACCGGCCCTGCAGAGCCCTCGTTCCCTGGCCCCTGGGACTCAAACAACTACGCACCAGAGTCACGATTCATCCAGCCAAAGTCCATTCTCTCCTTACCAGCGGGGGAATATGTCTCCGACTACCCATCCGACTCTGCCCCCTCCATTAGCACAGCCGACACAGGGCTAGTCTTCGACTTCGGCATCGAAGTCGGCGGAATCATCACGGTTGACTACGAACTCTCTGCACCAAACGCAACGCTGGGTCTAGCATTCACCGAAGCAAAGGACTACATCGGCAGACGTTCGGATAACTCTAATGGCGGGACCGGAGCAGACGGGGCTCTTACAGCCCTTCTTACATCGGAAAAGGGCACGTACACCATGCCAGACGCCAAACTGCGCGGGGGATTCCGATATCTCACGCTATTCCTCACCTCGTCCAATACAAATGCGACTCTGACAGTCAAGGATGTTTCCCTTGAGTTGGCATTCCAACCAACATGGTCCAATCTCCGCGCGTACCAAGGATATTTCCACTCGTCGAACGAGCTGCTCAACAAGATCTGGTATGCAGGCGCGTATACATTGCAGACAAATTCCGTCCCTCGAACAACATGCCGCGTCTCGGTGAGTTCCAGCACAGGCTGGAATAACAATGCCGTCTGCGGGCCTGGCGAGACGGTCCTGCTGGACGGCGCAAAGAGAGATCGATGGGTCTGGATCGGCGATATGGGCGTTGCGGTGCCGAGTGCGAGCGTGAGTACGGGGGATACGGAGAGCACGAAGAATGCGCTCCTTGCGATCTGGGATAATCAGACGCCGAGTGGGCTCTTGCCTAAGGCTGGGCCGCCTTATTTGAGGGCTGATAGTGATAGTATGTTCCACTCACTCAGTCATACAATGGGAAGGGAAGGGAAGGGGAGGCTAATGGTGCAGCGTACCATCTATGGACGATCATCGGGACATACAACTACTTCCTCTTCACGGAGGACTACGACTTCCTGGCTGATATCTGGCCACGATATGTCAAAGCGCTGGAGTATAGTCTGGGCAAGATCACGCCCGACGGGATCATGAATGCCACGCAGACTGCGGACTGGGGCCGCTGGAATTACGATACCCTCGTTGCTTCTGCGAACATGCTGTACGTACAACCCACCATCTACCCAGCTAGGCCTTTACTAACTGAAACAGACTCTACCGCTCCCTCGTCACAGCAGCCTTCCTAGCCCCCTACGCAGACGCAGACACCGACGCAGCAAGCTACACAGTCGCAGCCGAAACCCTCCGCACCGCCATCCTCACACACCTCTACGACGCCTCGAAGGGCGCCTTCAAAGACAGCCCGCACTCAACCCTCTACCCACAAGACGCAAACAGCATGGCGCTCGCATTCTCCATCTTCTCCCCAACCTCCAACTCCACCACCAACAACACCAACGAGGCATCCCGAGTCTCAACCTACCTAACAACAAACTGGACGCCCATCGGTCCCGCCGTCCCCGAACTCCCCAACAACATCTCCCCCTTCATCTCGTCCATCGAGCTAGAAGGCCATTTCGCGTCTGGCCACCCCGAGCGCGCGATACAGCTTATAACAGATTTGTGGGGGTGGTATCTGGCCCATCCGAACGGCACGCAGTCGACTGTTCCCGAGGGGTATCTTGTCGACGGGACCTGGGGATATCGTGGGGACCGCGGGTACCGGAATGACCCGCGGTATGTGTCGCATGCGCATGGGTGGAGTAGTGGGCCGACGTCAACGCTGACGGAGTATGCGGTTGGGTTGAGGGTTACGGGGCCGAGGGGGGTGACGTGGAGTCTCAAGCCATTGGGGGTGGGAGTCGAGGGGTTGGGGAGTGCGCAGGCCGGGTTTACGACGGGGCTTGGGAAGTTCAGTGCTGGGTATCGGGTGGAGGGGGGTAAAGTCAGGGCTTGGTGGAATGTCCCTGAGGGGACGAGGGGGTGGGTGGAGATTCCGGGGACTGGGCAGGAGGGGAGGTGGGTGGAGGGGGGGAAGGGGGAGGTGGCGGTTGAGTTGTAGATCCTTAAAGCTCGAATAACTTAGGTCCATAGGTAAGATGGAGATATCTATGTTTTACTATGTGGCACCAAAGGCCCTGCCCGCTGGGGCAGCATACACTATCCAGTATGATATAATGTCCACAGGTAGGTGAATGTCAGATATGAGTCCAGCAGGCAGTGTCACGATTGTAAGCCTGCCTCTTAGAGACATCAGACTCAAATACTTACAGTAGTCAACTTTGTGGCACCCGACCATTAGAGTGATTAGCTGGCGAGAGGAGTACACCTTCCTAGGTACGGACATATTGACCTAGGGCTGGCTCACGAGTAACCCTACCTGACACTACCTAGGTACATACCGCTCCGTTGTATAATCCAAAAGCAGTTTAAAGCCGTCTATAAAATGCCTATCAATTCTAGACAACGTTTCAATTGTCCGTGAATGACAAGCATTATATTACGGAAGACAATCCTTGGAGCGTAGTATGGTACACTCGAGGGGTATACCGGGAAGCACACCCGAGAATCGGGTAGTGGAGCCGTTGATAAAGGCTGCGTCCCCGCACGCCAGTTGGAGATCCGAGATACCTTCCTGTCAGTAAGGACACTCTGCACGATTCCCTAACTTGTGATCATTTCCAGACCCTGCCGGTACTAAACAAAAGACCCTACCATACCTTTCAACATGACAACCACCTCCGAAACCAAAACGTTCACAATCAAACCCACGCCCCTAATCCCCAACAACCCGAAACCCCTCCTCCTCTACAAGAACTGCTTCGTCCGGGACGATGGCAAACTCGATCTCGCTCGCGCCTACGACACCTTCACGTCCAACGCCTGGGACGTCAAATGGGTGACCCGCTACGGCCGGCAGCAGACATCGCACTACCCCCCGACGACGCACGAGGTCATGGTCGTTGTCTCGGGGCCGGGGGTTGTCCGGTGGGGCGTCGCGGATTTGAGGGACCCAAGTAACTGGGAAGAGCATACGTATGGTTCCGCATTCGAACAGGGCGGATTGGAGATTGAAGTTGAAGTCGGCGACGTCTTCTTGGTTCCGGCTGGGGTTGCGCACAAGAGCTTTGACAAGCGCAGCGGTCAGCACGATGCCGTTGTTTTGACGGGGGAGACGGCGCATGCGATTGAGCTTCAGGAAGGACAGGATGAGCGGGAGAGGGTGTTGGGTGTGGAAGCAGAGGGAGAGCTGCATGGGTTCGTGATGATGGGGGCTTATCCGAGGGGTATGAATTGGACTTGGGGCGCTGGAGGGGACCATGTTGGACGGTTTGAGGAGTGTTGGAGTGTGTCGAATCCGGAGACGGATCCTGTTGTTGGGAAGGGAAAGGGAGGGCTGTATAGATATTGGGCTTGATTGCCATTCAAGGTGAATGCATTGACAATAGGGTAGGTATGATGTTCAGCTCCGGGTATGCTACCATAGTACTTTGTTCTAACAATGACGAGAGGCCGTGCTTGGGTCAAATGTGTAGGCATTGGCTAGCATCCATACGTCCATTATATATTTCTTTTGGGATAGCAATTTGAAGAGACTACCTAGACTGAAACCTTTCTAGGCTACGGCATAGTAAGGGATGCCGCCGTATAAGTGGATTGGTCACTTTGCCGGCGCAATAGGTGACTCACAGGGCATATGGTTATATCAATACGCAGAGACGCAAGGGAACCCCGACGCCCATTTTTCAAGGCCGAACATTAAAGTTGTACATCCCAGTGTGACACGGATGTTGCCTCTGACTGGGTTTTAAGCCCCGGACGGCTAGGGCTATCCTACGCGAGATTAGCCCTAATTTCACTCTATGTATTGGTATGGAAGTCCAGTGTCGGGAAAGAGTATCCAACTGTTATGGTACGAAGAGTCATACATCGCGGCAGCCATTTCCGGCTGCGTTCCACGCATTCCCCGCGTGCGAAAGCATGGCAATGGCTGCACTCGCTCTCTGGAATTTGGATCCGGGGATAGAGTCAGATCTTGACTCATCCTTGATTCCGGCGAGCGGCTCCGGAAATCCATAGATATAACTTCTCTTTGCGTCGTGCTTGCTCTCGAGATTCTTCTTCCTTTACAACTACCCATCTGCTCATCTTTCCCATCTTCACTTGCCAGAGACTATCATCTCCTCTCACATCTTCTTGCTCCAGCAATACCGTCCCAAATCACAACATGCACCTCTTCTCAAAGCTCATCCTCCCCACCCTGACCCTCCTCACACTCACAACTGCCGCTCCAGCCCAGCTCGACCTAGTCGAGACTGAGGCAGCCTCAACCTGCACCGATAACACACAGTGCACGGCTGACAGCACCACCGGGGCTCTCTGCCAGTTCGCCTCTGCCAACGCGACCGAGGGCGTGTGCATGCAGTTGGCAGACGGAGATACCGTAAGCACAGCGAAGTGCCAGAAGGATGGCAAATACTGTCTGATTGACCGCCACTGCTGCTCTGATAACTGCGATAAGATCTTTGCGACGGATGTGGGGACTTGTCGGCCGCGTCGTCGTTAGAATGCAAGCACGATCACTTTCTGTGCGGCGTAGGAGGGTTCGAGCGAACCAGTCATAGGTGCAGAATGTGCCCCAGGCGTTGAGTCTGTCATTGTTTCATGAGCTATCAAGTATAACTAGGTCTTGTTTTTTCTTAAGAAGAATGGAGAACGCAATTTCGTGGCAATGGCACCTAGTTGAATAAAGAATTTGTATTCCGTACTTGTGACTCAACTCCCCAGGAAGGGAGCAGCCAAAGGTCATCTAACCCTACCATATTGCCTAAGTTGCCTTGAGGTGACCCTACTGTTTGAACTCTGAACAAGCGTTATAGGAGCTTTTTAGTCAAACCTTCCAAGTTAACTCGCCAGACTCTCGGCTAAAGGTATTAAGACCATATCCATAAATCTTCCCGATCTATCACGGATCTATCATCGTGCTAACAGCTCTAATCGTTCTAGTCAGGCTAGGGGGGCCAGACTCCACCACCACTGGATCTCACCATTTGAAGGCTTTGAGGCTCTCGTCTTACCCACTCAAGCCGATGAAGTTGCGGCTTGGCAGAGCTTAGGCACGTTTGACGGAAATAGCGTATGGGACTAATCCGGCACTGCCTCTGCTCAGTGCCTTAGCAGAGGCTGTGAAGCGTCTGATCCAGATATGTCTACAATGATCCCATGATTCTTCTGCCGACAGCTTCACAATTCCCATCGAACAGTGCAGAAAAAAAAAACCAATGACAAGCTCCACAAGTCGCGCGATTGCCGAGTATATTCCTCTCGGTCCGCTCCAGACCGGCTCACGGTCTCATGATTAACCTGGAAGTCTCCACCTCGTGCGCGATCGTTTCCCCAAGCATGAGACGGCCAGTTGATGCCGCTCGGCCGTGTGGAGACCGGCCTCGCGTCGGGCCGCCTTCCAACCGTCATGGCGCGGAAGGGATAAATATAACCGCGGATCTTGGGAGCGTTTCCGGCACTGGGGGGATGTCTCACCCGGTGGCTGCTAGATAGCCGCGTCAGTTGACTGAGGCCCTGGCCCTTAATTTGGATGCTCTGAATCAAGGGACCCCGAAAGGCGCTGTGTCTCGAGGACTTCCCATGGCACTTGAGGTATTGGATAGTGGGGCATCTGGAAGTGACGAGTAACCCTCGTTTCTTTAATTCCTACACGCACCATCGGCGAATCAAGATGCAGGAAATCGGGATCAGGGGCTCGGGCGGTGTAGAATATGTAGTAGCCCCAGACTAAGACCGCCGTAAAGCGGTGATCGAAATTGTATTTTCCTCTGGCCTGGGGCTTGATTTTTCTTGACCCCCTTACCTAGTCGGCAGCAGAGCTTCCAAGGTGGTCGGATTTTCTTGTAAACTTCTCCCCTTTCCAAACAATCTTGGGCTTTTTCCTCCCGGCAACTCACCTTATGGTTTGTTCCTCACCTTTGCTCGACCAGCTGCTACGAAACCATGCCACAAACTCTAGGACCGCTCGACTACGCGTGCACGGATTGGCGGATCAGTAGCCAAAGAGCCGCAGATCTGTACAGTTCTGGTACCAGGCTTTGGACGAAAGAGGATCTCGAAGACATAGAACAACAACTGCGCCAATCCTATGCGATGAAACGATTTTCGGTCCGACGAATCGATGGAAACATACTCCTAATTTCCAATCCCATGTTCCAAGTCCAGAATCCTATCTGGTACGTGGATAGAGTATTCTGACCCAATTTCAGCCTGCAATCTAAGTTTTCCTTAGGAAGCCCCATGTCAAGTACCAAGAATATTGGCAACTTGTGAAAGCACAACCCAACGGCCCAATCGAAACTTACCTGTGCTCTTACATTGTAGATTGGAGCAATCAGACTGCACGAAACTTTCGACAGCTCATAGCACAGCCCATGCAAGCCTTTGACGAGAAACACTTGTTGTGGCAAAATAGCAAGACCTGCAAGCACTTGGTAGCCTTGGTCCAAGATATACTCGGTACAAACACTGTGAAGAAAGTTCTCTGCTTCGGACTTGGTGATTTCTGCCGCTCCGCGCCTGAATGGCTTAAAAAGCAGCATGACTCTTGGGACGAGAACTCGGAGGTAGAAAATGTGATGGGCTGCATGATCCAGCATTCGATGGCTCTTACTATCGCTCAAGTTTGTTGTGGCAATGAAACATTGCCATTACTTGCTCAGGACCCAGAGTATACGGAGGTCGCAGAAGATATCCTGACCAAGAAGGGATTCAAAATTGTTGGAACTCACGGTGCAGGAGGGTTCGCGGAAATCGATGAAGACTCACTCATAATATCACCCTTTGCTGCCGCCCCAGTTAAGTAGATTATTGCTGATCTTGCTCGGCCTGTGCTTATTATTTCCACCGGCTTTGAAGTCTTTAATAGCAATGAGTAAGTTCCCTTTTATCGATCCTCGAATCTGTCTAACCATGGAACTTCACAGAAAACCATTGGCAGATGCTGAATCTCCGAGAACAAGGCAAATGTGGCTTGATTATGATGCCTATAGCCTCTTAAGCCATCCTGATGACGTTAAAATATGCTCTGCATTAAAAGGATTACAAATATATTGTAGACGCCAGCAAACTCTGGATTCGCAAGGAGCCTGAGTTCACAAAACTTCTTATGTAGGAATGATGGAATAGAAACCATCGCAAATACGAAATGAATTTCAGAACTGGAATCCTATGTATATGTATAATTCCTCCTACTTGGTCTCTCCCATCCCTCGTACGCTGCGCTGGATTTCGTGAACTGTTTCAGAAGAGCCCACGGAGTCAAAATTTAGGATGATCCTTATGACTGGATGCCGTTCAAGCAGCTTCAGTGACAGTTCAAAAAAAAAAAAAACCCCACGAGAGTGATTCTTCAGAATTTCAAGAGACAACTGCTACTTTTGCTCTCTCTTAAAACAACAAGAAAGTGAACGGTCATTCGCAAGCAACGCAACGGTCAAAGCGTGCTGCTTAGGTTGATATTGGCCAATCGTTGCGGTTCATAGGGCTCAGCGTCTCTTGCCTATCATATTTTCAAGCATCCTTTTATCAACAGTGAATCACTTTTGAATTATTGGTTCGTTGGATAGGTCCGGTCAACAGTCAGGGAGCAGTTCACTCCCCACTACTCTCCTTCTGTCCCTATCCATACTCTCACTCTGTCAGTATCATTCTCTTTCCTCCTCATTACTCTCCTTCTGCTTGTTCGAGTCACCCAGCTATCTCGAGATGGCACGAAAGTATCCCAAAACCTCTCCGTCTACAATAATTGAGAATTTAGAAGCCAAGATGCGTTGCTATCTTAGTGGGTTCATGCATGCAGTGACTCTAGATTTAATGGGAATTACTGTATTTAGATCCTTGGCCAGTGTCAAATTCATAATCAGAAGCTTCTTACTTGTTACTTTAAGCTTGGGTAGCGATGCTGAATTAATCTGCTATCTGACGGCACGGCCTGTAGCCGGTCAGAAGCCGTAACTGATATTGTATATAGATATCCAGCCTCGCTATAGGCACTCGCTGCAAAGCAATATCGTTTAGCTAACCATGGCTTTCGAACAGTGGCAGATTTGTTTGACTCAATTCATCACATACTTCTGCGGCGCAGAGTCTCCCCTGGACATTGAGCTCTCATGTCAAGGTATTTCTATGCATTCTGAAAGCAACGCCGATGTGTTTGAGGCCCCCAAACCAACCAGCTCGCTCCAGCTCCCCCGGTCAAAGCCCAAGAACTCATCCTTAGGTGAACAGGACTCCACCCGTATGCTTCCCTGCTCTTCTCATTCTTGCTGCATGTACTTAGGCTCTCCAGGCAGCTCGATACTGTTACGCACCGAGCCACACTTAAGCGCAGGAGACCGTATCCCTAAGTTTGGTAGCTCAAGAGAAGCTTCATTAGGAACAGAGTACAAGGGTCTTATCCGTGACAACCAGGGTATGGATGACTTGTTTTAGGTTCTTCTAACTGCGCGACGTCGGCCTGATTATCTTCAGTGCCTCAGGCGATTCAGAAGTGAGGCCAAGGGGGACTTGGAAGATGCCCACTAGCCTTGAGGTGGCTTGGATGCAGATGCTGTGATTTTCGCCTCTATCTTTGATTCAATGCTTCACTGTTCCATTTTCCTCAGTATCATCTTTTGTGTTCAAGTCCTTCCTCAAATTATTCTGACTCGTCAAAACAAGATATTCGTTCAAGCTTGAGGTCTATTTCCCTCTTTGAATCCAACAATGCGCTTCAGGATTTTCGGGGTTAAATTTTCTGTTATATTTATCTATGCGGACTCTTGTAGCTCTTATAACGTGGATGAATCTTAATACCAGTACTATTAAATAAAAACATTAGTTTTGTTTGGTAAAGACTCTCCTAACTCGTGGGCACCGCGCCTGTATCTGCACCCAGGCCTTAAAGCAGGGAATTAATAGTAGAGAAAGCTCCTTTGCTAGTAAATCTACCTACAGGCGGCCCAACCCTAAGTTGGCCTGGGCTTCGATAAAGCACATTAATAAGCTAGGTTAATCATGGATATCTTTAGTTTAAGAGGGGCGCATACGACACCACCATACCTAAGAAACTAGACACACCACTCCACTATTAAAATAAATAGCGAACATGAGGAAACCAAAATAACTTGTTTTTAACAGCTCTTAGAAATGGGGCAGCGAGGCTGATTAACTTCGACGTAGGTAGATAGTTATTTGCTAAATGCTGATTACTTAAATGGTCCTAACTTAGATGCAGTACTAGTATATAACTTTATACTTTTACCTTTAATTATTGCTATCCTATGCTCTCTCTCTCTCATGGTTCTCTCTTAGTATCTATTTTCTTGCTTGTTTAGGTTATCTTTCGTAGCAGTACTTGAGCTAAGTGGTTTTAAAGCTAGAGGCCTTGCAGCGTTCCTCAAACCGGCAATTTTAAACATGATTAGACCGCTGTGGGCGCTTGAGACTAATAAACAACCTATTAGAAAACTAGGGATGGAAGTTATTAAGAGCTCAAAGGTTAAACTTACCAATTCAGGTCAAAGTCACAATTCTTAACAGGGCACCTCCCCAGGCCGGTAGAAAACATCATAGTCTTTGGTACAATAGACCAAGAGGCTCTTAACAACAAAGAGCATCTCCTAATAAGAGAAAGACTTGCCTAAGGGTATCAGCTCAGCGACGCGCTGTTATTTAGGCTGTGCCTTAAAAAGGCATTGTGTAATGTTATTATACATAATCACATTTAAAACCTTGCCTCCTGACTTCACCTACGTCTCCACGGGGTTTTAAATCCACTTAGGGTTATCTTGGTATCTTTTTAATTTATTGTTGTAAAGGCGGTCCCTCAGGACTTGTAGCTGTTTTTTTGGTAAGTTTGATAGCAAACTCAGCGTCTTGATTAGCATTGTCATGACCGGCGCGTTTGCTATTACCATTTCTAGCATTAATTCCTGCATGGAGCCTTTTCTGCAGCTCTTAAAGTCGCCGTTCGAGTTCTTGCAAAAAAGCTTTATTTTGGCCAATAGCATGCTAATACTTTACTAGTAAATACCTTGGATATCCAAAACTACTACCAAACAAAGGGTATAAGGAATATTTACTTAATATAAGCTAATATAAACCTGTCTTGCAGAGCAATAAAGTCATTAAAATAGATTGTCTCATAGCGTTCCTAATCTTGTCCGCGGTGTACTCCGCGAGCGTAGCCATTTGCTGCTGCAATATCTTTCCTGTCAACCTTTTGCTTTTTCCCCCTTGGACATTGTTGCAATAAAATCAAGATCAAGTTACTTGTCCCAGAGATACTGCGGACTCGCAAAAAAGCTAGAAAAGAGGATGACCAGAACTAAAAATGATAAATTCACAATGAGTGCACTTTGCACAGCATTTAAAGATTCAGGAAGTGGGAGAGTAAGAAAGGAAGAGGACTTCCTAGCACTATTCTGTTGGGCGCAGCAGTGGGTCGGGCTTTAACAGCCAGGCCTGCTTTTATCTCCTGACGCGGCATCTTGACTCACCGGGCTCACCCTGTTAAAGCAGCAACATCCGGATCAGGCAGGAAGGAGGTGCTCGTAGTTCTTTGGACGGTAGAAATACCTACCTAGGTAGATATCTTGACAAAAGGATAACTACCATACGCAGGCCGACCCATATTGATATAATATAATATGTCTACAAAACCCACTAACCTCCCTAATGCCTCAGCTCTCATATCACAGCTTAGACTTCGGCTTCTCCCTCCTGGCAAAAGTCTTCTCCGCAACATCCATCATCGCCCTCCACTCCTCAGAAAGCCCAACCCTCTCCCTCGCCGACAACCCCTTCCACCCCTCCTCAATCCGCCTCTCTTCCCCTTTCCACCTCTGCACCTCCACCCCAATCCACCCCCCAACAGCCTCCGCCGTCTCCCTCACCTTCTCCATCGGAACAAAATGCCCCGCCCCTGTAACAACAACATGCTTGACGCGCCCATACTCAACCCCTCCACTCCCCCCAACCCCCGTCCCCGTCCGGGTAGCAGCCTTCTTCTGAAGCCCAGCTTTCGACAGCGCACTTCCCTCCCCACTAACGTACAACACACCCGGCCTCACGTGCGGCAGGAGCCGGTACCCAATGATCCCCTCCGGTCGATAGAAGACCGAGTTCTTCCACAGCCCGCTGATCATATCCGGTACGGCGAGAGCGTCATGCGGTGGGCTGGGCCCGTAGCGCGAGTTATCGTTTTGGGTGTATGGTACGCCCAGCTCTTTATGCCGATGGAGATTCGGGCGCGCGTACGACAGGACTTCTTGCGAGATTGGGGTTGTGAGGGCTATCGGTTTCGCCTTCTCCTCCTTACCTTCTGAGCTTTGGTGCTGATTCTGATTGTCCGGATACAATGGCGTGGGGAGGTCCCTGAATGCATGCTGCATATAGCGCTCCCTTACGCGTGGGTCCCAGGTACCCATAAGCTTCTTCGATTTCCTCGCTGCCTCTTCCCGCGAGGCAAAGATGTCCTTCTGCTTTGCGCGCGTCATGATCCACCGGCTTTCTTCTGGGGGTCGACTGCTGGGGTATAGGAAGGGTTCGATGAGGATGAGCGAGGTGAGGAGGCGGGGGTGGATGAGGGATAGGAAGACCCTGATCATTCTTTAGTAAAATACTTTCAGTCTATGTGAAGGTAGGGCGACTTACTGTGCAACAGCACCCGCACTATGGCCGACACCCATAATTGGCCGGGGCATCTCGTGCCGAAAGGTCTGGATCAGTTGCAGCAGATCGCGGCTGTGGTCGAACCATGATGCTTGATATCAACGTCAGCTCGCTTGGCCCATATTCCTCAATCGGGGCAGGTAGATGGCTTACGGTCACTCCCAAGATACCCCTCATTAAGCACACCACTCCCTCCCTGATTAAACGAATCCGCGACCCAGATCGCCCGGATGCGGAATCCATCTGGCGCACTTCGTGCGTGGAGTTCTTCCCAGAGCGGCTCGTAGAGCTCCTATGAACACTTGTTAGCTTCAAAAAGGACAATTAAGGTGAATAGCCGACGGACCTTGGGAATCGCAGTCCCCGGCGCCCCGACGACTGTCACGTCGCCCGGCTGGGGCTCCGGATTGTCGATCGGCGTGTATTTCTTGACCCGGAGCTTTAGCGGCGCATCTTGACGGCTTGTTGCGCGTGGGTACTCGCGGATATATTGGCAGTCGACGGTTGTTCTGTTATTGTGAAGGGCGAGGGCGATGGGGGCATGGTGGTGGTGTAACTGTGTTGTGTACGAACTGCAGCTTGTGACGCCAGAAGATTAATTATGCCAGCGAGAAAAAGAAAGTTGCGATGGCATCATGCGTGGTCATGGCCTAGCAGCTGCGAGCCACAGTGGGACTGTTGACGAAATCTCGATTGCAGGCGAACTATGAGATCGCGGGCTGTCGATCGCGCTGATCGGGGTGAATGACTTGTTCAGGCTCACCGAACTGCGCCGAGGCCTTGACGCAAGATTTCTGGAGATGGACTAGGATATGTATGTTTGTGACACTTCCGGTAGAATTAAGCCTCGTCATCAACCAGGTGTACTCCGTGCCTAGGTACGGTATATACAAGCAGTTGGGGTGCAGCCGTCTAGCCCTAATCCCGCTGCATACCCGTGGACGTGGGTCCACCTGGGCAGCTCCTGCATCCAGCTGAAAGCAAACCTGGCTGATCTCGGCCTTTCCTTCCGCCATTGATTTCTGAATGGCCATTGATTCGGCAAGGGCGCAATCATCAGTACTCCATAAAACGATGTTGTCATACACGGTCGATCATCGCAAGGCTCGCTCGCTCGATCCCTACCGCAACCCACCCACCGACCCACCAGCTCTAGCGCTGCGCTGAATTTTCAAAAAGCGCCGTCGCGCCATTGTAAACACTGAAGACCTTCTGCGCCTCTTGCACAATCCTCGCCAAGCCATGTCTCCGTCTTTAATGGGCAAGGGCGAGGGCAGCGCCCCCTCACGCATCCCCTTCTGGCGCCTCCTCTTCGACCAGGGCGCCGTCACCCAAGCCGTAATCGACCACCCCTACCCAGGCACGGGCACAGAATCCGACCCCTACATCATTAGCTGGATCCCCGACGACCCGCGCAACCCTCTCCTCTTCCCGGCCGCGCTCAAATGGTCCATCACGGTGCTGGTCTCCATGTGCACGCTGGCCGTCTCGCTCGTCTCCTCCGGCTACTCGGGCAGTCTGGTCGAAGTCGTGTCGTACTTCGGAATCAGCCAGGAAGTCTCGTACCTGGGTATCTCGCTGTACGTGATTGGGTTCGCGGTCGGACCGATCTTCTGGGCGCCGCTAAGCGAGATCTACGGACGGCGCTGGATCTATATCGCTAGCGTGGGATCGCTGGCGGTCTTCACGGCTGGTGTGGCCGGTGCGCGGAATACGCAGACGTTGCTGGTATTGCGCTTCTTTGCGGGGAGTCTGGGGTCCGCGCCGATGGCTGTGCCGGGGGGTGTGATTGCTGATATGTTTCCTCCTGTTCCGCGCGGACTCGCGGGAGCCGTTTATGCCGCGGCACCGTTTCTGGGTCCGGTTCTTGGTCCTATTATTGGCGGGTTCATTGCTGAGAGCGGCGGGTGGCGCTGGGTGCAGGGGTTCCTGGCGCTCTTTGCCGCAACCCTAACGCTGGCCGTGGTCCTGCTCTTCCCCGAGACGTACGCGCCTGTTCTGCTGCGACGGCGGGCGCAGCGTCTGCATAGGATCACCGGACACAGCTACCGCAGTGCCTCGGACGACGGCGCGACGCCATTCAAGGGAAAACTGAAGATCGCGCTCTCCCGCCCCTGGATCCTGCTTTTCCGCGAACCAATCGTCTTTTTACTAACGCTCTACTCCGCCATCATCTACGGCATTCTATACATGTTCTTCGCCGCCTTCCCGATTGTCTTCCAGGAGGTCCGCGGGTGGTCCGAGGGGATAGGAGGTCTCGCGTTCCTGGGTATCCTTGTAGGATGTCTCATTGCTGGAGCCTACATCTTTCCCGTATACTTCTCGTACCGCCGAAAAGCCCTCGCTGCGAAACCGGGTCGCTTACCACCAGAGGAGCGTCTGCGCGGTAGTTTCCCCGCAGCAATCGCCCTCCCAGTCGGACTGTTCTGGTTCGCGTGGACGAATTCCCCGGGTGTACATTGGATGGCACCCATAGCCGCCGGCGTACCCTTCGGTTTCGGGATGGTCATGGTCTTCATACCCATCCTAAACTACCTCGTCGATAGCTACACCATCTACGCAGCGAGCGTGATGGCGTCTAGCTGGGCTCTGCGCGCGATGTTTGGCGCGGCGTTCCCGCTGTTTACGTCTTATATGTTTGAGAACCTGGGGATCCATTGGGCGGCGAGTATACCGGCGTTTTTGGCCACGGCTTGTGCGCCCCTGCCGTTTGTGTTTTATGTTTGGGGGGCGAGGATTAGGGCGAGGTCGAAGTATGCGGCACAGGCGGAGGCTTATATGCGGAAGGTTATGGGGGAGGGGGAGAAGGAGAAGCAGAGAGAGGGGGACGGGAAAGATGAGGAGGAGGGGGGAGCAGTAATTGATCAGACCTTCTTTACATTAATTTCCAAGGTTATGATAGAATACATATAACCTGAACTATACAGTCTATAGACTGGTTGATGAGGCTGGAAGCTCTGTTCAAAATAATATATAATCATCTGTCCCAACCCGCCTAAAGTTCCGGAACTACACTAGAAAAGGCCCAGTCTCCTAGGTATTAATACAACTACCGTGATATCTTGGATCAATTGAAGGCTGTTCCTATCGATTAACGACAACGAGGCTGGACCGCGATCAGTGCCGTGTAGATCTCCATCAAGCAGATCTTGGTCGCAGCTCCACTCTCAGTCCCAAGATTGTCGCCAGTTGGTCAGGGCGTTGGCCCGAAGGAAAGGAACCGACTCGGGCGTGCTTGTGATGTAACTCATGCGGGTCCAATAGGTGACTACCTACCTGAGTAGGTCGAGGACGCGGACGATTGATTGTCATGTAAATATAGAAGTATAGAAAATATCGCGTCTGAAGAGGACGGGCATTGCAGAGGGCATCTAACAATGTGTCGGGTATTCCAACAAGGGGACGGCACGGCATTGTCAACTAGGTATCATCAGAAGGCGCAATCCCAAGGCGTGGGTGCAGACAGAGTTGGAGGAGTCATGGAAGACCCAGCACTTACCGTTGATGATGGGTTAGTGCATATACCCATTATCTTGGATACTGGTCCACGGGTGCTGCTGGCTAATGCCGCATTGTAACATAACCTAACACCGGGCATGTAGCCCTAACTGACCTTTACTGTGTACTCACGCAGTTGTGAGTCTGACCTCTTCCTGCTTAAGCTTGAAATATATATACCAAACCATGGGCTTGGTCGAGCCAGACACATGCACACTTCTAGTGCAGATATCAGGTTTCTGCTTGGAAGAATTAGACTATCAAGTGGAGGGTGGCTTTTCGGGCAATGTTCTCCACTAGAATGTGCTTTGAGAAATACTTCCTAAGGACAGTAACAAGCAGTGTGTTTCAAAACCGGCTATGCAGACCGGGAAACTACTTGCTCCAGCCATCGAATGGCCCAGCTACTGATCGCAGCGTCTCGATAATGGAGGGGATTGTACATGGATTGAGGAAGAGAATCAGCGCATAGTGTTTGGCCTCGTGCTAGGATAATTCTCATGGTAAGCCATTGCAATAATAATTTGGCATATTCGTTAATATAATCGAGGACAGTGATGAACATTCTACAGCGCTGGGCTTCTACATTTTGTTCTTTGATTGAGTCGTGAAGTATGCCCACCCTACAACGATTGTCGCCGGACTGGCAACGGCGATAAAACACAAAGCCGTGCTCGGTTTTGTTTACTGTTTCAAGTGTTGAGGAGCGATCCATGGATAGTTATCTCCGTCAGCAGTGCAGTAACTAAGATCTAGCAGCACTACCTAGGGTAGCTTGAGGGTTCTCCAACGTAATTAAAGCCGATCCGGACATAAGCTCGATGGCCGGATATAAAGACCTGGCCCAGGGGCCAACAGTCGGCTTTGCCAGGGTAATCCATGAACTGCATACCTACCAAACACAGAGTCCCGAGATGCATCGCCGTGTACACAGAATACTACCCGTGGACCTTAATGCCGTCTCTTAGCACCAGAGCTTGCCGAGCATGTCTCTTGACTTAACTCCGTTCATGCCATGGAAATGTCTATATAAGAGCCTCCAACCTGGGCTCAATACTCTACAATCGCCTTGATCACATTATATCGCGCTCGCAAGCTTCTACAACCATGCCTCATGTCTCTCCTACTGTTACCGGCAAAGTCGTCGGACCCATTGGCTTCGGACTTATGGGTACGTTCTCTTCATACACCATCCTCCACATGCACTTACCCCTGTACAGGATTCACTCGCCCCTGGGCGCCTATCGAGTATTCCGCTGCGACGAAAGTCATGAAAACCGCCCTCGAGCAAGGCGCGACATTCTGGAACGGGGTGAGTTCAGCCTCTCAATACATTCCGCATGATAGCTAACACAACCAGGGTATCCACTACGGCTCACCGACCTCCAACTCCCTGCACCTCCTCAAGCACTACTTCACTCAGTACCCCGAAGACGCTGACAAGGCTGTTTTGAGCATCAAGGGCGGCTACGATGTCTCCACACACAGTCCCGACGGCAGCCCCTCGGGGGTGCGCGCTTCCGTGGAGGAAGCGCTCGCCGTGCTGGACGGCGTGAAGAAAATTGATATCTTCGAATGTGCGCGCGTTGACCCCAACGTTCCGATCGAGACGACCATTGCAGCGCTCGCGCAGCTCGTGAAGGAGGGCAAGATCGGGGGCATCGGGCTTAGCGAGGCCAGCGCGGCGACGATCCGCCGTGCGCATGCGGTGCATCCCATTGCAGCGGCGGAGATCGAGCTGAGTCTTTTTACAATGGACCCGCTGCGGAATGGGATCGTCGATGCTTGTTGCGAGTGTATGTCTCCCGTCGGCGAGCTTCATCTATTCCAATTCAGGTGACCTAACCCTTATATATGACAGTGGACATCCCCCTCATCGCATACAGCCCCCTCGGCCGTGGCTGGCTGACCGGTCAACTTCGGCAGCATTCAGACCTCGCTGAAAGTGATATGCGTCGCATGCTGCCCCGTTTTCAAGCTGATGTGTTTGATCACAACTTCGGACTTGTTGAAGCGGTCGAGGGCATTGCGAGGCGGAAGGGGGTGACGGTTGCTCAGGTGGCTATTGCTTGGGTTTGTGCCCAGGGCGCTATACCGATTCCTGGTGCAACGACTGAGGAGAGGGTCTTGGAGAATAGCAGAAATGTTACGCTGTCCGCGGAGGAGCTGGGTGTTCTTCAGAGTGTGCTTGACGAGTTTGAGGTAAAGGGGGAGCGGTATGGTGGGAGGCATGAGCATTTGTTGAATTTGTAGGCATGTTACCTCTTTGACATAATACAACGCCTCTCTGTCCCTTGTTCCCACTCTCTGTAACCCTAACCGTTCCTTCTATGATCCACCGTAATACAATTGTACGATGAGTAGTAAAAGCCCCTGGCTGATGAAAACGGGGTGGATGTGAACAGAAGCAATGTGGTCAAACTGGATGGAAAGGCTGAGGCGATGGCCATCCATTGTCCTACAGATTACCCCGTGTTTACTGGTCTTTCACTTAATACAGGGAAGAAAGATCTTGGCCTCAAGCTTCAACCGGTTGTTTCCAAAATAGCAACAAGGGGTATGACTGGTCGATACAGCTCGTCATATCGCTGATCAGATTTGGAACATGGAACAAGGGACAGCAATGAAAGATCCACAGTTTGCATCAGAGCTTAATATCACCTATAGAATACGGCCATCTAGGCGCTGAACGTAGGTGCTCTACTAGTAACCTTAACAAACCAGATGCTTCGGTGGACTAAAGCAATACACTCCTAACGTACATGGTTTCAGCCTTGCCTTGAGGTGGGACGGCACTAGTCGTAATGGAATATCGACGCATATCTGACTCGGAATGGTATCTGACATGCAGTAACTACGCGCCTGAACCATCTGGCCGTTGACGAGGGTTGAGACTTCTGCCTTGTCAGATTGGCAACCTTAGGCCCGACCCGGACGGTCGATAAGGCTACCATATCTGGTTAGGGTCATCAAAAGGTAAACGGCAATGTAAATCACTCGCAGCTGTGGCTGAATGTCCATGCATTTCCGAGGAGAAACAGGTCCCCGCTGTTATAGGATGAGACCAACGGGGGTCTTTGTCTTTCCCAGTGGACGGATATCTTGTGGTATAGTCAGGGATGTTTGGCCAGCAAATACGAGGAGGGTGGTACACGGAGCGGACTAGGGAGAAGTCTATGGCCCAGAAGAGCAGGGAGGGTGACACCAGCGTCAACGTGTTACAGGACTCGAGGCTCCCGACAGACATTTCCAACCGCTCTTGTGGTTATGACTCTGCCAGCCTGAGGGTAAAAATAGAACAGTGGAAGGCACATTCTGCCTCGCCAAACAGAGACATATATCCCCCGGCAATCCTCCGCGCACCCTGCCACCCATCGCTCCTTCCAAGTTCCTTTGCTTCCCCGCGGTACATGTAAGATTCCAAGCTTGCTGTTTCCTTCCCCAGCCATTTCATCCCTTCTCCATCTTCTTCAATATGAAGTTCAGGCATTCGTCTTTTTGGTCTCGATTTCGCTACAAGCTTCTTTCCAACCCTGAGAACGCAAAGGAAACCACTGCGACCGGAGCAAGCCCTCAGAGAAAGAAACACTGGATACAGGGAGTTTATCTATGTGCCTACATATCTTCCGCCGTCCTGTTAGTTAACCTCATCTTTCTCGCCGTTGCAGAGAAATTGGCCGCAGACATCCGTGACCAGGGAAGTTCAGACAAGATTCTTAGTTCATGGGCGTTCCAAGTGATTCATGACGGCAGCTGTGCCCTGTCCGAACGATGGAGCCTTGCGTTGCACTTGATGATCAATGTTCTCGGCACCGCGGTACTGGCTGCCAGCAACTACACTATGCAAACCCTTGTCGCACCTTGCAGGGAAGAAGTTGATGCGCATCACAAAAAAGGTAAATGGCTTGATATTGGGACTTCGAGCATCAAGAACTTGCTGGTCGTTGGTCGATATCGAGCCGTGATCTGGGCCGTGCTACTGGTGACTGCCACGCCGTTTCATCTACTGTACGTGGCCTTCCCAATCTACACCCGTGGACCCTCCCCTACTTTTGCAAGACTGACAATAATAACAGGTACAACTCTGCGATATATGCAGTTATAGCCAAGAGTAGGTACTCGACTGTACTTGCTGCGAGCGACCTGAATCCATCTGATATATCAAACTACGCCACACCGGAGTTGGAGTCTTGTTTCCGTTCAACGGCGCCCTCGGCTAACTGGAGCGATTTTGCGTCCGGAATTCTCCACAGGGCATATAGGAGAGTGGACGAGAACAGCTGCAACAAATTCCGAAGACAAATCTACCAGTCCGGTGTTCAAACTGTCGTCGTGCTCTCCGACGAGCTATCAGTGCATGACCCTAGCGACCGTTGGATTCTTTACAGTGACGATATCTGGAATGATGGTACTCATCGTTATGAAGGTCAGGGATATCCCTTAATAAACCAGGAATTCGTCTTCAGTATTCCGACTGTCGACAACAGAACCGTGACATACACACCAGGCAATTTCACGGTGAGGTTATGTGAGAGCAAGAACATCAATGATCATGTGGCAAGGTGCACAGAGGCAGAGTCCTTGGCAGTATGGTTGAATGAGACCTGGCCATGGTCCCTCTCGGAGGTAAACGAATACGTTGCAGCCCAGGAACTGAACTTTCCTATTCAAGTTTACTCTGTTGGCAGCATCTGCCGCGAGGGGCATCCCTACTACTCAAACAGCCGCCCTTTCTCAATCAGTGCCGGATGTCTTTTGCTCAATGCACCCGAGAGGTGTAGACTGGCTTTTAGCCGGCCTATTCTCTTGACCATCATTGGCGTAACCACCCTGAAGGTCCTGGCAATGTTCCTTGCTGCACGACTGGACAGGTCACGCTCCGCGCCACTCCTGACTATTGGTGATGCCATTGCATCATTCCTCTCAAGGCCTGATGATACTACTAACGGAAGATGTTGGGCTGGCAGACCCGAAGTGCGGAAGACGATATGGCCGGCCAAGTCTGCTTCACCCCCAAGACGATTACCACAGCAGGGCCGCTGGGTACGGGCGGCAACAATGAAACGATGGATTGTAACACTCTCTGTGTAAGTCTAAGGGCATACAAAAGTACCTCGACAGGTTACTGACGCCCTTGCCATGCACAATAGGTCCGGTACATTGATTGGAGTGGGAATATGGCTACTCTCTCTAGCAGCAAAAGAGCTGGCAGCAATGAGGGGCCAGGAAGTCAACACTCTACTTTTCAAAACAGGATTTGGCCAATACACAGAGCACGAGTACAACTTGTTGGAAGGAATATTTACTGCACAAGGACTGGTACTTCTTGCCAACGCGCCTCAGTTCGCGGTTACGGTCAGCTATTACTTCTACAACAACATTCTGACAAACATGCTCGCAGCATCGGAATACGATTCATACGGGATCACAAAGAAAGGACTGCGCGTTTCCTGGCCAGAAATCAATACCTCTCAACGGTCAACGTATTGGCTTAGTACTCCTTACCGCTATAGCGTTCCAGTCCTCGTGCTTTACACAAGTTTACACTGGACACTGTCCCAGAGTCTCTTTTACGTGCAAATTGTCCGTTACAAATGGGACCAGACTGCATATTGGCCCGGAGACTTTCCCGACGGCCAACTGGCGCTCTCGCCGCTTGCAATCCTTGTCTCCATACTTCTCGGCACCCTGATGGTATCCCTGTTGCTGGGGTTGGCGTTCCGGAGATTTCGGTCCATGGCGCCGTTGGCGGGAAGCTGCAGTCTTGCTATTAGTGCCGCTTGCCATCCGGGGGCTGATGAAGATGCAGCGACCGCTGCGTCGAGGGAGGTAAAATGGGGGGAGACGGCGGTTTTGCCGGAGGGAATGGACGCGGTTGACGGAGTCGGACATTGCAGTTTTACGTCGAAAGAGGTGTCTGTGCCGTTGAAGGAGAGGAGATATGCGTGATTTTACTAGGTCCCCATCGCTTTTAGGTTGATCTTGCTATCCATATTATGATTTGAATGATGATATAATGTTGACTTACGATAGATATCCAACAGCGCTAATGATGTTACTCTGCCTAGCTAGGTATACCTATTCCGCAGAGGGATTGCCAAGCAGTATGAGTATCTGGAATATCACGCCACAATGACCATCTAACTCGGCAAATCCACGCACAGCGTCGAGACGCTTCGGCTGCAAAACACCGAGGTCTACCTAGCGCTAAGCTCCTATGTACGTACCTTCCAAAGGTAGGTAGGTGGCTACAGGTTCAGACCCAGGTTACTCAGTCATCCGGTCCGCCCATGCATGACCATTGCACTCAGTTCTTTAAGGACATCAATGGTTAGGCAGTGGAACGAGACCCGAACTCCAGCTGGGGGCCGGAGGGTGTCGCGACGTCTGAGTCGTGACGAATCTAATCTGATAATATCTTCAAGCCCTAACTCGGTACTCCTCGAGTGCGGGTGCAGATCGTTACAACCCGACCACTCTACCGGCCCTTTAAAGGAAACAGATTCCGCTGTAGGTATTTTGCATGTAATAAGTTATTGGAGTGCAGGAGATAAAATGTCTGCTTACTTCAGACTCAGAACGAATTCAGTCCGACTAGTAACATCTTAGGTAGGCACCCCGAACTTGAAGTCTACCATCCATCTCCAGGGTTCCAAGTCCCCGACTCTGTAGAATTCGAACCAAGAGCGCGCGATATTGGATAGAGATCAATTTACACGAGACCTCCTAGCGCCAGTCATGCGAGGAGAAGATGGACCGCAATTGCCAGTTCGTCAATGAGCTTTTGGTTCGAAGTTTGGGGATTTGGAGCTGTGAGGCGGTTTTTGATTAGGCTTGCTGTTCGTGATGCACCTGGGCATGATTGACGATCAACGTTAGGCTTGAGGCTGCTGTGTGCCTACATTGGCATCTTCTAGACAGATACTCCCACCTCGGGCTGGATTACGGGCTAGCCTAGACGTACAAATTGAGCTAGGTAGGCTAGATAAGAATGGATTCAGTTTGAGTTTGGACTATCACTGGCTTTACGGATTCATTGCATATTTGGTATTAATGAACGCAGCGCGTGCGGCCGATCCATGGATCTGCATATTACTGATGTCCTTGAGTCCAACATTATTAACTCGCACTTTCATTGAGGTGAGGCGAGGCACCAGCTGGAGGGGTCTGATCGTCGAGTTAGGGCTGAACAAAGCTTCCTTTAGGTAGACGGTCCCTTTCTGCCTGTTTCTTTGTCTGCTCTCAATGGACTTGCACGGATCTTTCACTCTTTTTTGTACGACCTTCTTTGAGTATTTCCTTTTCTTTGCCTGAGCTCTCTTTGTGCCTTTCATCTGAACCGGTCATCTGCAATGCAAAAGTCAAAGGCCGATCTACTCATTCAAGTGAGAGGTCACCATATAATAACCCCTCGAGTAGCCCTGCTCTTGCCTGCCCTCAGCTCTATTCGTCCCATACATTCTTCGTCGACGAAGGTTTACTACCCGTGGACCCATACAACGACTCGGCAAACAAGACTATTTGCATTCGATTCAACTTACAACGCTCAATTCGAACCAGGTTTCTAGATACAATACGGCAGGAACCATATCGAAATGCCTCCAACTACTTCCCTAAGCACGCTCTCCCCTGAGCTGGATTTGGCCATTCTTGGCCAGCTCTCCTCAGCAAAAGATCTCTACGCCGCAATCGCCGTCTCACCAACCTTCTACCATCTTTTCTCCAACTACAAGCGCTCCGTCATCTCCAGCGTCTTGCGAAATGCTATACCACGCGAGATCGAGAAGGAGTTTGTACTGGCATACCACGCCCAGAGCCTCTGGGCGTATGTCTACGAGCCGCCTGATACGGTGATCCGGCAGCAGATCTTTGATCCCGATTCGCCGGTTTCGCAGGAGATTGTGGAGGAGTTTGAAGTCGAGACACGGGCGGTATTGAAGATGGGGCAGGACGGAGAGTGGCCGACTCTATCTTCCCTGAGTGCGGACCCGGAGGTGTTGATGGACATGTGGGACTTCTATAGGAAGTTCGAGGGTTTCATGCTTGAGTACTCCGAGAAGGCGCTGGCTGAGTTGCGGCGCTTGCCGACTGGCCTTGACAATGACACTAACATGGATCTTGACCCTGAAGCTGACACTACCAGACTCCCCATCTCGATAACCGAAGAATCACGTCTCAAGCGTGCGTTCTTCCGCTTCGAGCTCTACACCTGTCTCTTCCAATTCTCTCAGGTAACGTACGGCGACTTATATATCCAGTTCGGCCCGGTTAACCCATTGCCAGCGGAGGAATACCTAAGTTCACTTTGCGGCTGGGAAGCCGAAGAACTCGCCTGCGTTGCACAGTTCTACAGTACCCTCGTCGAAGGGCTCTGTCACAAAATAGACGCCGATTTCGTCGCGCGAGTCAAGGCGAAGGCCAAGGCGGATGGCGCAGCACTGACGGCGCCTGGGCTAAAGGTAAACCGAGACAGCGTGAACTACTGGCTCAACTACCACAACTTCAGGTGGTTCAGCGGGTCCTACAAGAAACGCTACCGACGAATCCACATCGACTACATCGTCTCCCGCGGGGTATTGGCCCTGTCGAAAGTGACCCGTGCGCCGTTCCACATCGCGCAGGAGATGATCCTGCAGTGCCATCTTCTGGCAGAGGGTCAGACTTCTATTGTGACGGACTTGCACCGCTTGTACCCCTCTGACTCCGTTTCACACAATCCAGCCCCTGCTCAGAGTACTGACTTGGAACAGATCACTGCCGCAGCGGCAGCGCTCGCCCTTAACCCGGCCGGCACCGCCACCGCAACCCTCAAGATCGGGTTCCCAGGCTATGGCTTCAAAATGGCCGTTGCCCGCACGCCCGGGCGTCGGTGGGAGTGCAACGCGCCTGGCAACCGCGCCCTTCGCAGCGTGGGGTTTCTATTCTGGGACGAGGCGCGACTTAGGGCGGTTCAGCTCCTCACTGTGCCTGCGGGTAAGTCTCCGAGGGGGCATAGGAAGAATGTGCAAGACGTCAGTGTTGAGAATGCGCTGGCGGGCTTGAATGTTCGTCGTGAGGTTGTCGTGGCTGTTTTGGGGGACGTCCTGGGTCCCGAATGGGAGGGCAAAAGCAGCACTGGGAATGGACAGGCAGGGGATGCCATGGATATAGATGGCGGGAGCGGACACGGTATGGATCCGAGGTTTGATATGCACTGGAGGGATTAAGTCCAGATTAGGATGTCGGGAGTTTTTAGGTAGCTTTAACTTATCAGGGTTAACAACTACAAAATACTAATGTCTCTCTTTAAATGATGTACATGGCATGATATAACAGAATTGTTGAATAAACTTAAGAACCGAAGCAACAGAATATGGAACCAGAAATTGAAAATAGACACAAGCAAAAACGAGTGTAGCTCCATCACCTTGTTACATCCTGTAGCGTAATGTGTTGATAGCCACTCTACACTATTTGTCCATGATCCTCAAAATGGCCAACATGCTGTATGACCCTTGAATGTAACCAAGTCAGGGTGTGTATACCTCGACATTAGAACTCCGACACTGGCCAGCCAGTGATAACTGACCAACTAAATACTTAATTGGCAGCCTGTAATGGCCTCTGCCCTTGCCCTACCCCCACGGAACATCCATAATCCGCTCCGTCCTTTCCTCTTTTGGAGCAGGCATCCATCCCCCCTCCCTCTTCCCCAAATATTCCACTCTTCAACACACCACATGGCTTCTTCCTTGGAATCACTCTCACCCGAATTGCTACTAAGTATCCTGCAGTCGCTTTCATCTGCCAAAGACCTTCTGTCAGCCATCACAGCCTCACCGCGCCTGTATCGAATATTCCGCACATACCGAAACTCCATCACAGCGGCAGTGTTACGGCGCGCTGTCCTGGGAACCGAGTCAGACTTCCTCGCAGCATATCACGCCCAGCACATCTGGGCGTTTGTGCCAGAGCACAATGATGACACACGCCTTTACAACCGTGTACCCATACCTCAAAGCGTCAAAGAACAGCTAAGAGAGGAGACCGTCTCTCTGCGAGAACTTAGCAAGTCTGACCTGCGAGAAGAGTGGCGGACTATCACGCCTGACTCCAAGATTCTCCCGAGACTCTGGAAGTTCTACGTCCGATTCGAACACTTTGTGCGCTTGTATAGCTCAAACGCACTAGCGGCTCTCCAGCAACCTACAATCAACGCAGGGGCTACAATATCCGATGCGCCACCTCTCTCATCGGCTGAGGAAAGTCGTCTCAGAGCAGCATTTTTTCGTTTTGAAATTTATACATGCCTGTTCCAAGTCTCTCAGATCACTGGGCAAGACATATCACAGTATTACGAACCACCTGACGATGACCCGGCACCAGATTACCTTGGGGCTCATTATTCCTGGGAGGTAGAACAACTGAGTTGCGTCGGGCAATTCTACGTCGAGCTGATCAGAAAGCTCTGCGATGCAATGGAGGATGACTTCGTCGCAGCCGTCAAGGAGAAGAGCACAGCACACTCAAACTCATCCCCGCACAAGGAAGCGCTTACGCAAGAACTGAACAACCTAAGCCTCTGGCTAGACTACTTCTGCCTCCACTGGTACGAGGAGTCGCATAAACTCCGCGATCGCGCAAGGCACATCGACTACCTCGTTTCCCGAGGCCTCGGCGCACTCTGGAAACTCACCGGCGCGCCCCTGAAAACAGTCCGCAGGAGAGTCGTGCGCACGCACTTCATGTCCCGAAATAAGTGCTCCATCATGCAAGTGCTTCGATGGACGACGCCGCGTGCTGGCGCAGATGAGCACGATCTGGCGCTTGAGAAGCACGCTTGTGCCTCCTCTACTTCTACCCCCTGTTACGGCTGGCTATGCGCGCGCGAGACAATGGATTCATGGACGTCAAATGCGCCGTGTAACTATGACTTGCGAAGCCAGGGGTACGTCTTCTGGGATCGGGCGCGGATCCAAGACCTGCAGCAATTCAGGCATCCTCGGGCGCGGGTTGAGGGCATGGCTTTTAAACAGTATCCCGCTGGATATCGGTCGCATTCAGAAGAATATAGGATTGATGTCGAACTTGAGGGTGTTGCTATTCGCAAGGATGCCATTGGTGAGATTGCGGACGAGATTAATGAGAGGAGCTCGGCTGTTGATGGCGATGCTAGTGATAGTGATGAGGAAGAGGAAGATACCCCCTACGTTATATCATGGCGAGACGACCTTTAGCTTCTTGCCGGGTCATCTATCTATCCATGGAAGATCTTCGTTCTACTTCGAACGCACTGGAATACATCCGCCTGCATACTGTAAACGTAACCTTCCTTGGCAGTAGATGTTCCAATAGGTATGGTACTCCATGCCTAATATACCTCTCAGATAGCAAGTGGTGACACGGATTAAGCGATCGAACTTACTCTTGTGCTCTGTTTGCAATGATGGGCGACAAGGTACCGTACGCCTGCACGTCAGGCAGGCATTTCTGCGGGGTACGGGGTATGTCTTCGGTTTTCATTCCCTTCACCAGTCATAACCTCTTCCCCCCTTGTTCTCAGCTCATTATCTAACACTCGCCACCTCCTAGAACCTCATTCCCAGCGACAAATGCCATCAGATTTTCCCGTTCTTTTATCATCCGTCCATTGATCCGAATGACCATTACAAACTCGATCATTCCCTGCGCTTTCGACGGGAGCTCGAGGCTCGTCACACAGTGTTCCCCTGGTTTCCATATCCGTGATGCTGGAACGCAAAGGTGCGTCATTGGCCGGAGGACCCTGATCTGGGATGGAAGCTGATGGGGATGAGGAGGAGGAGAGGGAGGACGGGGCATGGCGGGCTGTGCATGCATGCGTGCGATTCAAACCTGTGGTGAAGTTGACTTCGCCATCGACGTCGCCTGTATGCCTGGTATCGTTCCCCATATCCAGGAAACCGACCTGAACCGGTCCGCTATCTCCATGGTAGCCGGAGATGATCGATGCCCCAGCGGCGACCTGCGATGCGTTTGGCGCGCGAACCGTCTCGCTCTTCTTGTAGTAGGGCAGCATCCTCTCCCACGTCCAGGGCCAGGACCAGGACCAGGTCGTAGTCCCATTTCCAAGGCCATACAAGGCATCGAGCTGGATCCGTTCTGCGCGCGCGTAGGCTGCTCCTGTGCTCGCGGCAATGTTAACTCCATTCCGCCTTATCCTCAACTCCTTGAATAATCTTGGATGGATTGACAAAACCAACCATTGATAGCACTCGTCCCCCCCAGCGCCCTCCCCGCCCGCATCACCTGCCGGCGCCCCCCAAACGCCTGCTCCGTCGTCTCGTACGCCCAGTCCAGCGGGCTGTCATATGTATACGCGAGGCGCGAGATGTCGGTGACATTGGGGTTATTGAGTTGGGGCTCGCCTGGTTCGATAACGAGGATGGAGAGAGAGGGGTCTTCGGAAAGGCGGTTGGCGACTGTTAGGCCGGCGGTTCCGCCGCCGATGATGATGTAGTCGTATGTTGCGGCGGTGGTGGAGGGCGGGGAGGGGGATGCGGTCGAGAGGCTGAGGGGGAGGAGGGGGAGGGCTTGTAGAAGGAGAAGTGGACTGATCATGGTAAGGGTTGTTAGAGCCAACTCGTGCACTGTGGAGTGGACCGTGAAGCAAAAGGCACAGGGGAGTAGGTAAAGCCTTTGGAGAGGGAAACGCAGGCCTTTATAGCTGGATCTATCTGGTCGAGGACCAGTTCATACGTTGCTAGGTCTGACGGGTTGGATCTACTGCAGTGCGCCTTGCATGAGTAGCATTTTGTCTGCATGCTGCCTTCCGTAAGGGGTTGATCCTCGCTACCTACTGGAAGCTGATATCGCCTAGGTAGTTTCAAGTAGCTCTCTAGTTTTACGCTTGGTCTCTTATGTACATGGGAGAAGAACCCACGAACTTGGCCATCCCAATTCTTCAATGCGAGATGGCTTTGTGGGTAAATATTGTTCAAATACATTCACTTGACCTCAGATGGCCAAGGGCAATAATTGCCTCGACAAAACACCCAACACTTCCTCCTTACCATGCCACACATCATTATACGCCGCACTTAATGTCGGTATCCCCTTCCATGTATCCAGAGGCAACTCAAGCCCTGCCCCTAGTTCCTCTTGATTAACCCAAACCATGGTATCCACATTAAAGCTGCCATACCGATGCGGAATGACATTATCCAAATCAAAGGAGAGGGGGGTCAGCCAGGAGTGTCGGCCCGATTAGCCATGATGCAATCCCCAGGTTTGGTTCCCTAGGATCCTACAAGATATGGTACCGTACAATCCCTGGTTCCACCTGCCACCTGCAGCTGCAGGCTGGGCTAACTGCCATATGAGGCAAGAATGGCAGCAGGCCACTCCCTCGCAGCCCTAGCACCAGCATTTCCCCACCTGTCGTCAGTGGGCACTGGAGTTTCGCCGAAGTTCTCCCGACCGCGTTGGATTAGGGTTCTCTCGATCGTACCCTAAGCAACGGATCCCATCCATTGGAAGCTGACGGACGAGCCCAGTGCTGTTCAAAGGACCATAGGATCTGGCAATTCGGCCTGTCAAGTTGCAAGCAATCGCCAATACTACCACATGGAGAACGGAGGCTGCTTTCAGACTCCGACCACCCTTTGCACCTGGAGATGGCATTCTATCCTCATGATTCAGTCCATCCAATAGGGTAGGTCATCTTGGCATCACTGCCAATATCTAGACGATAGCAGAAACCAGGACACCGGCCGTGATTGATCTGCACCGTTATGCAGATCCATAGCCATAGCCATGGCCATAATCATAGCTTGACATGCTCGGTGTGCCCTGGAACAGGGACCTGAACTCGGGCTCGATGCGTGGGTTCGCATTGCATCCGTATACGGTTGATGCGAGCCGGGTGAGGAGTGATGCCGCGGCGGCGTATTATCGGGCCTTTGCAGGGAGGGAGAATCTGCACGTTTGGATCAATGCCTCTGTCACCAGGATTCTGTGGAAACAGCCTGCTAGACCCCTTGTGGCGGGCGGGGTCGACGTTCTCCATCATGGTGACCGAGCCTCTGGGCCTGCCCGGGTGCGTGCGCGTCGTGAAGTGATTCTCGCTGCTGGGGCGATGCGCTCGTCTGGTCTGCTCGAGTTGTCTGGGGTTGGCAATCCACGGTATTTCATTCCATGTCTCCTTGATAGTTGATAGCCTGCATACTCACTTGGAGTTTCACAGCATCCTCAACCCCCACGGTATCACCCCCCTGGTCTCCCTCCCTTCCGTCGGCGAAAGCCTCCAAGACCAGCTCAACACATCCATCGTCTTCACAACCAAGCCCCGAATCACCGGAACCCGAGCCGTGGCGTTCGTCTCAGCAGCCGACCTCTTCGGCCCATCCACCCAGTCCATCGCGTCGGACCTCCAAGCCACACTTCCCTCCTACGCCGAAACGATCGCGCAGAACTCAAACGGCGCACTGACTGCACAGTCTCTGCAGATCCTCTTCGAAAGCCAGCACGACCTTATCTTCAACCAGAACATCCCAATCGGCGAATATGTGTTCATCCTCGATAACCCCACGCAGGTGCACGTCGGATACTGGGGTCTCCTCCCGTTCTCATGGGGGAGCGTGCATATTGCGAGTTCGGAGCCGGGGGTGCCGCCTGCTCTAGATCCGAAGTTCGGGCTGCTGGATTGGGATGTCAAGGTGCAGATTGAGATGTCGAGGTTTTTGAGGACGGTTCTGCGGACGGGAGAGGTGGGTGAGATTTTCGCCGAGGAGGTTGTCCCTGGACTGGAGCGTGTTCCGGATGATGCGGGCGATGAGGTTTGGAGAGACTGGATTGCGGAGCAATGTAGGTATCTTCTAATCACAGGTTCCGGATCAACTAATCCATCTTTCTCTTTTTCTAGATACACCGAACTACCACGCAGTTGGAAGTGCATCCATGCTCCCGGTCGAGTTGGGTGGCGTTGTGGACGACCGGTTCACCGTGGATGGGACGAACAACGTTCGCGTCGTGGATGCTTCGATCTTCCCCATCCAGTTCTGTGGGCATCCCACGGCGAATATCTATGCATTTGCCGAGCTGGCTGCGGATTTGATCAAGGAGGATGCAGCCGTGTTTGAGCGGGCGGAGGGAGAGCTATAAGTGCTGGCTTGGAGCATTACGATGGGCCTTTCCTTGCGTGACAATACTTGCTATCATGGCACAAGGGTGCGAAGTGCGAACGGCTCCGGACCCCAGTGTCCTCTTCAATGCTGCTTCTGTACTATGGCGAGACACAGCGCTCAGGAGGGAAAGCCATGGTAGTAGAGAGGCAGTTGTCGATTCGACTTGACATTCCATTACCCCTGGATGACACCTTGAGATATTGAACAAATAGGCCAAGCACTGTATATGCCCTGGTGAACCTACTTGTGTATAAGCACCTCGTACATTTGACTGTATTTCCACCATCATATCCCTGTGGCTGCTGAATAAGGGCTGAGTATTCAAGCTTACAAACTGATAGTGCAAATGATGGTAGCATATATCGATAGCGTTGACCTGAGTGCAAGAACACGTTCCACAAGCTGGTTCGCCTCAAGCTCTAACATGTTTTGGAATTTCGGGCGCCAATTAACAATACAGCTATAGACAACGGAATCCGACACCATGAGGATGGACTATTCTGAACCTTATGGAATGCTTGGAGTCTGCCTATCTACCTGCTGGCCCAAGACCTCCTATATAAGCCTTGCCTGGTGGCCTTAGGGCTCCAAGCAATCCGCCCAAGGTATTTCTCGCTAGGAAGGAGGCACTATACGGTATGCCCTTCCTATCCTAGTATACCTTATAGTTCCAGTTCTGCGTCCACGGACCTTGTACAGTGCCTTTTGGTCAAGTGATGTACTAGGAGACCTGGACTCTCCCATGTATAGGGCTTGGAGTATTCGGAATACGGCCCTCAGTTCCAGCACTAGGTAGGACAGAGATGGCACAGCTGTCAGTATGCATAATGGTAGTAACCTACACTAAATATACCGACTGAACAAGATCAACCTCTTGCCTTGCTACAGCTCTGGCGGTTGCAGTAAGTTATAGACATCATCAGCTTTGTCACTGGAGATATGGTAGCTTTGACGCATTAAACCATCTATTCGTCTTAGGGTCCTCACACCTGACCCGCTATCAATTAGATTGTCTAGGACGATAGATTTGTCTACCCAGATAATAGGTCCACACCTACGTCCACTGCTCTCAGACATCAATTCACCCTCAACGCAGCCCAGGCCTGCAAAACCCCGACAACTGCAACAACAAGGCCGTTCCTACTAACCCCGCCCCGGAAGTACCCCGCCGAGCTCCCAAGCATGGAAAGCGCCATGACGAGCGCCGCAGCCTTGTTAATTGGGTTCCGCAGCTGCTCGGGGGCCAGGGACCAGTTGTAGTTGATCAGTGCTGCAATCGTTTATTAGCATTTGGCCTTTTCTAACATAGCAAGGAAGGCGCACCGTTCACCAGGAAAAAGGCGCTCCCCTGGTACCAGCCGACGCGGGCGCAGGTGTCGGCGGTCACCGGCAAGGCGCGGAATTGCGGAGAGGATTGCCATTCTTTGGCGCCGAGCTGGATGCATCTCAGATTTTTGTTTTTATCGGGGTTCTTACCATGGACGTGGGTGATGAGGAAGAGAGAAGGTAGTTGGAGGGGACGTACCACATGGCCGACGGAGATGACCAGCCAGCCGATGCTGGTCGCTTTGAGGGCGTTGGTCATGGTGTCTTAATTACTGGTGGCGAGTCTGATGTTGGAATTGCGAGTCGACGGTAGACGCAGGTACAGAGTACAGGTGATGGATAGTCCCGTCATGTCGAGGAGAACTGGTGAGATCATGCCACGTTCGGATCTCGGCTCAACGCTGAGCCTCGGTCCACTTTACCCCAGACTCCGCATTTCATTGGATTCATCGTCAAAGCCGATGTATAGAATACCTGGGGACCATTGCTAGCACGCAGGATGTATTCCCTGCTGTGGGGGAAAGGGCTTTCCCAGAAATAAGTCCGGGTACACTGCAGACATGATATGATACCTGCAGCCTACCTACTGTATTCCAATACTCCGAGGGTCATCTCAAAGTGTAATATATATACCCTCATAATGAGGCCTGCATTCTGAATCACGGACTCCTAAACCTCAGCGACGCCCCATCATCAATCTCCGTAACATCATCATCAACCGAGAAGTTCATAATCGCCTCCAACGTATCATCACCAACGCCCGCGTCCCCATCCTGCCTATTGACCCCAGAACTGTCCCCCTCCGAGCCCTTCCTCGAGTGGCCCGGCGACGAGGACACCCCGTCTTGCGCGCTCGAGATCTCCGGTTCCGCTTCGACGATGACCTTGAAGACGTGCGGGGCTGCGGTTTTGGGTTCGGCTTCAGTCTCGGCTCCGGGTTCGCTCGCACCAGCTTCATTGTCGCTTTCCTGCTTCAGGTGTTCGTGGTAGAGATCGATCCGCCCGTAGCATTTCTTGCAGACTTGGAAATCCGGGCACGTTCCGCACTCGTATACGGGGCCCCAGATTGTCTGTTGGTATAGGTTAGAATGACCTAGGTAGAACACTTGGTTGGTCTGTGTGCAGCACGGTAGCGAGCTTACATTGAGGCAGATATAACACCCGTAGTCCTGCACTTTGTACGGTCGGATGGAGCGCGTGGTGGTAGCGTCGTTGGCGTTTCCATCTTCATCGTCATCGCCATCACCATCGCCCTCGCCACCATCATCACCGTTCTGCAGGGCTTCTCTCTTTGGCTTTGTCCCAATTAGACATGCCATGATTTCGTCCGATACATTGTGAAGCTTCGCCAGTTCCAGTACGGTAAACGTCTCGTCCTCCCCGCCCATGTGGCACGATACAGCCATGTCAGCTCCGCCCTCAATCAAGACCCGCACGGTCTGCACAGGATCGTAGGGCTCAGAGAATTCACCGGCATTTGTAATCGTGATCGGGCGAAGCGCCCAGCAGAGAGCCGTCCACCCGTCCACGTCGGGCTCGTTGATGCGATTCCGTCGTTCTTCTGGTGTGCGAGCATGGGCCAGAATCGACTCGACAGTCTGTACGTGGCCAAACTGAGCGGCCCAGTGGAGGGCATTCTTCCCTGCAATGTCGGTGGATACCAGATCACCGTCGGTCTGGAAGACCACGTCGAAGTTCTCTCGACCGTTGGTGGCGGCATAATGGATGGGCAAGCGATTGAGGCAGTTTGGCTGTTTGAGAGAAAGACCCTTGCTGACCAGATAGTTGATTGTACGGGAGGCAGCGGTCATAGCAGCAGCACACAGTACGGTGGAAGTTTTAGACCTGTAGGTGCCGTGCAGGTCTGCGCCGCGGTCCACCAACAGGCGAACTAGCCTGTCAATTAGGTCGACGTACTCGTCACGGGTCTCCTCGTTGTGCATGTTCAACGGCATGCACGCTGCCATGAGAGGAGTCGGTCTGTCGCCCGGTCGCAGTAGATTAACATCTGCGCCACGATCGAGGAGCATCTTCACTGCCTCGATTTCGAGTTCCGAGCAGGCTATATGGAGGGCTGTTCCTCTCTTTCTGGAGGAGACTGTTTCATCAATCCCAGGTTGCGACAAAAGGTATGTGACGGCAGCCGTGGCCTTCGAAGAGGTCACTGCAATCATCAATGGTGTCCAGCCAATTGTGGACTGGGCATTAATATTGGCGCCTGCCCGTATGAGACGGCGCATGCATTCGACATTACCACTAGCTGCGGCTTCCATGAGCGGAGTTTCCCCTTCGTCGTCGCATTGATCTATATCCAACCCACCACGGTATTCTAGTAGGAGCCCTATGATGTCGGGTTGGGGAAACGTGGCAGCCACGTGGAGACACGTCCGACCTTCCGTGGTGGTCTCTTTCAAGTTGACTCCCGCCTCTGCGAACTTCCGGAGTATCTCCACATTTGGCTTATGACCTGCGGCGTCGTGAAAAGGGCACCAGCCTGCGCGGTCGCGGTGATATAGATCAACCTTTCGGTCAATAAGGAGCGCGACCACCTCGGGCTCCTGTTGTACAACAGCCGTATTGATCACCGTCAAGCCGTTGCCGTTCTCCTGCTCGGGGTTCGCGCCGGCATCTAGCAGCATGCGGACTAGCTCGACGCCTTGTTGTACCGACACCTGCAGAAGAGTCTCGCCATTGATAGTCAAGACATCAAGAGGGGGCTTCCGCTCCAGTAGCTTCTGGACAACCTCTATACGGTCGTTTACGACAGCATAATGTATTGCACCACACTGCCTATCATTTAATGAATCCACGCTGACGTTGTGCTCGAGCAACCATTGCACCACAGGCGTAAACCCGCTGCTAGAAGCCCAGATTAATCCCGTCGATCCATGCGAGTCCGTCTTGTCGAGATCCAACGGCGCCGGGCTGTTGAGAAGAACTTCCAGGAGAGTTGTTTTATAGTCTGAGCTGAGGTCCGACGACATGCATATTTCCACTACCAAGGGAGGCTTCAGGAGCTCATGGTTCGGATCTGCGCCGTGTTCCAGAAGAGCCCGAACGCACTCTATGCTTTGACCTGATATAGCAGCCCACCAGAGCGCAGTGCCTCTCTCACCAGGGCCGCATATATTTGGATCCACACCACCTTCTAGCAGAGCACGGACAGTCCGAGCGTATCCTGAATCCGCTGCAGCGACGATGGGAGCCCATCCGCTGTTTGGGCCGGGGACAAAGTCAGAGGGGACACCTAGGTCAAGGAGCGCCTTCACTGCTAGCCAGTTTCCGCGGTATGACGCCTCGTAAAGACGTGAATTAGGTGTCTCGGTATCTATAAGGGTTTGATCGTGGTCTGCCAGGACTCGGAGGACATCGACATGTCCATTACCAGCAGCAACAAATAGAGTATTGCTGTCGTTGAGATGAGCATGAGGATCAGCTCCAGCTTTGAGCAGTGGCTGGACGATGCGAGTATAACCGTGAGCCGAGGCCAGGACCAATGGAGACTGATAGCGCTGCGAGACCACTCCTTTTGTATCCGGTGAGACGCCAACAGAGTCTAGCAGATAATCGACCAACTGTTCCATGTTGAGCCATGCAGCCCTCCACAGCATCTTGGAAGGCCAAGGATCGTCGCCTAGTGCGACTTGTATTGGTGTAATGGTTTCTTTAGCGCTTTCCAGCTTACTAGTGTTCGTTCCCACAATACGCTGGATATACTTCAAAGAAGCCTTCTCATCAGCATTCGACATTGCACGATCTAGAACGTTCAGGGGGGTAAAGTCATCAGAAGCCGATTTAGTTAGAAAGTCTGCAGAAGTCATGAACCTCTTCAACGATTTGCGAGACTCCGGGTCGAGACTTCCCGTGTTGAGAAGTAGAGAGAGCGGCGAGTCTGCCTTTTGCACTGGCGGACGCGAAAACGGATTGCTCATTGCCCAGTACATCCTCGCCCAAGGTACGAGGCGATCCTCCGCGATGTTAAATATGTCCGCCAATCGCTTCCAAGCAGATGGCGCTTTCTGCAGGTGATATGGAAATGCTGTTATCGCATAATAAACAAAGTCGTCGCCGTCAGGCTGCAGGGAAGGCGCGAGGCGGTCGACTTCAGCGTAACCCTGCGAGACATACCGATCGTATAGCTCAATCAGATGGTCACGAACTTCCGAGGATGCAAGGTATTCAGCTAGAAAGTCAAGCATTGTCTGATGGACGACTGGTCCGATCTCATTCCACACGTAATCCGGGTCCTCTTCCAGTAGAATGTCCCGTATTGGCTTTCGAACGCAAACTTGGTCACCACCAAAATGGACCAAAGCTGGCAACCACGACTTGAGGAGTTGACGGGACTTCTCCATCTCGTCCGGGGTTGGGCTCGAAAATGGTTGATCATCACCGCTTCGTTTACAGTAGTGCAGAACGCAGGCGAGCTCAGTACCACTAAAAGGCCGGTGGCCGTATAGGAGCCATTGAAGAACCCATCGTAGTCCTATCTGATCTGAAATCGAGCGGAGTATCCCGTCCAGAACAGAGGCTGGCGTACTCAATGGTTGAACCTGAGTTAGAAGCGTGGAGAACTCCGTCCAAGAATGGAAGGACGGACTGTTGGGCCAGTTCGTATGGGTCTCAATGAGGCGGACAATCCGGTCTAAGGTGGTTTCATCCATTGACTTTAGAGACCGCAAAGCCTTACTGATTTGGGATTTACCATAGCCACCGGGGCAAAGCCGGGAGATCATGCGGGCGGGGTACGGACATGGTGGTGCTGGGGTCGCTTCTTTCGATCTATCCTCAGCGTGATCGTACACATACCACATGCTGGTTGCATCCGAGTCCGCTAACAACGTCAGTCTGCGACGGGAAGTCACAATGACTCTGGCGTATGCGTCAGACAGCTCAGCACGGCGTTGGAGTAAGTCCCAAAATTCGTTGCGGCTTGCTAAGTCGCACTCGTCCACGTCGTGCAGAACCAGGAGTCCACCAGTCGCGAGGTCTGCACATACAAGGCTCAAGAAGAACCCGCGAAGATGCTGGATTGTCCAACCGCGATGGATTTTGTGCAAATCGCGAAAGCGAGTCTCAGTATAATCCCTTTCCTCGCCGAACGCAGACAATACCTGGATAGTGGCGGAGCATAGCATAGAGCACATATCGGCTCGTGCGGGATCGTTGGATGAGAAGGTAAAGGAGAGAATTGGGATGTGATACTGCTCCTTGCCCTGCCGTAGGGACTGCCAGTGGAGAAACGCTTGTTCAGCCAGCAAGCGCGACTCCTCTTCATTTCGTCCTTGAATGTATAAGACAGGTGACTTTGATCCTTGAACCCAGTCGTTGTATGTTTTGCTTTGCAGCAATAGATGGGAGGATTCGGGCTTTTCGGCGGCGTGCTGGTGTTGCGGTTGTGCCAGCGGTAAGAGCATTCGTTGCAACGCTACCCATTCCGGGCTGTTCACCCAGTCTGTGCATGTGGTCAATGTGATGGGCATGTCGAGTTTTAACCGTGTAATGACTCACTCTGTTTCCGATAACACACCATCTCGGACAAGCTAGAACCGGTTTTGTTCTGACCGTCTGTGTTCAGCTCAACGGCGATTTCAGTAGACACTCCCAGGGTTCCCATAATATAGTCGGGTTTCTTGCTTATGTGTGAGGATCCTGCATTCCGTAGGAAATGTAGTACGTACTTGATCCGTTTCCTCAGGCCCCTTCTCGTCCCCTTGCTCATCCTCGTCCTCGTCGCCTTTTTTCTCTTCCTTGTCCGCTTCCCCCTGCGAACCCCCTTCTGATCCTTTACTTGATCCCTCTTCGGGTTCCTCCTGTGAATCCTCATCTGTTTCGTCATCTGTTTCGTCATCTGTTTCGTCATCTGTTTCTTCATCTGTATCATCGTCCGTCTCCTCAGAAGCCCCTCCGCGATAGATACTAATAACACGCGTACGCAATGTGATGCGAGAGCCAAGAAAAGCCTCCGTCGTTTTCATTACAACATCAATGAGAGCTGAGATGGACGCAGGCGTGAGCAACCGTGCGAATGAGGTAAATTTAGGGTTGAACTTCAGCGCGCGCCAGAGCTGTGCGTCCATATCGTGCCCACGTGGTCTCCGCAAGAAGCAGTCGTAATATATCTGCGTCAGGCATCAGGAAGAAACTCCAGCAAAGCGTGGTACCGCCTTCACATACGAACTGGACAGTACTGTAAAAGACCCCGGGCCATCGCTCTTCGCTTCTAGACGCGATAGCAATTGCCTGCAATGCGTGCCTCAGTATACAAAGCCGGAGGCTACAGTCAAGCGTTGAATACGAGCAACCTACGTACCTTGTTGACGATTAAAGAACCCAGTTCATAGGCAATGAAGATCCGAGCTGGTTGGACTGTCTTCTGCCTATCAGCCTTTCCCATAATGTCGTGTGGAGGTTGAGTACAGGCTGCAAGCATGCACTTACCTTATTGCCGTTCTCATTGTCTTGACTGAAGGAGACAATTTCATCCAGCAACTGCACAGCCTGATCTTGGGCTGCACCAAAAACCATGTCATTAAGAAGGAGACTAGGCACATCACATTGGAAAACAAATTCTCGAGTCCTTGAGGTGGCAGTATCGCCAAGGACCTCCTCCAGACCCAGCTGTCGATTCGTGTCAAACCCTTTGACGTGTATGATGCTATCAAAGTCAGAAAGAGGTCGCGCTATATGAAATCAGAGGGAGCTGGTTGCGAGACTTACTCGACATATGGGGCTTCAGCATCATCGCTTGGCGGCGATTGTACGGTGTTCACTAGCCGTAGCCGGCGGGTGTCTTCTTCCGCAGCCTCAGAGGAATCATTGCTTACAACGCGTGAGAGATCGGAGTTTACGGGAGACTCAAGATCGTTATGTGGATCTAGGGTTTCCATCGGTGATGAGACGCCTACTAAAGGATATGAAAGTGAACGGGATGGTATCGAGGCTCTTATGCGCGTGTCTCACTGATGATACCGCGGAATGTCAGAGGGTGGTTCGGTGTACGGAAATCCGCTCGAGGAATTGCACGAATAACCAGTCGTGTGGCAGCTCCTCATTTGAAAGTGCAAGTGTCTGCCTTTCAGTCGCAGAAGGATCAGCACTAAAGCATAGGCAGCCAGTAAAACCCGGTCAGCGAGGCTCGGCGTCATGAAACCTCAAGGGCTGCGTGTAACCTCCATTGTCATTGGCCAACAATGAATTTGTTTGCTCATTCTACTCCGTATTTGTGAGTCCTTTGCCCCGCCTCGTGCCCCTGCTCTCTTGTTCCTCCAACCGCCCAGCAACAACCCTCCCGAGGTCGCATCTGAATCGGACCAAACTGGTAAGTTCAGAGCTGCACCTTCATCGCGAGGGGCAGATGAGGGCCAGCGACGAGCATATGGCTAAAATAGTGCATGCTGATGACAAACTGGAGCTGCGACAGAAGGATCGATCTGTCGAAGAACATATAAGAGTTCGAATCCATCGTTCATTTGTATAATCAACTTGTCTGAGAATCATTTTATCGTCAACTAGTGCCGCCACAACAATGAACGAAGATGAGCTATGGCTGAGCGACGAGATTGGCGATGAAGACGACGAGGATTTTATCGGTCCAAGCTCCTTCACGATGGCCCTGACATACCAGGGGCCACCAGGGGGTGGGCTCCCCAATCTCTCTTCCTGCGGACACACTCTGATGAAGTGATTGCACTTAGAATTTAGGACGCGTAACAAACAGGGCCAGCGTCAGCGGCCGACCGTCTCATCCTTCCGCGCAGGGCCGAGGAAAAAGCCCGCATTCACCGTCAGCTGCAACGCTAAGGCGATGGTTCATGGCGAAATGGGGGGGTTCTCATCGAAAATGGCAACGTTGTTGATATACGAGTTCCAGTTTCGATCGTATCGTGGAGCGCGTCTCAAGGAGGCCGATATCTTATTCGAGTTCAAGCCCCTGCCAGGCGCAACGGGACGCGTTTCGGTGGCCCAGGTGAGACCAGACGGAGTGCACAAAATGGAGAGGACCGAGCAACTGGAGGGTCATAGTGTTTGGGCGGGCATCACGGGGGCCCCGATGCAGGCTATTGGAGTTGAGGTGGGCGCGGACCGTACGGTCGAGAAGATTACCGGACACCATACCGTGGTTACTGGCGACCGACCGCAAGACGATTGGGGCGATTATTACGAAGCTCGCTTCGCCTTGTATGAGAACAAGTCGCAAGGGGACGGAATCCCGTCGAAGTTGACGGCGTGTATTCTGCTTGAAAGGGACGACGACCAGGATTTCGTCTGTGTCCCGACCATCTCCGTCAAGCCCAACTTCACGACTGCTGTGGCCACTCTCTTCTCGTCAAGGGATCCAGATGACCCTGTCTACTTTAACGTAGATGAACCACCGGTTGACCTCCTGGAGGGTAGGGTAAAGATAGACCCGACCAATCTCGCGGCCACTAGACTGGACGAAGCGTGGGACTGCACCATGTACAACAATTACCAAGGGGCAGTCAAACCATCCCAGCCCAGTCCTGCCTGATAGGGCGCGGGGTAGCGCGTTGCATGGCTTTGGCTGGTTTAGAAGGATCGGCCATTATTCCCGTAGGCAGAATGTCATTTGGACTAACTCCGTCGCGTCTAATACGTAGCCTGCTCTGTGATGACAAGCGACGGATCATGCCGTCGTCTTTGATGTAACAATAATCCGACAAGGGATCCTGGGGAGGTGCGGAGTTAGGTAAGAGAGGATAGTTTCCGTACTCGGCACTTTGTCAGTGATGGGCCGACCAGCCACCATCTGTTCGCGCCAAAGGCTGCAGCTGCACGTTGGTCCAGAACTTGGCTGCAATGGTCCAATGGGAAGGATAAGCCCCAAGGGGCTGGTTAGTTCAGCGGGTCACGCTGACTAGTGATTACTTTCCAGATGTCTTTCTCGCAGCGTCTAAACCATCAGCGACAATCAGAAATATATCGAGAGGAAATTACTAAAGGCAAAGCGGATCATCTGTCGATCGAAACATCTCTTGATCTCTGAGCCGCTCAAAAATGATTAACAAGCCAGCAGACGACTTCGCAGATATCGACCTGGAGGATGATCCGGAGTCGCTTGCGTTCCATCACATTGGGCCGTTGCCAGTCAAAGAGCCTCGCAATAGAGACTGGAAGGAGATCGTAAAGCTTCTGGATACAGGTGAAGAGACTTGGGAGGCCTTGGGGAACTCAGACAAATTGGCGCTGGCGTATCGAGATTCCTTGAATGCAAGACCGACATTTCTCCATAAAATGGCCGAGAACTGGGCAAGCGGCGAGTTCAGAGAGCTTTCGATGGAGGTCCGGCGACAGATCGTCCTATTTCTGTTGGACCAGTGTATGCCACACAAGGATGGGCAAGACGATCCAATCCTCACGGTCGCAATGAACTATAACACGGCCGATTTCATCCAGCTCATCATTGCCCATCGTCCAAAGTTACTCCCAAGCCTCTTGATGGCCATGAACGTGAAAAAGATGAATTGTCTTCACACAGCGTTCAAGGACACATTGATCGGAATATTGAGGATGCTGACTTTGACCGAGAAGAGACGCGCGCTCCTGATATCCACGATGCGAACAATCACAATGTTGCTAGAATATGCAGATATCGCTACCATAACTGCGAAGGATGCTGATGGCAACACGCCTATCCACTATGCCATGGATTACAGGCTCTGCCATATCATCACGGAGTACACGCACGACGGGCGGGACCAGAAATATGAAGACATCATAAGATCGTTGCTGAATAAGGCAGAGTCTGCAATGAAGAAGCCGGACGTCCTGTTCAATGCTCGACATTATTCTCCGTATCGCTTCTACTTCTATGTCAAGGCGGGAATCGCGAGCAAGAGCCGCAAAGCGAACGCCTCGTCGCTCCCGCGGAAGGAAGTAACGGCGAAAGCGAAGGAAACCATTGTAGAGGACCGCCGCGAGCCTAGAAGAAACGCCGCGAAACCGACAGCCGGGGAGCACCTGAGCCGGACATTTTCTGGTGGGAAAGAAGAACCCCCGCAGCCTGCCTTTTCCGTCAAAACAAGTGCGCATTTGAGCCCAAAACCTCTCCCAAGGCCTTTGCGGGATCCACAATATCCCCCCGGATCGTCGGTGGTCTCGTCGACTGGGAACAAGGAAACCGGCTTCGGCGAGCCAAACAGCGGTTCGCTGTCTCGGAGACCGACAGCTACCCCAGATACACCAGTCGAGGAAGCCCAGTCGAAACCTGTATCGGCTGCCCCAAAACATACGGCTCCTGCAAAGCCAGAGCGCTCGAAATCAGGGAGTACCTCACGTGCGCCAGCCTGGCCCGGAGGTGAAGAAGAGAAGCAAGCAGCAGCAAACATCTTGGCCTTTGTGAAGTGTTTCTTCATCCGCAATAGCAGCGATAGAGATGCAAAAGATCTATTGTATGGAAAGATTGCGTCTGGTAAGTTGATAAAGCAGAGCTGAAAATACCCCGAAGGCTAACACCTGGCTGGATTTCCAGACAAGAATCTCTTCTTTGACGCTAGCCATCTGCGAGGGAAGCATGTGGATGATGTTGTCCGCTTGATCGAAAAGGTGTCAAAAGCTGGGGGTTTCGAAGACACTCTCTCATACGTGCGGATTCCCCAGCTGGCATCCGAAGCGCAGAATATACTTCAAACCTCGAGACAGAATGTCGCCAACGAGAGGAGACAAGTGAAGCGGAGTTCGATGGACAGGGAACCTAAAGGCCGAGACACTCTTGTCAAAGTGTTTGACAAACTAGTCGCGGTGAATGTTCGCAAGATCCTACGGCTTCACGTCGAGGACAATGCCGATGAGTGGGCGCATACAGATAGCGCGATCGAACAGGCCGTCAGAGGATTTGCTCAGTATTCCACCAGCGGAGAACGACGAGACCCGCTCGATATAGGCGAGTGGTAGGTTTGATCGTATCCGTGTTTTGGTTCGAACTGACCGAAGAGCTATAGGAATTGGTGCAAGCCCGATATAAACCTGGATGTAATCAGGCACGCAGCGCCATTGGTGGAACATATCCATCTTCATTGGAGTGGGAATCAGACTGTGCTGTATGGCTGGGCAAGCGCTGAGAATGGGATTCCGTTCATGTGCAGGAACCCTAGGTCGCTGTTATCCAAGGTGACAATTCACGCATACCAGGTAGGCCATCATCCCCGTTTGAAAGCCATGCCTAGCAAGCATCCAGGCTTACGGTTGCTCAGGGACTGGAGAGTAAAGCGCGCAGGGAAGCCATGTTGAAGAATTTCAGCACTTTGCTAAATGAGAGGACAAATGGCGCGGTCAAGATCGTCTCCAACCCATTGTCGAGAAGCGCCGTTAACAGTGCAAAACCCGACCTCGAGCAAGATAGACTGCTTGGGGAACAGTCCGAAAAGCCGCGATCCGACGCATGGATCGAGGCGATGGAAAGGTTTCGCAGGACGTTGATGGGAATGCACCGTGGTGGACTATTGCGCGAACCCCGGCGAGTCAGGGTATGCATCCTGAAGACAACCTTTACCAAAAATTGACGGTAACCTTGACTGATGCTGAACAGGTGGCATTGATCGATGACGGGATCGACCTCGACGACTTCAACACCTACGACAACACGACGCAATACACCGGCGTGAGTTACTGCGATGAAGACGCGTGGTGGAAATCGACTGAAGGCCATGGAACAATAATGGCCAACATGATTAGCCGCATTAACCCGTGGGTCAATCTCGAGGTGATCAAGATCCAGAGCAGACCATCGTTCATACATGGCGCCGGGGCGCGGAGCATCAGCCCTAAGAGCGCCGCGGACGCCATCAACGCAGCGGTGATGCGCAAAGCCGACGTTATCTCCATGTCATGGTCCATAACCGATCTAGAATACCGGATGGCGTTGTTCTCAGAAAACATGTCCGACGTTGAGGGCGATAAGAAGCCGGCGGACCAAAGCGACCTGGATCTACTGAAAACAGCAATTAAGGACGCCGTCAAGGATGACGAGCGACTTTTGATCTGTTCCGCAGCAGACGACATCCGACTGATAGGAGACAACACCTACCCGTATAACCAAGCGCCAGTGCAGATCCTCCGCATCGGGTCAACGGGGCCCCTCGCAAATCGGGACCCGGGTTCAGGCAGCGAGAACTCCATATCCTATTACTTGCCGGGCAATCAGGTTGCTGAAGAACAGAGAGCTCACTCGGGCAAGCCAGTCGTCTACCACAGCGGATCGTCCATCTCAACGGCGCTTGCGACGGGTTTGGCGTCTTTGATCATGTACTGCTCTCACTGCCTCCACTCGTGCGGTGCCGGGGATAAATATGAGGCCTGGGCACTTGCGCTGCGAGACCATGCGAACTTGAGAAAAGCGTTCGACAATATCAACAAATATCACGCATGGGATCAGGATAAGAAGGTGGTCCCGGTTTGGGGGATTTTCGGCAACAAAGGAAGCCAGCTGGAGAAGGCGGGCAGTGGAGAGGACAAGATCGAAGTGCTGAAGGACATTGTAACATATTTATGCCATGATGTAGATCTGGACAAGAAGGGAAAGAAGGGAGAAGTCGCTGGATGAGTGAACTGTTAAAAGGTGGTCGATGATGATGGGATGGAGGAGTGTTGTGGGTAACTCAACGAGGAAGGGAAGAAAGTGCGTCACGTGCCGCTCGCCTCCTTCCTCATCGGGATACCTGCCAAGCATTTTACACACCGTATATTGAATTTATCCATGACGGTTGCATCTCTCTTCTGATAATAAGTACATCTGCCGCCTCCATCCCGGGGTATTGTCGAGTCAGGTCTCAAATCACGTTCATGTTCGTGTATCCATAAGTCATTGCATTGTCATTCTCCATCCATCGGATGGATCCCTCTTCACCTATGAAGACGTCTCGAGCGCCTTCCTCCGCCGCAATAAATCCGGCAATCTCGAATCCCGACTCTGATCCTGCTGGCTTGAGTTCGAGTTCGACGTCGGGTTCGCGAGCTTCCACGACCCAATAACCCGCTTCACCCAGTCTTCCTCGCGCAGGAACCACAGCGTAAAGGTCGCGAAGATGTATACCGCCAGCGACAGGACAATGAACATCGTAGCGAATGACGCTTGCGGGATTTGAGAGACATGCGTTGTTTGCTTGGAGTTGAAGAAGCGCATGCAGAGGAGCGACTGATTTGTGTTAGATATGGTTCTGGCTGAGGAAAAGAACTTACGATAACGAGGCCCAGTGGGAGGTAGAATGGTGTTGATCCTGGTGTCGTAGAGTCGACAAAAAGATGGGTTGGCTGTTGTTTTTCGATCATTTTAACCGGTATGGCTTCTTCCAGCGACTCCATGAGTTGTGTGGCTAGAGCAGCATCGTAGACCTGGAAGTGTGTTAGAAGCCTTCTTTGAAGATTTGAACTCACACTTACAGGATCTTGAATCTCGTCTCGGGCATCTTCGAAGACCTCCTCTTCCGGCTCATCCTGTTCTTCTTGGTGGAATTCTTCCTGTTCCAGGCGATGTTCATACATCTCGTGGCGAATGCCTTCTCCCCACCCAAAAACGTCGTCTTGTCTTTCAAAAACGTCATCTTCTTCCGGTTTCGGTTGTTCAGCCTCTTCCTGCACATATTCTATGTGGTCTCCCCAGTCACTACCGTCCTCCCACTCCACCGTCTCCAACTCATCCGCAAAGGTAAAGGGTGCCGGTTTGCGCGATGGCACTGTCGCGGCCCTAGGTCTCCTGACATATGTCTCAGTAAGAACATCCAGGTACTTGTTCTGCTCGGCCAGCTGGGAGCGGATGTCATTTAGCGCGGCGACGATCTCTTTGATCTGGTCGCAGAGGATGTTCTTCCCTCCATCTTCCCCCTGGGTGCGGAATGAGTCTGTCGCCCTTCTCTGGCCATTGATTTGCGACATATCGAAGCCCAATGGTAGTTATCGGTGGAAAGAACTTGAGAGTTGAATTGGGGAGAAAGTCACACCGCACATTCTCCCCTCACGGCCGGGCTAAAAACAAATTTGCCCTAGTGCCTTGTCCGCATTCTTCACCCACACCACTCGTTATATTCACCAGTTCCCAAATAGTGAAGATATCTTGCAGAGGGAAGTATACCATAGATGGAGTTGAAGATTCAATTCACTTCCAGCCCCTGATTTAAGGGCCCTTGTTCCCTGGAACCCATTACTCACAGTCTGCCAGCACTGGCCAGCAACCCCACTCTTCATTCCGCCGGTTTCTTTGTGCTCCACTCCGTCCTGGGCCTCGGAATGGATTTCGCTGCACAAGAGCTGTTGAATCTGCAATTATACAGTCAGGCCACTCTCGATGGGTGTCGGTAGTGTCTTGCTTGTCTACCAAGTGGGCTGCGACATGCATCAGACATCAGCTTCCTGCATATCGCCAAAACATGCATACCTAAGCAGAACCAGAACCAGTCGACAAACGCAAACATGTGGAGAATTACCGGTAGATAAGTATGCGGTGCACGGACCATCCCATGCCCTGTTACTCAGAGCCACTTTATATATTTCTCAAACTACCCGAGGAAGTCCGACTGATGGCTTTGCCAGCATACTGTGTCAGATCTCCTTGGACCTGATACCTCAATTCGAACCTCCATGTCTCATACTTACACCGCGTCATAAGCCTACCTACCCCCTAAGCTTTCCCCATGACGTCTCCCCCCCATATCTCCCCAGCAATCCTCCTCCTTACCTCCCCCTCCTCACCACCACCCCTCTCCCCAAACAACAACGAAACCTGCTCCAGGCTCCTCCCCGCCGTCTCGGGGACAAGGAAGTACGAAAACACCGCCGCGCCCAAGCAAAAGCACCCAAAGAACAAATACGTCCCCCACCCCAACGCTATAAGCATTTCCGGCACCGTCACGCCAACAATGAAATTCGCCAGCCAGATCATGGCTGATGCTGCGCCGACGCCCTTGGCGCGCTTGTGGCTGGGGAAGATCTCCGAGGGTAAGGCCCATGCTAGGGGGCCGTAGGTGGCTGCGTATGCGACGACATAGATATCTATGGTAGTACCAAGGTCAGCGGTATTGCGGATAGTAGGGTAGGTAGGTTTAAGCTGGAGGAGGTGCTCGACATACAAATCAAGGCAACGCCGAACCAGCCCATGGCTGGATGCGCGGACCAATTGCCGGCGTACTTTCCCACGACGCCGGCCATGATGAAGTGGGGGATGGACATTGCGAGGCCGCCGAAGATGGCGATGGGACGGCGGCCCATCTGATCGAGGAAGAAGAAGGTCGGGAGATTGCCGACGAACTGGAAGACGTTGACCATGCCGCTTAGGATAAGGGAAGTCTCGTAGCTCTGGCCCATTGCCTGGACGAAGGTCGGCGCGTAGTAAACGAACGCATTGATCCCTAGGTATTCAAAGGTCAGTACGGGTAAAGTGGACCGGAACGAACACCCGGACAAGATCTTTCGCACCAGAGAACTGCTGGAAGAAGCTGATACCCAACGCGACGATGGTCTGGCGGACGTATTTAGGCGCGAACATGGCCCTCCATTCCTTCAGCTCCAACCCCCACGCACTGTTGTCCACCCCGTGCTCGCGTCGCTGCATAACCTCCTGGAACCGAACCTCGGCCAGAATCCCCTTCCATTCCCGCCGGACGCGCTCGTCGGTCTCCGGCAGGCGGCGCAGCTTCATTAGAGCCCGCAGACAGTCGCCGTCGCGGTGGCGCATCGCAAGCCATCGCGGCGAGTACGGGAAGAACTGGATCCCGACACCCACCACGAGCGCAGGAATCACCTGCAGAGCCAGGGGGAGGCGAAACGCCATGTGGCCGTCCATCAGACGAGTCCCGTACGTCATCCAGTAAGCGACCGTCGCGCCAACCACAATGGATATCGACTCCATGACCAGCAGCGAGCCTCGGAGGTTCGGAGGGGCGACCTCTGAGATCCAGAGGGGAGAGGTCATTGCAAGGCTTCCGACCCCAATGCCTCCGATCGTTCGTCCGGCAACGAGAGCGCCGTAATTCGAGGCTGCGGTCTGGATGACGGCGCCAACGCAGAAGATGACTGTGGCTACTGCCAACGCTCTCTTCCGCGAGAATCGGTCTGCAACCATTGGCATGAACAGGCAGCCCAGGAAGGCCCCTAGTTCGAGCATCGCGGTCATGAAGCCGGTGTTGAAGCCGTAGCGGGGATGCTCCGGTGCGACTTCGGGGTAGTAGTCGCGAAACTGCTGCATGACCAGGATGAGAGAGATGACACCCTGGTCTTGAGCTAGTCAGCGCTGCAACTGAGTTACGTATCTTGGGGGACTCACCATAGCCGAATGAAAACCCGCCACTGGCCGCCAGAACGCATGCTCCACAAACATACGGAGATCGGATCAGGCCGGCAAGACCTTTGCTTTCATATAAGATCTCTTCATCTAGCTGGTTGCGATTGACCTCAATTACGTTCTCGCGGTGCTCGTTCTCATTGCTTTTGTCTTTCGATAGCGCGGCAGCCATAGTAACTGAAGGAATTCAAAACGTTGAGCGGAATATAGAGCGACGTAAAAGGAAAGAGTTAAGGAGTATAGGAAAGAAAATTCCCTGCAAGATGACTTCTTTTCTGTGAGGAGTGCGCGGTATTTAATAAACACGCCTGTCCCCTGGAACATCGGCATATCCCAGTGACTGATTTGGAGTACCCCTAGCCCGCAATACCCCGGATTTTGTGGAGTTCGCTCTGGGGAAACAAGATCAGCTAATCAAATGAAATTCATTGGACTGAAGGTGAGACAAAAGGCGGAACAGGTTACATTGGCAACATGCATTTGTACCCGGTGGATATTGCCCTAACAGTCTGCGGGTCTGCGGGGAATCTATACATAGTTGGACATGAAAGAAATGCATGATATGATTGACTAGACTAGTGTCTACGGAGTACTGGTATTATGATAGGCAGAGCGCCGCTGATATCATACAGCCATTGACAGAGCGATGCACGATCGAAGGGGCACCGTAAGGAATATGCAACCAGGGCGCGGGGGATTCGGGCTCTTACAATAACAGCAACTCTCGCCGGGAACCCCATGAATCCATGCATTTCTGCTCTGCAGATGTTGTTCACCGGGCAAAACGTCAGTCCCCACTTATCTTCCCATCGGAATCACATCGGCCAGGCGGCTTTTGGCGGAGGAGGGTTTCCGCTTGCAACAGAGGCGTTGTGAGGACAAAGTAAAGATGGGGTACACTTGGTGAATTACTGAGGATGAGCTTTATAGAGACGTTCTTGATGAAAGTGTGTTTAAGCCATATCACCGGGAATTATTCCGTAGCTCCCAGGCATTCTGTAAACCCAGTAGCACCGCTTGACTGGGCCAGGCATGTTCCCGTTTGATAAAAGAAAGAACGTCTAATAATGCCTTCTGCGTCGCTGGATCAACGAAGGTCTCGCCACACATGCTGATAACAATCGCCGCTGTGACCAGAGTGGCTTGTGACTTCTTGTTCGACAAGGCCAGCCCGCAGACAGTCATAGTATGTTGACGTACTCGTTCATCGACAGCCATATTCCTGGCGGTTGCCCCTGGTCCGATTGGCGCACGCTGCGGATCATAGACCTCCAGCAGTATGCATGCAGTTTCAAAGTGCTGCAGGCCCAGGACCTGGCAATCGTTCATGTGAACTATCTCCGGAAAGTAGCGGCCTTTACTGGGATCCGCGTCGCTGGAGTAAAGTGGTCTGAACGATGCTGGTCGCATTGTCTCCCAATTTTCCTTGAATCCCTTGAGATATTCCCACTGGCCGAGGCGATCCTCCGGGAATTTACCATCCAGGAAGAGGCGGCCTTCGTCTCCGAAGCAGAACCGAAGAACATCGGCGCACCAGAAGATGATATGGTTGGACCACTCAAAGTCCCCTGCTGGCTCTGGTGGATTGTAGCTCTTACCGGTACGCCTAAAGAGGCGGAATGGCCGTCTGTTTATCAGGACAGACCATATTTCCTGCCTTAATGCTAATAGACAAACCGAATACCCGAGCGAGGTGAAAGGGAGATTGACGACGTCGGCTGTTCTTAGAGGGGGATAGTCATCGTTAAAGGATCCAAAGGTATAATCAGGCTGGGAGTCAACTACAGCTCTGGCAACGCCGAGGTATATCTCTGAGTCTAGGCCAGTAAGGTCAACTGCACTAGATGATTAGACCACTTTTCAAGCGGTGAGGCACTGCGGTCTACTGACCATCAAGCTGCTCGTAGAAGCGTAATATAGTCGCTGCTGCAAAGACATTCTCATCGTAGTTGCGGGCGGGGTCATTCGACATGGAGATGAAGAGCGAGATACAAGTATTGTGATACTCCACAACTGTGTCATCGGTTAGGTTAGGGAGTGAAATGTTGTCGAACACTGGCGTTCTGTTCGGCCATTGCTTCGAGAAACGTCTCACTAGGTGTCCGGCCGACGCTGTACATATGGCATAGAATAGAACAGGGCTTGACATGGCGCGGTGCGAGATCACATAAGTGAAGTGTTTATCTTTATCGGTGCAGTCGAACTAACGCTTGTATTAGCCATAGTGAAATCAAAAATGGCTAAAGAATGTACCGAATCTGCCAAGTTTTCGATGAAGTGCCTAATCAAGCATGTCTCCTGCAAGCTCAAGGTCCTTCTCTCGCTAGCGGCGAATGGGAAGAGCGGTGGTGTTGGCCCAGTAGCCAACGAAACGCACGAGGGATAGTTGGTGGCCGTGCTATTGGAATTACTCGCGTCATCCAAGTGTCCCTGCGCTGCGCCCGCGGATGGACCTTGCACGTTATCTGTCCTATCCACAACATCGTCGCGATGCACGGGAGTAGAAATTGGGTCCACTAACTGGAACTCCTGTGGGCTAGCGTAAGTTGAGGATGGGAACGCGGAAGTCTCATCCAGTGGTCGATTCAGTGAACCCTTCCGTCTTCGCTTGGATGGTGTCTCAGCGAAGGAAAGAGCAGTTCCTGCCGTCTCATCCACAAAGGAAATCCCACCTTCAGGCCATATTAGCTAGGCCTACAGATGTAGAGGAAGACATACCACCAACAGGTCCAATCCAAGGTTGGTTAGAAGCAAATTTCAGCTCGCTTCGTGGTCGTGTGGCTTGCTTGAACCGAAATCGAGAGTTATCGACACAGTGCAGATTTGACTTGATGCATCCTGTGCAAGGGCGGCCGAGGTCACCTACGCCAGGTCAGCATGAACCTCGGAGGTCTTTGAAAAAGCCACATTTGGAATGTTTCTCTGGCTTAGAATTAGCGTTTTTGCCCTACTAACTGCCATGCATGTCATTACCTTTGCAGTTGTTGCAAGGAACTTTACGCTGACCTGAGCGGTCGGGCATGCCAGGCAACTCAAGTTGTGGAAATCTGGTGAGCACCGCAAAGGGAAAAACCGCCGGAATAGAGACTGGAAAGAGGGGAAACCGCGGGGGTTTGGCATTCTCCAACTTTCTCCGCATCGCTACGGTACTCTACCCCGTGGGGGCTTGGCCAGGGTTACGATTAGCCCTAACTCCGTCCACGTCACCCGGACCATCTGCATCTCACAGTGGAGAACGCCATGCTGACCTGTCCAATCTCTTCGCACTCCTGCAACGGTGAATTCCGCCCACATTTGCCGTTTACGGTGACTGTGACTCGAAGAGGAAAATTCCCTTAGCAAGAAAACATTGGGATTCGTTCGAGCGGCGCCCTCTGCGTCAATAGCCACCACAGTGCTGTGACAGCTCTGGCGCAACAATCACGATCTGAACCCAATAGCTAGGAATATATATACTTGGACCTGATGGCAGGAGGACGGGCAAAACATCAACCAGCTCACAATGGGAATCGCAGTTCTGACCTTTCCGCTCGTCGGTGCATATCTGGCCATCGTTTGGCTGATCTGGCCTATCGTCAACTACTTCCGCGATCCGAAAGGGCTGCGAAAATACCAAAGCCTCTTCTTCCTCTCGGGAATCACCGACCTCCCCTACTGCTACGTGAGCTCTCGTGGGTTCCGGTCCAAGTCCATCACAGAGGCTCACAAAAACCTAAATGCTCCAATCCTGCGAATTGGCCCGAACAATCTGTCTTTCGGGGATGTCAGCGCAATCAAGGACATCTACGGGCACTCGACGCAGTGCATCAAGGACCTAAAGTACTCCATCACGGGCGGGCCTCACCCGAATATCTTCGACGTCGTCGATAAGCGCAAGCATAGCGAGAAGCGTAAACGGCTCTCTGCTGCCTTCGCCATCAAGAACCTCGTCAACTGGGAATACAAAGTGGCCGACACCACCGCCCGATTACTGCATGCCTTTGACCAGAGATGTACAGCCCCTTTGCCATCCAACTGCACGACACCGGCAAAGGACGAACTGACCATCGACTTCAACCACTGGATCAATCTCTTCACAATTGAAGCTATCAATGTCATCGCCCTATCCTCGAAACTCGGCGTCCTCGAACAAGGCGATGACCTCGTCACAGCCCAAAGAATGGACAAATCAACCTACAAAGCGCACTACCGCAAAGCCCAGAACAAGGCCGCCTTCGCAACATCCCACTTCGTCTGGGACTACCAGAACTTCCACCTCCTAACCAGCATCTCAAAGCTATTCCCCAGATGGCGACGCATCTGGGGGGACGCCGAGCCCTGGAAAGACGTCATCTACCATCAAACAGTCACCCGGCTGAACCGCTACCAGAACGGCGAGAAACTCGACGACTTCTTCGCAAGCCTCATGGAAACGAAATCCGGCGAGCCGTATAACCTCGAGTTCGGCGAGATCCTCGGCGACGTCGGGGCCGTGATCGACGCCGGCGCAGATACCACCGCCATTGCCCTAACCCAGGTAATGGAGCTATTGATCCGACATCCTGCGCATTTGAAAACTCTCAGGGAGGAGGTCGACGCAGTGTTCGAAAACGAGACCGTGGCACTATTTGATAAAGTGAGAAACCTCCCCTTCCTCCGCGCCTGTTTAGACGAAGCCATGCGCATTATCCCCCCCACATCCGCCGGGCTCCCTCGCCGCACACCCCCCGAAGGCGCTATGATACTCGGAGAATGGATCCCCGGAAACACCAGCGTCTCCATGACCGCCTACGCTACGCATCACGACCCCAATGTCTTTCTGAACCCCGAGGAGTTCAACCCGCATCGCTGGATGGACCCGGCCGAGCGAAAGCGCATGGAGCCGTACTTTATCCCGTTCTCGACGGGTGGAAGGGGATGTATCGGGCGGAATATCTCCTACCTCGAGCAGACGATTATGCTTGCGTCGCTGGTGCATCGGTATGAGTTTGCGCTGCCGAGCCCGGAGTGGAAGTTGGAGCGGTTCGAGGCGTTTAATCTGTTGATGGGGAAGATGCCGATGAAGATTTGGAGGAGGACCGACGTTCCAAAGGGCGATCTTGCCATTTCGTCGGGGATTTGAAGTTTCGTGGAAGCTCTGTTGATAACTTGCTCTCACTTAGCATGGAGCCCTTTACCTACCTATGCCTGCGTCGAAATCTCGTCCGTAGGACCGTCGAGGGCAAAATCACAGTACCTAATAGTGATATTCGACAAAAATATATATGTATTCCGCAACGTTTACCTCAAGACCAACCGCATGGGAAACGGTTTACCCGCACCTGGCATTGCCGGTACAATCAGCAAGCAGTACCTGTGTTGAAGGAAGACCCCTCCTCCGGGATTGTAGCCCTAAGTGGGGATGTGAAGCCTGTGAGGTACCACCTCAAGCATATCCAGTCTTAGATTCATCCATGTACACCCGCAAAAATACAGATTGATAAATATACTCAGAGTTTTCATTGCTTGTGCTACCCTCTCCGTAGAGGACGGGGGATGATTGCTTGGTATTGCGTCAACGTCGCGTGGATGAGGCTACACATACTGATAAGGGGAGCAGTCAAATAGCACACCTGGGAGGGGCGATTAGAAAGCGGTTGAGTGAATCACGACAGCTGCTATAACTACCTAGCTGTCTGCAGTAAGTCCTACTCCAATCGTGACTCGGTTGAAGGATGTCGTGCTACCTACCCACTGTACTCTACGTCGAAGCGAGGAGTTGCCAGGTGTCGGATTACGCCATCACCGACTCCAACCATGCCATCCTACTCACTCAACAAACATCCAACTCGCTGGACGCATTTGAAATCTTCTCTCTTGCCACAACTCGCCTCTCAACAACTCAATCACCAAACATGCCACCCCGCTACTCCTCCATCGCCGTAATCGGCACCGGCCCCAGCGGCCTCTCGACACTCAAAGCCCTAAACGACGAAAACGCCTTCTCCCGAGTCCGCGTCTTCGAGCGCCGCGACCGCGTCGGCGGCCTCTGGCACTACGATCCCATCCCCGACGTCTTTCCCGCCCCGGGCGCGCCGCATATCCGCAATGCCATCCCGGAGACACTGCCTGCGTTTACAGACCCGGTGGCAGAAGACACGACTGCGCGCACGGGAGTTAACGACCTGCTCGATAGCAACGTCGGCTCGGGGACGATGAGCTTCACGCATACGCCGTTCCCGGAGGTGAACAGCGCGGTGTCTGTCAGACAGCTGGGGAAGAAGAATCCGAGTCGGCCGTTCCGGGTTGTGAGTGGGTATTTGGAGGATCTGGCGCGGCCATATTTGGATATGATTTCGTTTAATACGGCGGTGGAGCGGGTTGAGAAGGTTGGACTGAAGTGGAGGGTCACGGTGCGGCAGTCTGGGCACTTCCAGCGTAATCAGGCTGCTGAGTACTGGTGGCATGAGGACTTTGATGCCGTGGTCGTGGCATCAGGACACTACAATGTGCCGCTGATTCCGGAGATCGAGGGGCTACGTCAGGCGTTTCAGGCGTTTCCGGGGACCTTCGAGCACTCGAAGAGCTTCCGGTCTGCGAACGACTACGTCGATAAGAGGGTGGTTGTTGTCGGCGGAAACATCTCGAGCGCGGATCTCATAGCGGACCTTCACGCCGTCGTCAAGGGGGGTCTGTATCTCAGCCAGCGGGGACGCAACGAAGCCCTCGCCAACGTCTTCACCCTGCCCGGCGTTGAGCTCAAGCCGACAATCACCCGCGTTGAAGCTGGCAAGGCCGGCGTCAACGTCATCTTCGCCGATGGCACGACGCTCCAAGCCGTCGACAAGCTCCTCTTCGCAACGGGCTACCGCCTCGCCTACCCCTTCCTGGTCCCGGACCCCGTCACCCCCAGTAACCGGGTAGCCGGGTTCTACCAGCACGTCTTCAAGATCGGCGACCCCTCCCTCGCAATGGTCGGGCAGGTGCGCGCGGCGCTGAGCTTCCGGGTGTACGAGTACCAGGCCGTCGCGGTGGCGCGGTATTTCGCGGGCACTAATGCAGTCCCTCTGCCTAGCCCTGCTCAGCAAGACCAGTGGGAGGTCGAGAGGCTGGGGTATAAGGGGCCCACTGCGCTGTTCCATGAGATCAAGCCGGATTTCAAGGAGTACTTTGACTGGCTTGGGGCTTTTGCGGGCCCGCCGGCGGAGCGGACGACGGGGTATGAGTTGCCGGTGTTTGGGGATGATTGGCCGGAGCTGGGGTTTGCGGTTCTGCAGCTGAAGGATAAGTACTGGCAGAGTCTTAAGGCTGCTGCGAGGGAGAAGGAGGAGGGGGATGGCAAGGTCCAGGCGAAGTTGTGAGGAATGGGTGTTGTAGGTAGACTGGTAGACTAGAGCTGTGTTTCCAGCAAAATTGCTGAATCGCCGATGATTTATTACTTGCAATAGCCCTGTGAACGCAGTTGGGACAACTGTAGGGGCACGTAATTCTGTGATCCGTCTTGTAGTTGCGATATACCGAGAGCTCAAGATATACTGCGACTCAGGTGCCAGGCCGGGGGTCCTAAGGGTGGAATCATGGGCGAATACATAATAAATACAAGCCTCTTGCAATAGCGTGCTAGCGCTGTTAGAAAGGGGCTTGCTTAAGTTAAATATAACTAAAATTTACTACATGCTACGCTTATCTTAAGGCCTAATTTTTAAGCTATTTAATTTTTATAATTAAGTTTTTATTAAGTTACTTGGTATACCGGGGGCTTAAAAAAATTATTATAAGTATATTAAAAATTAAAATTTAAAGTAAAAACCTAGTAAATTTTTAAAGCCGTATATTATATAAAATATTATTAAAAGTTTATATAAAATTAACTATTAATATTAAAAAGCCCGCACTAAATTAATTTTACTATTAATAATAAAATAACTTATTAAATACTAAAAATATTAATTAAATAAGCTATATTTTAATAAAACTAATAATAACTAGTATAAAAAAAGCTAGTAGTAATACCTATAACTAAGCTATTAATAATACCTAAGTTATTAATAATACTTATAGCTAATTATATAATACTATTATAGTTAAAGGTAAATATTACCTTATTAATTATTACTTTTAAGTTTTTTTATTTTTTTTATTATTTTAAGCCTTACTTATATTCTTGCTAGTTAATTTTATAAAAGCTTTTATAAGCTATTTATTAATATTAAACTTAAAAAAATTAAAAAAACTTAAAATATAAATTTATTTAAAAATAATTTATTAAATTTTTTTAAGCTTTTTAACTTTAACACCGCGGAGCTAAAGGCTTAAAAAAGTAAGATTTTAAATAAGGATTTTTAAAAAGGTTTTAAAAGTATAACACCTAAAAAAAACTTTTTTTTATTTAGCCCTTAAATATAAAAAGATTAGGAATAATAAAAAACTAGGTAATACTATTTTTACTTATAAAAATTAGTATTAATATTAGCTTAAAAGTATTATAATTAAGATTTTTTATACTTATAATACCTTTAATATTATTTTTATTTATAAATGTTTTTTATACCCTAGCCCATAGCTAAAAGGGTTAATAAAAATTACTAGGGTAGCCTTTTTTAGCCTGCGGCAGTGCTTAATTAAATAATTTAAAATTAAAAAACTAGGGGTAATAAAAGTAATATTATAAAAAATAAATAATTAAGCTATTATTTTAATAAAAAAATAAAAAATATAATCTACTTAATAAAAATTATATAATATATTTAAGACCTGGGCCATGGTACCAGGGGCTATAAAAAATAAATTATATAAATAATTAAACCTAGCTATACTATATATAACTTAAAAGGTAGTATAATTAATAATTAAAAAGTTATAGTTATAAACTATAACTTTTATAATTAAAATATAGTTTTTTTTTAGTTAGCTATTTTTTAATATAAGTATTAATAAAAAAATAAAAGGGAATACTATTAGTAAACTAAAATTATTATATAAGTTATTAATAAAAAAACTAGTTATCCTAAAAAAGAGCTAGATATTGATATTATTTAAAATATATATTATATAACTATAAAATATAAAAAACTTATATTATTAAGGTATTAGCCTAAATTATTAAAAAAATAGTTATTATTAATATTATTAACTATAAAAAGCTACCCGTAATAAATAATTATAGTATTCTTTTTTAAAAAAATAATTTAAACTAATTATAGTAAGTAACTATTATAAAAATATTTAAAAAATTAAATTAAAAAAAAGCTTAGCTTTCACGCCTTATAGGTTATAACTTAACTTTAAGCACCTATTATTATTACTAAAAATAAAATTAACCATAATTAAGCTATTAATAAAAGCATGGGTGTTAAAAGGCATTTTAAGTTTACTTATATTAAAGTATTAAAAAAAATTAAAAAAAAAATTAAAAAAAATTAATAAATTTAAAAAAAATACCCGGGGGAAAGGTAAGTATATATAAAAAGATTTATTTAAAAAATTTTTATATAAATTTATATAGCACCTTTAAATAAACTATATTATTTATTAACTATACCTTTATATTACCCTTAGCTAATAAAAAATAATATTATTAATTAAGGTTAATTAAAAAAGTGCCATGTAAAGTTAACTATAAGTAAAAGCTAAAAAATAAAGGTTAATTTTTATATAATTTAAAAACTATTTTTATACTTTATTAATTATTATAGTATATATAAGCTAAACTAAAAATTAAACCTAGGTAAGTATAAATAAAAACTTATTTTTTATAAAAAATAGTTATAAGCACCGGAGCAGGACTTTATTATTTTTATATTAATTATTTTTTATAATATTTTAGTATTTTAAGCACCTTTAGCTAATTTAGGTTATAATTAACTAAGTTTTATTATATAATTTATTAAAAAAATTATAATTCCATGTTAGTAATACTAGGAAGCCAGGTTTTAGGTATAAGTTTCTTATTAAAAGGCTTAAAAATTAAAAACCATATAGGAATTTTAAGGTATACTTTTTATTAATAATTTTCCTAGTGCTATTATAATGGTTTAAAAAGGGTAAATAAATAGTAATTTTAAAAATAGTAAATAAAAGCTTAAAGTTAAAAATATTTATATTTATATTAAAAGATGTTAAAATTATATAATTAATAAATATATTAATATATAACTTATAATATATTATATAATTTTAATATGGTATTAATAGGGCACTAAGCTTAAATAAAAAGTATACCTTAAATATAAAAAGTGCTGGGTTTAAAATTATATATAGGAAGTTAAGGATTTATATAAAACCATGTATAGTAATATTATAATTTAATAAATATAGTTACTATATTAAAAAATAATTAACTTTATATAAATTTTAAAGGTGCATGTTTTTAATAAGGGTAATAATCTTAATACTATTTTAAATAGCTATATATTAAATATATATACTTATAATTATAAATTAATTCCCACGCGGTATAACCAGCAGGATTTATTAAAAGTTATTACCTAAAATAATAAAAATATTATTAAAAGGGATATCGCGCATGGCTATATTTTTAATATTATAAATATCCCACAGCATATAGTTAATAATATTAAAAATATACTTATTTATTATTAAGGTTTTATTTTAAATAATTAAAAATATTTTTTTATAAAAGTCTAGCAAGGGTACCTTTTTAATAAATATTATAAAATAAGTTTTTTTTAGTTAGGACTAAAATATAAAATTATTTATAAATAATATAGCTACTAGGTAGTAATAATACTATAATATTAGTAAAGGCTATATATAAAATAATTTAATTAAAAAAATAAAAGTACTTAGCCAAGGCCTTATATAAATAGGTCTTGCCTATTAAAGGTTAATATATATATTAATAAAATATAAATTAATATACTAATACTACTAGGGTTATAAAAAAAGCATGCTAAGCTTAGTATAATTATAACCACCTTTTTAATTTAATTAAAAGCTATTTTTTATTTATTATTAAAGTTTATATACTTTATTTTAAAGTCCTAATATATATTATTAATATTATAGGTAGTTTTTTACTAGATTTTATAATTATTAGACTTTTTAAGGTTTTTTTAAGGCGGGATAGGCTTTAGTAGCCTAAAATTACCTAGGGTTTTTTATAAGTAGCTAACATATGGTTAATATATTATAAGCTAAAGTTTAAATTTAAATTATTTTTTAAAAAGTTATAAAAAATTTTATTAAAATTATAGGCTTAATACTAGATTAAGTAGGGCAGGTTATTATAAATAAAATAGCTATAGCTATTTTAAATAGCCCTATTATAGTTATAAAAAAGTAGCACTTTTATTATTATAATAATAAATATTTTATATAATACTTTGCTAGTTATAAAGGTAATTATTTTTTAAAAATAATTTAATTATTTTTAATTTTATATTAAGATTCCCCGGGCATAGTAAGCCTTTTAAAAAAAATTATATAATTAATTATTTATAATATAAAGGTTTTTAAAGCTTTTAACCCTAGTAACCACTATTAAAAAACACTAAATATAATATACCTTATTATTTAAGGGTAATAAATAATAAACTTAGCTAAGTATTTCCTAGGCCTTTTTTAGCTTTTAATGCTTTTTATTTTAGGTAAAATAAAAGGGAAATTTTAGGTATATATATTACCTAGCACCAGGATTAGCAAGGTTATAATTATAAATAAAGTATTTTAATAAATATAATATATTATTTTATAATATATTTTTTAACTTTGCTATATTATTTACCTAATTATTAAAAAATATAAAGTATTTTTTAAATAAATAAATAACTAAGGCTATAACTAGGGGCTTTATTTTATTAACTAGGTATTTTATTATTTTTAGGCTACCTTTAAGGCACTTATATACTAATTATTTATATACTTTATAATTTTATTAAAGCTTATTTTTATGGTTATTTAGTTAACTCCCTTATAAAGATATTTATATAAATAATAAATAGCCTTAATACTACTATATATTTTAATATTAATATAGGCCTAATACTTTTAGCTTAGGTAAGGGTTATATAATACTACCTACTTATTATTAATATATATTTTTTATTAAATAATTAATTTTAATCTTGTACTAATCCAGATCCCAGCGCTAGTAACTAAAATAGCTATTATTTATAATATAGGTTTTATTATAAAACTTCTTGGAAAAATACTTAAAGTATTTACTATTATTATTTATATATAAGGCTTTTAGGTTATATTTACCATAAGGTATATATATTATAATAAAAGTAATAATATTATATAGCTATATATTATATTTATTATTTTTATTTAAAATTTTTATTAAAATAATCTTATTTAAAACCTTAGGTATTAAAAACTAATTTTTATTTAATAG